AATACTATCCGACATAAATTAATCAGTACAATCCGACGTACCAAATGAGCCTTGAAGGTATATATTATATGTTGCGCATTGTAAATAAATTAAAGTTTTTATAGTTTCAACCTTTTTTTAAAACAAAAATATAGTAATTTATTAAACAACAAACACCCACAAATTTAATGCGTGACTCGTGACTCGTAAGTCTTAAGTCAAGTGACATATGATGGATGACGAAAGGTAGAGATTCTAGCTCTCAAATCTTAATTATTAAAAATAAGTTTAATGCGTAAATTTATGCAAATACTAACGCAAAAATTGATAGGGTGATCAAAGATAAGGAAGACAATAAGGAGCAAGATAGGGTATATCATTTGGATGTTTCTTCTGATCTCAACAACAAAAATTGACTACACAAATTTAGGAGAGTTGGAATGGGACCTTACAAGACAAACCGTGTACAAAGGTGATTAAGCTTAGAGGTATAATATTCATATATAGTACGGAAACAAAAATAGAGCTTAATTTAAAGTCTGCATATTGTCCCTTTATATGGAAAATATGAGCATACTTCAATACTTTTTTTTTCTAAAAACAAATCAATGATAGAGGGGTTTTTTAAATATGAACATCTTCTACTATTAGAAAGAGAAATATCACTAAACTAGTGCAATTTATCGTCTTTCTCTCAAAAGATTTATCTGGTTCAATAATACGTGAGACATTCATTTCAAAAAGTTGGAAATCAGCTTTTCTAATTTCCTTTTTATGGCACGCTAATTATCGGTACAGTACAAACTATTGCTAATTAAAGCTTTAAGAAACAATTATTGTCACTTTTCTGCTGTAATTACTTGATTTATATACATGGGATATAATTATCTTAAGATCGGAATAATTTAAAGAAAGAAAACAAGTGAGTGGTAGATTGTTTCGTTGGCCGTTGGTTGGTTAGTTGATAGGTAGTTTCCTTGGGATGTAAGGATGCTTGTTCGGTCTTCTTTTTCCTTTTTGGTTGGCTGTTCTATCCTATGAGTTTTCCACAAAGTCTTTTTATCCTTAATTTTTGACCCCATTTCTTGGTCTTTGTTTTTTTTCAATTATATTCTTCTTTATAATACTTTCGGAAAGTGGGTGTGGATGCAAACCAATAAAGCTTTATTTCATCTATCAATCTGAATGCATGCGAATATCCTTTACTTCCACACTGCCCTCACTATTATTTTTCTTTTGCTTATCTGATTAAATAATAATTATTTATACTAACACTCCATGAAATTTTAGGTTTTCTGACAAAATCCTCTTAGGTTTCAGAAATTATACGAACACCCGTCGAGGTTTCAAATTGTTTTCACAAAACCCCTTTTCAATTAAAGATGGATGATTTTATATATATATAAAAAAATCTCAAAATGACAAAGTTGGCCTTTGAGATTAAATTGCATATACATTCATTGAGGTTAATTTTATCATTTGCATAATTTATTTTTCAATGAAATCATCAATTTCTGGACGAACAATCAACGAAAAGGAGTTGTGTGAAAACAAACGAAACTTCAGGGGGTATTTGTGTAATTTTTAAAACTTGAGGTGGTTTTGTGAAAACAAAAAAATCTTTTTTTGTTTTTTTTTTTCTTGTGAAACAAGACTAAATTTCAGTCACAAAATTGAAAAAATATATAAAGAAGAAGGGTGGAGCCCTTCTTACATTAAATCACAAGGTTGGGTCATTAATTATACATAAGCCATGGGGATAACTTGGTGGGGTATGTTGGCATGGGTCTAATTAATAGGAAAGTAATTAGCAAGTGGTTGGTCGGGTGCCACTCATTACTCATAGTTATTATACAAGTATAATTGAAAAGAATAAGGAAAAAAGAATAGGTGCATATGGTTCTATTTCTTTTCTTCTTCTTTTATCAAATTATGGAAGATACATAATTAATGGAAATATTCTTTCTCCTCAAAGATTGAATTTGATTGTAAGAAGCGTAGCTCAAGTGGTTAACTTACGAGTATTTATTTCTAGATATGTGGTCCTAAAAAAGATTGAATTTGATGTAAAGAACGTAGCTCAAGTGATTAACTTACGAGCATTTACCCCTATATATGTGGTCCTAAAAAAGATTGAATTTGATTTGGGCTGTGTGGCATTGCATAAGTGCAGCATTTGAACACCAAAAAAAGGGTGCAAGTAACACCCATCGCATGACTAAAGCCTAAGGCAACATCATCACCATGCCATTGACACCTCTTTTTATCTTATCTTCATCCTTTGTTTCATCAAGCATGACAAAACTACCGACTTTAGATGCTATAGGTAGATACTATACTTAAAGAGTGGTGTTATCTCTAGAAAATAATCAACATGTTATATTATCGTACTATCATTCGACCAATAATTTAGTATATCATTTGGGAAGATTAATATCTCGAATGAAAGTGATTTTACATAAATTGTGTGACATCATGAGTTGCATTTCATACGAGAAAGTTGAGAAAAATAAAAAAATAATAAGAACGGAATTCTAAGTGTTTTTCTTTGATATTGGTCTCACCACTCAATCACTCCTGAATTAACTAACAAACTCCTACCCGACCCAAAAAAAACTTTAAAAAAAACTACCCACCTGCAGTTGGCCGGAACTTTTTGTCTTGTTCAACTGTTATTTTATAGTATCACTATATATTTGATTTTGACAAAAGAAAACCAAGCACAGGCCTCTTACAAGAAAAGAAAGAAGCCAAATTACACCAGACAAACAAAGAACGGAAAGCAAATTACAGATGGGAGATGATGGAGCAATGTTTTTCCAAATCGAAGCTCAAACCAATCAGTGAACGCCAAGTATTACCATTTTGATAACCTTTATCTCTTATCGATAAAATATACAAACGCAATCTAACTTATAAGGATAATATAATTTTACTGGTAGTAAAACTATATTATCCTTGTAACTAAGATTACGTCTTCTCTTGTAGTTCTTCAAGTACATTAGTTTTATGTTAATGTTATTGTACTATATATGCTCAGAATAGACGTGCGATATGGATCAAGTGGAGGAATTAATAATGCAATTAGTTAAGTTTAATTTGTAACAACGTCATCTAGGTTTTTATTTTTTTTATTTTTTGGGTGTTCTTTGTTCTTTATTCGAGGGAGAGAGGGGGTAAAGAATCGAACACTTGTTGGGGATAGAAAATCAGTGATCTATCTCAAAAGTTGAAATTTTATAATCGTAGAGAATTTCGCAGCAAATGTAATTATGTTGTTTGGTGTCTTTGGTACAAGGAAGTAAATGCATCATTATGATGGGTGTAAGAGAGTACACATGTTGCATAATGCTACACTTACCACATTTCTATATCACATGATGCGGCATGTCCATATTATATGTCACATCAATTAAATCAATGAAGTGTATTTTAATTAAGACAATTAGAAAAATAACTTGAATAAATCATATAAGAAAAGAAAATATTAAATAATTTTAATTGACGTGGCTGTCCACCTCAACTGTCACATAAGATGATATAAGGATGTAGTATACAAATGTGGTAAGAGTAGCATTATTCTAAATAATATTATTTGTACCATATTTATTAATTACATTACCCACCATATCCCTGTAGGCCGCTCCCATATTTATAGAACCCACCTCTAGTAAAGTAGGGATCAACAATGTGGTACAAAATCAGTACTGTACATAAATTGGGACGAAAGTAAAAAAGAAGAAAAAATGAAGAAGCGATCATTACATTTTTATGATAAGGAGAGTAGCATAATTTAATGGGATTATTTTGGCACTCCAAATCCTACATCCCATGCTCCACAACTCACAAAAATGAATAGTGCATGAGGTAATTTAAATGAGACTTTGGAGTGCCAAATAATCCCTCTAATTTAAAGGTATATGGAGGGAACTCTTTTGACATTATTTGGTAACAACCTGTGGAGGTTACAATACATAGGAGGATCAACTTGATATATACATATGGAAAGTAGTAGTAGGAGGGAGAGAGAGAGAGAGAGAGAGAGAGAGAGAGAGAGAGAGAGAGAGAGAGAGGATATTTTTATTAATTAAGGATATAGTAGTTAGTATGACTTCAAATTGGTCCAAGTTGGCAGAAAAGTGTACACATTTTTTGGCCGGAGAAAAGTGCATACATTGAGAACCCAAAAGTGTGTGGAAAATTTGTACTAAATTGATAATATGAAGAATTATCCAACCGACCAGTTTCTTCTTTATTTTAGTTTTATAAAATTAAAATAAAATTAATGCGAATTAGAGGAGTTAATATTTTAGTTCACTTACATTTATTGGTGGGATGGGGTATGTATGCCTTTGCAGCTCCGCTGCAGCTGTGACGTGAAAGGAAAACAAATGAAAGACAAAATTGTAGCCATTTTTTTAATTATAGATTTTAGAGGGAAAGAGCAAATTTTTTTTGGGTGTAATTTCTAATTTTGTATACCCAACTTTGTCTATAAAAGGCCGCCCTTGTGCCTAACCATTCCTCATTGCAACTACCTTTTATTCTCATCTCTCTCTCTCTCTCTCTCTCTCTCTCTCTCTCTCTCTTGTTGTGTCTCTCTTTCTATGTGTCTGTTGCTGTTAAGAAGCTGTTGATGGTTTTTCTTGCTTTGGCTTTTGTATGATATAGCTCATGCTCTTTGCACCTCTGAGTCGGATTAAAGAGAGAGAAATCAGATAACGTTCAAAAACACCAAGAATTGCAAATTAAGAAAATAAGAATTAGCAGCTCCTGCTCTACTGCTCTGCCTTTGAAACACTGTTCTGGTGGCTGGTGGGTTGTGTTTATAAGTCTTTACCAACCAAAAAAATTATATCTTTTTCTTTCTCTTTTCTTCTTCTTTCCACAGTTAATGGCGGAGATTAAAATGCTTATTGGGGTGGTGGGTTATGATTCTCTTGTGTAGGAAACAGGGGAGGGGCTAAGTTGGCGTTTGTCAAAGAAGAAGAAGAAGAAGAAGAAGCAGAAGCAGAGAAGAAATGAAGTACGTTTTGGTGACTGGTGGAGTTGTGAGTGGTCTTGGGAAAGGAGTGACTGCTAGTAGTATTGGCTTGCTTCTAAAGGCTTGTGGGCTTCGGGTCACTTCCATTAAGATAGGTATCTTTCTCCTCCTCTTCTGCTTCCTTTTGTTCTTCTTCTTCTGTTTTCATTTTAATTCTGTGTGATGTTGCTCATCTCTGTTGTTTTTAACTTTTTGAGCCAACCCATTATGCCGTTTTTTTTGGAAAGCTCATCCACTTTTTTCTCTCTTTATCTTTTAATGGGGAAAAAAGATGTATCAGATTTAGCTTTTTCTGCTAAAGTTTTCTTTTTCTTCTTCTGAATTTCAGTTGGTGTTTCAGTGAGAACACAAATCTGAGCGACTGCAATTTTTTTCTTCTATATAATGCCTGATGTATATAGTTTAAGCTGTTCTCTCTCTCTCCCTCTTGTCCTGATCACCATTTTTCTTTTTCTTATGTAATTCAGATCCTTACTTAAACACTGATGCTGGAACTATGTCCCCCGTTGAACATGGTGAAGTCTTTGTCTTAGATGATGGTGGTGAGGTACATCAACTTACTCTTCTGCCCTCTTCCTTCCTAGATGATTCTTTTACTTTTTGAGGGACATTTCTGTAGGAAGCTTTTGTCATTATCCTCCTGGGAAATTTCTGTTGTCTTTTATAAGATCATATGCCTTTTCAATCTGTGACACAACAATTTGAATTCCACCATACAAGTACAGAGTTAAAAAGAATTAAATGGTTGCAATTACCAATGAGAAATTTTGGACTCAAGTGTCAAAGTCTTAAAAAACGTGGAAGAATCACAGACTTTTTTTTGCTAATTTGGTTTTTTCTTTTTTTAAAACCTTCATAGGTGGACTTGGACCTTGGAAATTATGAGCGATTTCTAGATATCAAGCTGACCCGTGATAATAATATTACTACCGGAAAGATTTACCAGGCAAGTAGGTTAAATTGCGCGCGCTCGCATATATATATATATATATATATATGTCCACTTTGTTTTATTTTTATATACCAACTACTGCAAAATCTCTCTTTATCAAAATCTCTTTATCAAATTTTTGTTTTTTTTTTTTTTTTTTTTTTCCCTTCCTTTGTTTTGTCACAGGATGTTATTGACAGAGAAAGAAGGGGAGATTATCTAGGAAAAACTGTCCAGGTTTATGTCTACCTACTATGAGTCCTTTTTCTGACTATATTTTATCTGGTCCCTTTCTTTTCTTATATAATTTTGTTTATCTGTAGGTTGTTCCTCACATCACAGATGCTATCCAAGAGTGGATTGAGCGTGTAGCACAAATACCAGTGGATGGGGAGTCAGGTCCAGCTGATGTTTGTGTCATAGAATTGGGTGGAACTATAGGTACATCTATATTTTCCACACCAACGTTCTTCATTTCTGGCAGCATCAGCTGTTTCAATGGCTATTTCAAATTACTGACAACTTCCTGGTTGTAGGTGATATTGAATCCATGCCTTTTATTGAGGCATTAGGACAATTCTCGTACCGAGTAGGTAAGCAAATTGAATACGAAACTCCATATGACAGAATTATATATGTTGGCATGGCACACATTCTTTCTGATCTGATCATTTAGTTACTTGACTCTTGTCTTTTCTTTTCCATCAATGTTTGTTTATTTCAGGTAGTGACAACTTTTGCTTGATTCATGTTAGCCTTGTGCCTGTTTTGAATGTTGTTGGTGAACAGGTAAGGTTCTTATAATTGTCTGTTCACTAGCTTTTTTCTTATAGATAGATGATTTAACCTCTGTTTATATTTCTCAGTCATGAGAGAACTACTAAATTGCTCTAATGAATGTACTTAATTATGCTCATTATGTTCAGAAAACAAAACCAACCCAGCACAGTGTTCGTGGACTGAGGTGCCTGGGTTTGACACCACATTTGATAGCTTGTCGCAGCACAACGGTCTGTCTATCTGTCTCTCTCTCCATCTTTTTGCCGTGTTTGCTTTGTCATGTTGGCTGAAGATTCTAAATTACAGGCACTAGAAGAGAACGTAAAGACGAAAGTCAGTCAGTTTTGCCATGTCCAGGTATGTTTGATAAGTTCTAGTTCAAGCATACTACTTGAAACGAATTTCTATCTGCTTTGCAAGATGAATACTTTACTGAAGCTGCTAAATATTTTGTAGAAAGAGAACATCATCACTCTCTACGATGTTTCCAACATCTGGCACATTCCATTACTTTTAAGAGTGAGTAGTTCTCTACAACTTCTGAAATGCATCTTCTTAAGCTGAAGTTATCTTCATTCTCTAACTGTCACATGGAATTTTTTGTCCTGCTTCTTCTCAAATAGGATCAGAAGGCTCATGAAGCAATCTTTAAAGTGCTGAACCTTCAGGGGTTTGTCTCATGAACTCTTCTCATTTTCTTTCCTGTAACTATTGGGATGTAATCCATATGCACTGTGCATCAGTTGATCTCACTGTTTAGTTTTCTAACATTCATCTACACAAATGCTCCTTAATGTGCAGATTAACAAGGGAACCTGAATTAGATGAATGGACTTCTAGGGCTGAAATTTGTGACATGTTGCATGAGCCAGTAGGTCTTAGCTCCAAAGACATACTTTTATTTCCTTTTGTTGCCAAAAAATTGAAATCCTAATGTCATTTGCATAACAGGTTCGCATTGCCATGGTCGGGAAGTATACGAAGCTTTCAGATGCCTACCTCTCTGTAATAAAGGTGCACCTAGCTACCACTTCTTCACTATGAATTGGTGTTTAAATCAGACGATAATCTAATTTCTAAAGATGGTTGCTTGCTGCATTTATAAATGCAGTACTCACAAATTACAATTCTTAAATCCTTGCCCAAGATTTGAGCTCAGAACTAGGATCTGTAAAGTAGATAACACGAAAAAATTAGTTTTCTCCATGTTAGCCTTCTGTTATGTTTTGATATGAGGTTATCTGGTAAAGATGATAGCTATGATGAATTCTTATTCCTAATAGTTTATGATTTCATCATCAAATTATTACTTTTCTTAGTGCTTTATAAACCGGTCCAGTTCAGGGGAAAGTGACTGTGATATGTTTAGATATGAGCTTGTGAACAAATTAACCATACCAAATGTAAACAGCAAGATAAATTTCAGGAAGATACTTAGTGGGAGTAAATTTTGGAACAACATTACTGTGTTAATTTTTTTTTCCAGCTTCACTTTGTGGTTGTGTTAATACAAACATGGTACAATTCTATTATCAAATTCTAATTATTTTGCTTTCATTCTTGTGATACTTAAATTTGAAGTCGGGGAGGACACAGTATGCTGGGGTTGGATATATAATCTTTAGTAATTTCTGCAGGCTCTTGTGCATGCTTCTGTTGCTCGTGGCAAGAAACTTTTCGTGGATTGGGTTCCAGCTGGTGACCTTGAAGACGCAACTGCAAAAGAGGTTGTTATATATTGATATTCTTTTTTTAGCGAGTTATATATTGATATTCAGTCTAGCAATGTTTACATTTTACCTTATATCAAAACTCGACAAAAAATGTATCATATTGCAGAATCCTGATGCTTATAAGGCCGCCTGGAAGTTGTTGAAGGTGTGTGTATTTAGGTTTAATAGCCTTGAGTTGCAGTTGCTTTTTTGTTAGCCTTCTGATTGGCCTGTATCTTCAGGGTGCAGATGGTGTTCTCGTTCCCGGAGGATTCGGGGACAGAGGAGTGCAAGGGAAAATTCTTGCAGCAAAATATGCCCGGGAAAAGAGAATTCCATTCCTTGGCATTTGTCTAGGAATGCAGATTGCTGTCATTGAGTTTGCACGATCTGTTCTTGGTCTGAAAGATGCTAACAGCACAGAATTTGATCCTAACACTAAGAATCCCTGTGTTATATTTATGCCAGAGGTCTGCATCGTGTTTTCGAGTTTTATGTTTCATTGAATGGAACTCAATATCCCTCCTTTCCCATTTTTCTAATCTCTGGACCTTGTAAAGCAGGGTTCAACAACACATATGGGAGCCACCATGCGCCTTGGATCCAGGAGAACATATTTCCAGTCTACAGAATCCAAATCAGCTAAACTGTGAGTACTAATTTGGAAAGAAATATACACATTTGATTTGTACATATCACATTTTTCATAAGAACCAAAGCTTATGAGGAGGTCTATTGATCTGCATAGATCAATCAGTAACTTGATACACATGAAAATCAGAGGGTACAAGCATGCTGAATGAGATGCTTGTGTTGGCTAATCTCTGAAATTTGAATTTTGTTAGATATGGAAACAAGCGCTTCATCGATGAGAGACATCGACACAGATATGAGGTAAGCGGCATCCCAATGAAAATGATTGTATTATAAGATAATATTTTGTCAGGAGGGCTAATTCTGTTGGAATCAGGTGAATCCTGAAATGGTAGCACGCCTTGAAAATGCTGGCCTCTCTTTCACTGGCAAGGATGAAACTGGCCAACGCATGGAGGTACAAATTTTCATTATTTGTCTGTGTAACTATAGAATCAATTGATTTGTTTACTGTGGTGATTTTGATCTAATACGTGTTATACTGACATTACAGATTGTTGAGCTGCGTAATCATCCATATTTCATTGGTGTCCAGTACCATCCTGAATTCAAATCAAGACCAGGAAAACCTTCTGCTTTATTCATAGGTACATGTCTCATACATCCTCATAAGTTTCACACTCACTTCATGTTCAATTATACTTTGTTACATGAACTGGAGGCTTGCTGTTTATTCATCTGAATATTCACTTATACTAAATCTGTGTTGTTAATTTTGGTTGAAAATTGGGATTATTGTTACCTTTCCTTCGTTTAGTCCATTATTACAATGAAGATAAATGTGCTTTTGAAAGCTTCAGACAAGACTCTGACTATTCATGACAGAACTCAGCTTGAAAAGAAGCATGTTCAATATTGTTCTTTTAGAATTTAGACCAATCTGAAGCCTTCCTATATGACTTGATTAATAATAAGCCAAGCTCAGCTGTAATATTTCTATTAATGAAAAAGCCAGTCAAGGTAAGGTATTAAAATCTGAAGTTAGGCAAGCTTGATGGTAATCTTTGCTTCATTTACTAGAAATCTGTTGCCTACCTGAAGCTTGGACATAGAAGAAATCCCCACTTGATCTTAGCCTAAAATATCTTCCCTGAATTCAAACTATTGGGTATCTATGAGCTTAAATAATCATTGAAAAAGGTGAAAAGGCTAAGATTAAGAAACAGAGCCGATACTCGTCTGTTACAACCTGCTTGTGCTTCTGGTCAAGTCAATATCTAATAAATTTGGCTAGCCTGGCCCAAGTAACAGCTAAACTCACAAACCAGGCATCTTTCCTTGGACTCTTGTGAAAAATATTTACTTGTCACATGTTTGAGTACTGAAGAATCTTCGGGTTGTGTACCTCATTGCTGCAGTTTGATAATTTGAATCCTACTTCGTGGGATTTCTGTGAAAACCTAAATTCAAAATTCTTTTCTGCTGACTTGTAAATCAGATTACAGAAGCAACACAATAGCTTGTAAATCTTGATTTGTCAATTTGCAATGTCATGCAGGCCTTATAGCAGCAGCATGTGGGCAGTTGGATGCTTTCTTACAGGGCTCTGAGAGCAAAAGGAATATCCCAAATGGACCTGCCAATGATATGTCCCAGAGGCATATCTCATATGGAGCAAGCAATGATATGCCCCAAAGAAATATCCCAAATGGAGCAAGCAATCATATGTTCCAAGCAGCATGTGGGCAGTTGGAATCTTTCTTCCAGGGTTCTGAGACCAAAAGAAATGTCCCAAATGGAGCAGCCAAGGCATATCAAAATGGAGCTGCAGCTAAGCTTGCTAATCGGCCACAAGACGGTGCATACAGCATTTTCAATGGCATGCACTTGTGAAGGCTGTTTAGGCCTCTACATAATATATTTATAGGATTATCTTTCTTTGTGGTGTGGTTTAGGGGATTTTAATTACATAATTAGCAGGGGCTTTTAGGTGATATAATATTATAGGATTGGTTTGTACAGTCATTTGGGATATGGTTAGATATTAGCCTTCCAAAGACACAAACTTTAGAATGGAGAGCTGCATCCTGAGGTTTTTAAAACAGGTCAGCTTGTCAAAAGTCCTGTACTGCACTTAGAATGTGCAGGGGATTTGCCCATTCTTCCCCAGCACCCTATCCTTTTGTTTTGTCTTGATTTTATTGCAGTAATAAATCTTCATATGCATGGACTCTTGGCTTGAACATCACCTAGCGACCTGCATACAACACTATAAACTCGTCCAAGAAGAAGTGAAGTTGGAGTTCAGCACAATCCTAACAAATTTAGACAGCAAAACCTCTTCACAACTTTAAACATATAATATATCTAAATACTTTCTCAAACAATGAGAAAGAAAACAAAACTCATGCTCCTAACTCAAACAAGTTGAGTACAGTTATTTAAATTATAGTAAGGTCAGGTTCACCAAATAACATGTGTGTATACACGTAAGTTCTCTAGATAGGACTTTCGTTCTTTAAAAATCTCTTTTCTACTCACTCGTCTTCATATTTCATCATGTTTATTGACATGGTAGGCTTTAAATTTTAAGCTCTTTAAAACCTAAAATTGGAACTCTAAAGAATCATTATATACTTAAGTAATCAATTTTTTCAATGCATGAAATCAAAATTAAAAGCATAATTCAGATTTTGATCAATAGGTCCGCTCTTTCGGATTTTTAACTAATCTTAACACAATTTTTTTTTCCTTTCACTAAAATTAATAGCTCAAAGCTTTGTTATCCGACTCACTCTGACATGGGGAAAAAGAAAGAGACAATCTTTGTTGTTGGTGGCCCTGCACTGCATCTTTTTGAGTGACCACGAGCCTTTAAAGATACAATACAAAAAGATAAGAGTGAAGTGAAGTTGGGCATGGAAGACTAGAAATACCAATGGCTCTGCTAACAAATAGCCTGCTAGTGTTACCCCAGCAACTCGGTCCGAGTCGAACTCAGTCGCCTGCTACTATTCATTTCAACCATTCACAGCGCTGTCACCATTTCTGCATAGCAACATCCTCTGTTTCGCTTTGGTTCTGTAATGGGAAACGAAAATTCAAGAGTCTCAAGACCAAGGCCTCCAAGGCAGATAAGCAAGAAGTGAAATTGGAAGAGAAAAAGGAGGAAGAAGAAGAAGAGTTTCAAGTACTGACGGCCATGAAGAGCGGTTACAATGACATAGTAATCGTGGACACTCCCACATCAAGAATGCTGCTCCTCGACTCTTCTCGTATGTTAATCTTTTTCTTTTGTGTTCGTTCATTGTTACCCATCATTTTATTCTTCGTTTAAATGCTATTTATGTTTTGGGTTCATGCAGAAAATGTGCATAGCATTGTTTACAAGCACCAGAAATGGACTGCTTCCTACTGGGTATGTGCATTTCAATAATTCAATGTGTTTATTCTAAGTGCTCCTAGAAATTCTGTGGTTTCAGACATTTGATAAGACTTTGCATGTGACATAGTGCTATTGAATTTGAACCTATAATGTAAGAAAGTCATTGTATTGTTGCTGCATTGTGCAGGATGAGTTTGCTAGCTTGCCTGCTATTGTTCCAGAAGGTCCTATTGCCATCCTTGGCTTGGTAATTCATTTCATTTTGGACTCATGTGGTAAAATACCTTCTGTACCATAAAAATTTGTGATTTCCTGACTAAAAGTATTGTTCAAGCCAGGGTGGTGGAACAGCTGCTCATCTGATGCTCGACTTGTGGCCGTCTCTGCAGCTTGAAGGTTGGGAGATTGATCAAATTGTGAGTGTCCTATGGTCAAATGGGTTAATCCTCTTGCATATTTGCAATGTGCCAGTTCTAGTAACCCTTTACTTCTGCTAATTGAAAAGCGTTGGACTTGAGTTCTTTAAATAATTCAGAGAACTGCATTTGATGATTTGCATCTTCCTCTTTGCTTCACTGGTTAATGATTTACCTCACCTTTAACTTCTAAAAATCTGAATGTAATATACGACTAGGTACTAAGTTTAGACAATCTTTATAATTAGATTACTTGAATTATGCACATATAATTATAGCTTATTCGGTATGTTGAATTATTATCATGTGGTAGCTTAAAGAACACATTGGGACTATTGACCAAAGTACTCAAAACCGCAATGCTAATATTGATCTTTTGAGCCCCATATAATACATGATAACTCCCAAGGCATGTCATTGCTTTATTGCAGTGTGAAGTGTTATCTACCAAGACAACTCAACCACTAAGCATTTCTATGTGCTTTATCCTATTTCAGTTCTGATGTAATTTGGACTGTGGCTGCAACTTTAGTGCGGCAATGCCAAGAAAGGCTCTAACATTATCTTATACAGCATTCCTAGTGCAATTTATAGGTCATGGAATCTACAAAACATTACCAATGGAATCAAAGTCATGTTGAAGGTGTTGGCCTGCTAGGTCAGTGATTTTCCCCCTTGTCTTGGAGAGAAAATGTAAGGCAGCTGAAGGGTCACCTCTGTTTCTTTAACTTGTTTTGGAAGATTATGTATTCAAGCAGTCATCAATATCTAAGGTCTTAACCCCTACCAGCACTTTATAATCTTTAATACATTCTTTCTGGAATAAATACAATCAATTGAACGTTATGCTGAAGTTTATTTAGCCACAAGAAAAATTGTATTTGAAACTTTATAAGTTATGGACAGAAGCCTTATCTCAAACAGCCAAAGTATCATATGCTGAATTTTATTTAGCCACAACAATTGTATTTGAAACTTTATAAGTTATGGACAGAAGTCTTGTCTCAGACAACCAAGAAGTAGGACAAATTGCTCAAAATAAAAAGAAGTCAGCCACACAAGGTCAACAGCATTTGAATTAGCAGTGTAAAATACGCTGACCAGAAAAAATCACTTAAGAAAAAGAAAAAATTTGGTCTACAGTCCATTTCTAGAAATGTTTACCTTGAGAAGGTGTGCTGTCTCATCTGTTTAGCTCTTAAGACTAGAGTCACTAAGCAGCACTGTTTACTGAATCTGTACTTGGAGGTATGATTAGCAAGGTTAAAATACTATACAAGGTGTAATAAATGTTTTATAGGATATTAGAGGGTTCCAATTTTCAGTAATGTCATTTGTTTTATCTTAGTTAAATCTTTTTTGCATTAGTTATGATCTGTATCCTTATTGAATATTTTAAATATTTTTAGTTGATTGATAAAGCAAGAGAGTATTTTGGGCTGTCTGATCTTGAGAAGCCTACTCAAGCTGGTGGCATACTTAACGTTCACATTGGTGATGCCCTTTCTCCTTCAGTTAATATTTCTGGAGGGTATGCCGGTGAGTTCCTTGTCTACATGTCTTTGTATTACCTGGCCCACCTTTGGAATGCGTGGATGGTCAAATTCAAGGATTTGTTTTTGTAATTTTCGTGCTCTTGTGTATACTTCCTGAATACATTGGTTATGCCTCATTTTCACAATTTCTTGCAGTTCTCTCCCTGCTGTATTGCTAACTTGTTCTTGCAGTAAATATCAGGCATTGTTATTGACTTGTTTTCTGATGGAAAAGTTTTGCCACAGTTGCAAGAGGTATGAAGAGTGCTATCTTCCATGAATAGTTGGTGCCTTACCTTTTCATATTGTTTCATGGTATTAGAGGTTTGAACTATTTCTTCAATTGTTTACTTCTATTATCTTCTCCAATAAATACACCATCTCATGTGATCATCTTGTCTTCAAGCCACATTTTACACAGTGATATCTGAAAACATATATAGTATCCATTTGAACAATCTCATTCTGAGTCTGGTCAGAAAGCCAGAAGAAAATTTGAAAGAGTGGTGAAAAAAAAAAATTGCCATGAGAAGTTATGCAGAGAATGCAGTTGTTAAACCAAGGTATAATGGGAGGACCGAGAAAATAAGGGTAGAGAAACACCTATGAATTTAGACCCAAAAGAGCACCTCCTACTCATCTTGAATGTGCACAAGAAATCCTTGAGTGCCATTCAGAATACTGCTTTGCTTGGTCAGAGAAAACACTCCCTGTGAGCATGAATGTGAAATTGGAAAAGTCAGAAAGCACCCATAAGACACAACCATCTTCTGACAAAAGTTCAAGGGAACTGATGTTAATTTTTTTATAGCTAAAGTAAGGGAAGTAGCAATTAAATAAAGCTCAGTTTTTTAGTTTCTTCCTAGCAACTATCCTCCAGGGCAAGACCTTGTTCAAATTTCCCTTCACAAGAAACTTGGACAACCGTATTGCTCTCTCTTACTTTTGGATCCTCTTCCTGTGATCTACAGTCAACCAATTTCACCTACCCCTGTTGTCCTTTCAATGAAGGATTAAAATTATGCTACAGATTCTTAAAGCTAAAAAGTTACGAGCTGAGTCATAAAGCATCTAAAGTTTAAAGTCCATTAAATTGCATCTATAACCAAAATCAATCGTCTCAAACAGTTAAGTACTGCAGAAGTCTGACTTAAGGGTTTAATACAGCTAAAAAGATTGAAACCAACAAGATTCCAGTTAATTATGTATGTCCAAGTTACATGTTAAGTCAGGCCTAGTAAGTAATAATCGGGAACTTATAATTTGTACAACCTAGTAAGTTTTAGAGGTCTATGTACCTCCATGAGGTAGCTAGTTGTATCTTAGCTATTATTCCCATATCTGTCCCTTTCTTTTTTTTAATTTATCCAGAACCAGAATGCTGTGCTGTATCCAATTTCCTGTGTCTTGATATTTTCCTTGTCCTCCATTTTGACCGCATCACACGTTATCACGCGTTTTAAATAAATTTCATATATGATTTTTTATGTAGGTTACAACTTGGTTGGAATTAAAGGATCAGCTGATGCCCAATGGCCGTCTAATGGTGAACTGTGGTGGCGTAGATGGAGCATCTGATGTCAGAGATGGAACAGCTCATCCAAAAAATATCTCCAGTGACGACAGTTGGCTACAAAATTCTACTATCAAGGCATTATCTAAAGCATTCCCTGGACAAGTAGGCCTTGTTTTCTTGCTTGATACTCTTGTGGTTATGATTTCCAGTTTGCAACATCTAATTAATTTTTAAAATTAGCCTAATTTGCAATTTTTTTTATCAGATTTACAAACTGAAAGTATGAATATCAGATACTAATTATAATTTAAAACATGAGCAATGAGCATACAAAAACTGGAGTTGATTATATGCAATGGCCTTTGAGAAAGATGAGCTATATTTCTAGCTTATTAACCAACATTGCAGTCTCCAAACATTATGTGTCTGTGAAATATGAATGGCTCCTTTCCTACTTGTTAGTCCTAAATCATCCATCCTTCAGAGTTTTAACTGTTATTTGTGATTATGGCTGGAACTCTTGACTTGTCCTCTCCATACATGCATGTGTGCATAAGCACAAAGCACAATGAACTTCTTGTGTGTTGTGTTGATATAAACCATTGGGGTTGTTTTTTTATTCAGCCTAACTTTTGGGATCAAATTTCTTTTTTTAGTCCACGGTTACTTAGCATAGTACTAAAGCTTTGATTGTCTGTCTGATTCTTGTGTTTGAATCCTCTTGCGGTCGGCCATTTCTGATTGTGTGTGGTTTAAGTTTTTAGGAACATTGATTACTTAACAGATTAACATTCACACAACACAATGAAAATATCAGCAAATTAGTTCCCTCATCACGTCTGCAATATGTTTAAGAGTTTTGGGACATTATCACTTTTGCCTTACACGGCATTCTGCAGTAAATGTTAGGATTATCTTGGCTTTAATCTGTTAAACATTAATTTGAGCTTCGTGAATTTCCTGTCATACATGGATCTCATTGTCTTCATGCATGCTCCTGGTCATATTTTTGTTTCATTTAATAGGTCAATGCTTCTTAGATTGAAGAAAGCTCACAATTTGGTATTTGACAGGTAAGCTGGAAGAAAATGCCACAAACTTTTGGTGAAAACTATCTTGCACTGACGGGACCTTTGCCAGAATTGACTTCATGGTCTGCTGCAGTAACAGGTCCCTTGACCGCCAGTGTGAATCTATGGAGACCATGCGAACCTTGTTGTTGATGGACTCGAATTGTTTTCTTATACATTTGACCAGGGAGCTCTCTGTTGTGAATTTGTCACATTAAACACCGCTGGTCATGTTCTTGGAGATCAATATTACAGAAGATCACCACAGAACGCAACGGTGATCACAAAGAATGCAATCTGTATCTTGGACTTGCAATCTGTTTGATTGTAATGACTTTGCTCATTTGAAGCTTGCTCTACTATATATCAGGGTAATTGCTACATGTATCCCAAATATATATGATGAGAACAAGTGTATCTCCTTTTTAAGTTTGCTTGCACTAAAATACGTAGCATTCTCGCAAGTTTGCAAGATATATGATGGGAACGAAACCCAAGATACAATGGATTGATAGTGAAGAGAAAAAAATCATGATTGCCTCCTCTCCACTTACTTGTAAATCATGTCCTTTGCCAATTTTGCGTGCGCACATAGTTTGACTGCTTCTAGTTGAAGTTGCAACTTTGGAGTACAGCTCTTTGTTTGACATTCCGGATATGTTAAGCATATGACGTATGATGTATGTATAACACTAGTGTATTGTAATGGAGTGGATGATTGAAGTTGAGAGTAGAGTATGTTATTATATATGTTAAATTCCAGCACTTAAATACAGCCGAGTAATACTAGAGAGACTAACTCTTGAACAACAACTCATGTGTCAATGTTTCATTTATTTTCATTATGGACGCACTTTATTTATTCATATAATAAATAAGAAATTGTCACATCAATTCGTATCCAAACGTAAGAGAGTGAAATGAGGAGTCGGTGTTCAAAAGTCAGAGAGTGAAGAGTGGAGGGTTTGATTTTGTGGTTTAATCGGGATGACACAAAACGCGTGATAAAGCATTATCTCCGTCTATTTGCATTGCATGCATGATGCATCTTTGATGATGAGCATGGAAATTGAATAAATGGAAGCCGATCAGAGCCAGAGGAGTGAATTAATGATTGTTGGAGGAAGCACCAAGCATTATGGAAATGATCGAGGGTTTAGTATTTTAGGGTTACACAAGATGCGAGGAGAATAGAAGCTCCCATACTCCATAGGATTCCATATTGTATTTATATTTTTGATGAATTTAATGCATGATATGAATGCTATGAAGTATTATTAGTAGCAACAGTGTTCGTAAAGGCAACGGCACCAGCTGTACATGTTGCTGCATGTAACCCCAAACAATTATTTATACATAATATTCATCTTCATAAATAAATAAATAAATAATAAAAAACTAGTATTTCATTAGGGCATTTCTAATAGACAAAATATTAGGCTCGTTACATTTAAAGAGTCGTTTCTCCTTACAAACAAATGACAATTTAACATGTATGAATAAATTTTTCTTTTTTTATAATTTTAATGAATTATTTTTGCATATATCGTGATTAATTTGTACGAAAGAATAACGCCTTATATATAAGGAGTCAAACAATGTCCTATATAAACGGCCGAGCAATGTCCTTTGCATTGTAATATGATGATGGAAGAAAGATGAAGATGTTTGACCATAATTTTGGTGCGTGTTTGACCAGGAATATTGTGTATAAGAATGATAAAAATATGTTATGCATAAGAAGATGAGATTGCGTGGGAATCCCTTTTGGTGTGGATTGAAACAAACAATCCGGGGTTTGCATTGGGACTAAATTAAGGTAATCGAGGCCTTGAATTGTGTAGTCCATGTTGGATCAGCACGTGTAAATGCCACGGACTTTCAGGATTCTGCCTTTTCTTCTCACCATCCACATTCCCTCCCTCCTCATCTATTTTTCTTTTGTTTTCTTCTGGAACTTACCCTCTTCAGTTAACCCCACAAGGCCAGGACCCACGCCATTGGGGAGCTTTTACAGTTTTTCCCATACTGATTGTATTATATTCATTCACTGTTTGAAATATAAAACGAGATCAAAAGTAATGTTAGGAAAGCAATGAACTCATAATTTAAGTTGTTAAGAGCAGTTATCTTGAACTCAATATTCTATGTTCGAATTTCCTCGTTCCCTCCCGAGATTTCCCCAATATCAAAGCAAAATTCTTCATTTCCATTAGTATTGATTTGAAATTGAAAGAAAGAAGGGATGGCATACCCAATTCTAATTAGTGCTTCTAATCCCAAAATAAGTCAAAACTAAACCAAATAAACCCAACTAAGTTACCCATCTAACATATAATATTGTTATTATTGTCAACATCTCTTTATATCAAGCAGTATAAAGAAATAGCAAATGGAAGCGCATTTGGAGATGTGGTACCATTATCACGATCAGGTCACAAGTGGACCACCAAAGATATGGCTAAGCCTTTGGCTTTGGTTGCAATCCAATTGAAATGGTAGGGCACACCAATATATGTGTATATCTTCTGTGAATTTGGGTAGTTTTTATGGTTTCTTTTACCGATCAACATATACATATGTACATATTATTTTAAGGGTTTGCCTCATTCCTAGGATCCGGATCATGATATGTGCATCAAAATTCTCGTTCATGGTCACCGATTGCAGCACAGTAACCCAATATTTACCCCAAAACAATGCCAATGGGGATAAATAAGTAATTTAGCACCATATGAACAACTCAAGTTTCTCACTTGCACTGAATTTGATGCAAATTTTGTCACTTGATGAACGCAATTCAGGGCACTCTCTCAGTCCATGATCATCGTATACACACCCCTTTTGAGTTTGACCGCAGCTTTAACCAAAATTTCTACCTTCCGTAAATTAATTTAATCATGCAGCATGAAAAAAACAAGTATAGTGCAATCTAGCTATATTATATAATTTACATATTTTTTGCATGAACAATATTGGACCAGAAGAAGGCCCACAGGGCTTAAAAAGAGGTAGATATGAACCAGAGGTTTGGAATATATAAAGGAATGAAAGAAATAATTCCCAAATTCCTCGTTGACTCTGACCAGCTACTGTGAGCATGCGCAATTGAAGACTGACAGATGAATTTGGATACAAAAAGACGAAAAACACAATTTATATAAAAAAAAAAAAAAAAAAAAAAAAAAAAAAAAAAAAAAAGAAAATGAAAAAATGTAACTATCAAAATTAAATGGGAAATTTGACAGTTTTGCTGTATTTCTTCATCTTTATGAGGCGATATTAAGGATTAGGGTCTCCCATTCAACGGACAATTTACCGAAGCCCCTTCACATTATTCATACCCTTCCCATGAGAAAACAAGACACCGCCTCCTTCATATGAATATATAATATATACTACATGAATATTTACCAAATTATTAATTCATATATACATTATTTTTTCTACCTTCATTTTCTTTGTTTGCTATTTTTTTACTGATTGTTTCTTTATTTCTGTGCCCATCTTCTACTGTCAGACCTTAAGCTTTAAACTCATTCATTCTCTCTCTCTCTCTCTCTCTCTCTCTCTCCCCTTCTTCTTCTTCTTCTTCTTTATCTCTCTATCTCTCTTTAAACCTACGACATCGTGCCCTTGAAGCGAAGGAACTATTAGTGCTTTCTCTCTCTCATCGGCTGTCTGCCTTCTTTCCTGTGAGGCCTGTTGTCTTCTTTTCTTTGTCTCAGAGGGAAAGTGGAAGCTCTTTCTACCTACTGCAAAAAGGTCTACTGCTTTTTCTTTTTTTGTTCTTTTTCATTCATGCGTATCTTGATTTGAACTTTATATGTTATGTTTCTCTTCTTCTTCTTTCTTGTGTTCCCTTTTTTCCTACTTATATTATTACTAGCTAATATTACGTTTTTGGAGTTCATCTCCAATTATAAGCAAATATTACTTACAAAAAAATGTATTTACTTGGACTTCATCTCTTAGATATAGTACAGAGAGAGAGATGGTGTTTTGAGGTCCACCAAAGGCAACCTTTCTCCCTTCCACATAAACATGCAGATACGATGACCGTACCCGGGATCGATCTTCCTTACCAAAAAGTTGGGATTTCTAGGTTACATCATGTTCCTGTGCTCGCAACTTACTAGCAAACATCTCAAATTAGTACAAGGGTTTCCAGGGATCTTCCCAGTTTCTATAATCTGACAAGTAAAAACCAAAAAATGTTATTTCATGGATGGTTTAGCTTGAACTTTGAAGTTTAGCTAGTTTATTAGTTACTTCTGCATTCAACTTTTAACTCTGCCTTTACATGCCTGTTAAGGATATATAACGAGTGCAATTAGCTCCTTTTGTATTTCATATATATCGTACTTGTGTTCTAAAAATAATATCTTGCCCTTCTTTTTCAGGTTATTGTAGTTTAAATCTGCAAATACATAAAGGAGGACGAGGAGGATGATGGCTTCAGGAAATGGACAACTGACTGTCCCTCCAGGGTTCCGATTCCATCCTACGGATGAAGAGCTTCTCTACTATTACCTCAGGAAGAAGGTCTCATATGAAGCCATCGACCTTGATGTTATTAGGGAGGTGGATCTCAACAAACTGGAGCCCTGGGACCTCAAAGGTGAGATTTTTCATTTTAGGTTTCCATAATTATAATACATACACACAACATGCGTGCGCACGCGCACACATATAATCTTAAAAAGCTAATAACTTTGAATGTTGTGCATGCAGAGAAATGCAGAATAGGGTCAGGGCCTCAGAATGAGTGGTACTTCTTCAGCCACAAGGATAAGAAATACCCAACAGGAACTCGAACGAACCGGGCAACCACAGCTGGGTTTTGGAAGGCAACTGGGAGAGACAAAGCCATCCATCTCGCCAATTCCAAGAGGATTGGCATGAGGAAAACCTTAGTCTTTTACACTGGCCGCGCTCCTCATGGCCAAAAGACGGACTGGATCATGCATGAGTATCGCCTCGAAGATGACAACATTAGTGCTGATCAAGTTCAGGTAAAATTAAGTATAATCGATGTTAAGTGAATCACAGATATATATGTATGTCAATTACCAACCCGTCATAATAATTGATGTAACAAGGGAATCTTACTTGTCATATGTCGCATGGGAGTTGTTATGTAAGTGGTCGAAATATGTGGTCATATAATATTTAATAGGTTGTTGGTCTTTTGGTTCAGCAGGAAGATGGATGGGTGGTTTGTAGGGTTTTCAAAAAGAAGAATCACAACAGAGGATATCAACCAGAATTTGCTCATCATCAAGATCAAGAACACGATCACTTCGCAAACATGAAGGCAAGTGGTTCTCATGGCCCAGTACTGCTAGATCACCATGAGCCAAAACAAAATCATCATCATCTGGAAGCACTGTATGATTACACTAGTAATTTTGATCATGCTGGGTCCATGCACCTCCCGCAGTTGTTCAGTCCAGAGTCAGCTGTTGCTTCATCCTTCGTGTCGCCTAATACTATCAATTTGAACACCATGGACATTGAGTGTTCTCAAAACCTTTTGCGGCTAACATCTACTGCAGCAGCAGCAGCAGCAGCAGCTGGTTGTGGCCAACTCATGCAGCAGCAGGAGAGATCATTGATCAACGGTGGTGATTGGTCATTCTTGGACAAGCTCCTCGCATCTCACCAGAGCCTCGATCATCACCACTCATCACATACCAAATGCAACAACCCTTCTTCATCAGCTCAGCAGCAGCTTAATAATTCTCATGAACATGTCGGTACTTCATCAACAACACAGCAGAGATTCCCATTTCAATACCTTGGCTGTGGAACTGACCTTTTAAAGTTTTCCAAGTAGCTAGCTACCTATCTCTAGGGTTCTGCAAGCCTGCAAAGTCTCTTTGGTGGATCGATATTCACTTCATCGATCCATCCTAATTAAGCTGTGCACGCTCCACTCTTAATTTATTTGGGTAGTTTTTCATAGATATTTAGTTCAAAGTCTAGCCTTTTCTATTTAATTTATAAGTTTGATTTCTTTTGAGTATCAAAATGTATATACAAATAAGTTCTATTTCTTTTGGTGTTTTGCTTAGATATTTGATATATTCTTCTTTAAGTTATTCTCACACTACAGCTTAAATTATTTTCCATTTGATAAAGTTATACATTATTGGTCCATTTCTTGTCAGTTTCGGCCATAGGTTGCAGGTTCAAGGTAGAACCATGTAAATATTTTGCGAGTGTGTGTATGCACTAAATTATATATACGTACTGAGAGAAGGCTTCTCTGGTTTTCCAGGTACTGAGAGAACCCTCCCGACAAAATAAAGCTAGTTTCAAACATCGCTATATATATGACAGACACCAACCTTGCTTTGCTTTGCCCTTTATGTGTCAAACTTTCCCAGAGACAAATTGAGCACGGCCTTTCTATATGTTTTGCCCTTGGAGGAGTGAAGTGTCTCGTCATGATCATACGGATCAAGTTGCCTAACACCTTGTAGAGCTAACCATAAGTTGCCTAACAAAAATGGGGAAAAACAATTTTAAAAAAACAATCGCAGTGTCTTATGTAAAGAGTATAGCCGTTCTGCTATAACATTTATTTATATATATTTTATTTTATTTTTAAAAAAAGTTGTAATGCCGTGCAGCTATACTCTTTTTAAAAAAAATATCCCCCATATCGCTGCACGGCTATACTATTTTTATAATAAAAACAACTCGTATAGCCGCACGGCTGTATTCATTTTATAAAAAATTCTGAGTATCGCGGATCGGCTATACCATTTATTTTTAAAAACATTGGCCCCCCCTGGAGCCTAGAGCCCGATTTGCCAAGTCCCAAAAACGTATAGCCGCATGGCTATACTTTATTATTATTTTTTTTAAAAGAGAACCGCCTGGTGCTGGCACCGGCGCCAGTTTAAAAATAGTCTAGCCGAGCGGCTATACTATTTTTATTATTAAAAAATGGGGTTATAGCCGAACGGCTAAACTATTTTTTATAATAAAAAGTACCGCCCTGTGCCTTCCGCCATTTCACCACGTGTCAAAATAGTATAGCCGATTGGCTATACTGTTTTAATTATAAAAAAAAGGCTTAATTATGTACATGCCCCCTGTGCTTTCCAACTTATCTCAGATTACCACCTGTGTTTGAAAACGTCTCAAAGTACCCCCCAACGTGCAAAACACCGTCTCACGTTACCATTTCCGTCAGTTTTTTTGAAGTTCCGTTACGAATGTTACTGTTCATCTTCCCCAAAATTCCAGAACAGTAGCCCTTCCCCTTTGTTACTGTTCATCGCTTATTTACCCTCCAAAACTCAGAAATTTCTCCTAACCAACACAACTAGCAGCAAGAACAACTCGAGAGGTTGAAAAATCATACCTGGATCGAAGAAAATGGTGCTCGGAATCGCCCGAACGAGCAATGGAGATTTTGGGTAAAAACCGGCCAATTTCTTGCTTTTTTCGGTGATCCAGACCACGGTTGGCAGCGGCTGAGATGTGAGGGTGGTAGAGGACAACGTGCTGGTTCTTTTGATATCCATGTCGTCGCTTGGGGTGGCCGGAGGAGGCGATGGCAGCCCAAAAACTGGTGCGATGAACAGTAACAAATGGGAGGAGCTGCTATTCTGGAATTTTGGGGGAGATGAACAGTAACGTTCGTAACGGAACTTCAAAAAAACTGACGGAAAGGGTAACGTGAGACAGTTTTTTGCACGTTGGGGGGTACTTTGAGACGTTTTCCACCACAGGTAGTAATCTGAGATAAGTTGGAAAGCACAGGGGGCATGTACATAATTAAGCCTAAAAAAAATTAGAGTATAGCCGGCCGGCTATACTATCTATAAAAAATTAGGACCCGCTTGGCGCTAGCTCCCATTTAGTATAGCCGCCCGGCTATACGATTTTTTTAATAATGAAACCATAATATAGCTGCGCGGCTATACTATCTTAATTATAAACAAAATCCGAGTATAGCCGGTCGGCGATACTATTTATAAAAAAAAAATTAGGACCCGCATGGCGCCTGACTTTTCTGTTCAAGTGTTTTTGTTAAAAGGAAAAACATTTTCATTTTCACTTATATATATATATTGTATTAAATATGTTTTCATCTCTCTGCATCTTGCTATTTTCTTCTTGTTCGTTTGTTAATTGTTTTGGTTCTACAATGTTTCGTATATCAACAATAGCCACTTTGTGAACTAAATCAAAAAGCTGGAACTCATTAACAATTTCGAAAGTAAAACGGGATTGAAGCTTTTAAAATTAATTTCATGGTTTTTGATCAGTTTGAGTTGTGTGATAAACCCAAATCAATGAGAAGCTTCTCTAACCCTAATTGAGAACAATGAAATTGACAAGAAAAATTAACCTAATATGTCTCTTACCCGTTCTTGCGGCTTCAAGAGAGTGCTTCAACAATCCCACAAGAAAAATTGAAGGAAAAGAATGAGAAGGGTAGCTTTGGACTGAGGAACATGGAAGAGAATGCATGAAGATGAATGATGGGAAATAGAAGAACGAGGAGAAAGAGACGCGAGTGTGAAAACATATGGGATTATTTTTAGAATTATGAAATTTTCATTAAACTCTAATGCCTCTCCAAACTGATTGCCGCATAATCAGAAAATGAAAGCAGCTCTATACCAGCTTTCCTTATAGCCTTATCTCACATCAATTTTTAACAATAAGTGATTTTCTCATAATTTACCAGAGGCTTCTCAAATTTTTTAAATCACTTATCACCGCGAATAAGCAATGCCAAACGGACAATTAGACTACTTAAGTGTGGTCTCACGATTATAGTAGAGCTCTAGGACTCGATAAGGAGTTCTAATACAACTATACCTGCAGCTAATATAAAGTTTGTGTTTTAAAGATAATTATTGAGCTAAGAGAAGGATTCCTAATTAGATTGTGGAATAGGAGGTTAAAACCTAACACATTTCGGAAGTTGAAGCACTCAAAACCCCATCTGGAGCCAAGTGACATAAAGAGATCGAGCCTTTGTTCTTTTTCACGGTTCCTTGCAGCACAAGTCCGGTAGCAGTTCAGGAGATTCAAAGGTATGGATATGTTGTAGTGTTCTTTTGTGTGTAGCCTTAAGGTTTACACAAACAAAGTAGTAATTTGGTATTAGCTGGGCCTTGAAAATGGGTAGGACATAATAATGAATATGCAAATTAGTACTAATGAAGCCTTCATCAGTTAATTAGCTATCATGGATTTAGTTTAATTTGTGTTGTTGACTAATTGAATCTTGTATATGGGTCAAGAATCATATTACATATCCATCTTTGCGTTGCTGTGGGCATGTTGTGAGTGTGTACCATTTGGCCATGAGAGAAAATCTTTTCCTTCCTATGATGAGTTGCAATCAAACAACTTTTGCTTAAATAATTAAGCTATATATATGTTCTTGGTCTTCTCTTCTCTTGCTTTATCCCATTGACATAAGCGGCAAAGTTTAAATTAAATTTCTTAACCTTTTTCAAGTTAAAAAATATATCCTTGATTACGTCTCTCTCCCGATGATTAGTGACCGAAAATTGAGTATGTTTTTTTTTTGGTTTATATGGATTGAGTGTGTTGATGCTCCACACGTCATATATACAAATGAATAGTTGATTAAGCCTCTGGTTATAATTATCTAATTGACTCTTGGACATGGCATGGGGTTAAGGACTATATGAAAATTTTAAGATTATGTTATCCCATACATGCATGGATCATACATCTCAATCTATAGAAAGTCTTCGGTAGGATATTCAAGCTGAGGGACTAAAAGTCCAAACTCTGATCCTACTAAATTTCAACTTTGAGTTGGATAAGAGTGAAGAATCTGATATATTAATTCAAAGACATAGACAAAAGGGCTCTCAAAACTCAGGTAAGAGATCATTTTCAAAGCATGTGATCTTTTTTCTGTTTTTCTTCATCTCTTTTGAATCTTATCATCTCCTTTGGTTGTAATCTTGCCATTTCTAGAATGGTTTGATTATCATTGACAATTTCATTTTCTTGATGTACATATGAAAAATGAATCCCTCAGATTACCTAGTTTCTTCACAAATATCAGAAAAGAAAACAAACCCATGAACACAAATCAGTGAATATATACATAAGTATGCAAATATTGGTTGCAAAATTTCTTTCAAAAGCAAACCTTTCCATTAAAAACAATGCAAGAAAGAAGTTTCTCCAGCCTGCTAACTTAGTATAAGCTCTGGTCCAATTGAGTGCTTTGCCTTTCTTTACAGACATGGAAACCTTAAATACAACTCGGTATGGGCCTTCCTATGCCCCACATACAACTCATATCAATGTCACATTTCATATGTATATATGTATATAAACAAAGCCTACAAGGCCCATTTTACGTCACAACGAGTAATATTAAAAGTATTCGACAAAATACCTCAAAGACGGATAGAATTTGACCGGATAACATTGGATGGATGAGGACCATCATTTCGTCCTAACCTCCTACCTAACATAACTACCAAGGGCCTAAATTTTTCTAACGAAAAAGTTAAAAATCAGGGACAGCCTGAAAGCATGCTTTGGCTTAATGGGAAAAGCCAAAAGCTCCAGAAGCAATATTTTAAAAGTGATTAGGAGCAATTAACATAAAAGTCCTAAGATGTAACCTAAGTAAGGGATAATGTAGATTAATGGGGAAGATTAGCATATTCAATTAACAAAGGGAGAGAAAGTAGGGCCTTGTTTTGAACACGGGACGGGATGCCCTTTTCATATCAAAATGTTCTGCCTTGCTCTGCTCTGCTGCTATTGGTTTTGTTTTTTGGGGGCATATTGCAGCCACAAGGGGCCAGAGGGGCATATCAGCATATGCAAGTGTCAGTGACTCAGTGACCCAAGATACATGGTCAGTGCCACGTGTCTGGTGTTGTATCAATTATTATTAAAATCCCAAGTTTGTCTTGGTGTGAATGAATGGTTAGAATGGTAAAAAACAAGAAACAAAAGAAAATATGTGATACTCTTTCTTTTGGGGCTTTTTATATATTATTATATAATATTTTAATATTTTGATTTTATTCCCAAAGCTGAAAATCTTTATGGTCAGCACCAATTAAAGGGTCCTGTTGGAAAACCCTAACAAGTTTTAACTGCTAGATATTTTTCTTTTATAAATGGCTAAAATGGTATAAAAAACAAGAATAAATATGTGATATTTTTCTTTTGGCTTTTTTTATTATTATTTTAAATATCTTAAATATCTTGATTTGATTCTCAAAGCTCAAAATCATTATGGTAATCACCAAGTAAAGGGGGTCCTCTTGGAAAACCCTAAAAAGTTTTAACTGCTTCTTCCAACCAAAAAAAAAGGAAAAAGAAAAAGAAAATTCTTAGTAAGGGTGCGAGTGAGTTGGTTTTTTCCAAGTTAAAAGGCCAAGGTCTTTCTTTTATTTGCTTCTTAGAAGCGCTTGGGTTCCGCCACCCGCCGCCTGGTTGAAACAAGAACAAAGGAGAGGCTGTTGGGTCTATCTTGTATTCCAAAGTCCTCCTTTTTTGCGTTTATATTAACGATAACGATACCAATCTCTCGTTTGTTTCCATTATTTCCAAAGGAAAAAGAGAAAAAGAAGAAAAAAAAGGGAAAAAGTTGCATTGCTTTAGCAGTTTGGCCTTTGCTTTGCTTTCATATTCTGTGTAGCCTTTTGACGATACCCAGTTAAGTATTTATGTGATGTTTGTGAACCCACATCAAATCCCAGAGAGCAAAGCATAGCGGGAGACAGGAACCTTTGTAAACACCGCCATTGTTAACAAGGTTTGATTTTTCTCTTATCTTCATCCCTCTTTATCTATCCAGTATGTACCCATAATATCTATGCAGATTAGCCTCTCATTGGGCATTGATGCTTTGTTGCATTTTTATTTATACTATCTTTGGTTTTATCAAACCAAAAGACCAACTGGGTCTTACTAGCTGTAAGCCTATAATTAGTGCTAGGCGCTACTTCTTCCTGCTATCACATTTATTCTGCTTTGGTTTGTCTCAGTCTTAGTGATGTTGGGTTTTCTCAGATTTTGATAGCAGCAGTCAGCAGAGGACGGTTCTTTTTTGTGGAAAAGATAACCTTTTTATAACGAAAGTAGACAAAATGAAGTACGTATTGGTGACGGGTGGTGTTGTCAGTGGACTCGGCAAAGGGGTCACAGCTAGTAGTATCGGATTGCTCCTTCAAGCATGTGGCCTTCGTGTTACATCTATCAAAATTGGTACCTTTCTCTTTAAGAGTTTCCTCAGCTGGTTTTGGTTTAAATATGCAAATTGTAATACCTTTTGATGAGTATACAAAACAAAATTGCAACGTTTCTTTTTCGTTATACTTGGACTGATGTCATTTTAATAAATTCTAACTTTCTCACAGTACAATTTGCAATTTGTTCTTCCACTAGCTTAGTTTTTTTGAATATAGTTGTGTTGTATTTTGGATGTAAATTTCTCTAAATAGTGAACGTATCTTAGTCAATCATAAAACACTTCACTTCACCTTGGCCTCAGCCTTTGTTCAGGTGTTAGAGATAGAGCTTGGATATTAGGATATTTCTTGCTTGTGATGTATCTGACTTATTGATATTTTACCACATGTCCTTATACAACTTGATAATATTTTTATTTTAACAAGAAAATATAAGTTTTAATGCTTCTTCATACATCAATAGTTTATATCCTACTTACTAATGCTGAATTGTATCTGTGTATGCAGATCCCTACTTGAACACAGATGCAGGGACAATGTCTCCTTTTGAGCATGGGGAGGTGTTTGTCTTAGATGATGGTGGCGAGGTAAATTGCCTAATAAACAGATCCAATATTGCATGCTGTTGTTTTAACTTTTGTGGGTTTTTGGTGCTTTCTATTGTTATCTTTAGATGTGGCTGATGCTCTAATTTTAGTGGTGACAGAGAGTGGTTATGACTCGCTTTTTTTGTTTTTGAAGGTGGACCTTGACCTTGGAAACTATGAGCGGTTTCTAGATCTCACTTTGACCTGCGACAACAATATCACGACTGGAAAAATTTATCAGGTTACTTGACTCCCTCCTTTCAGTTTGTGGAGCCATGTTCAACGTTTGGATATAACTGAAGAATCCATGTGAGCTATGTATGTCAAACCACTTGCTTCATTTTTAATTATTCTCTTGGTTGTTTTAACAGCATGTTATTGACAAAGAGCGAAGGGGAGATTATCTTGGACAGACTGTCCAGGTAGATTTCAACGTTCTCTTTTTATGGTACCTTTCCAAGATTTGCAAAATTTATGTTGGTACCTGACTTTTATTTCTTCCCCCTCACTAGATCATTCCACACGTTACGGATGCTGTCCAAGAATGGATAGAGCGTGTGGCAATGGTACCTGTTGATGGAAAGGAAGGTCCAGCTGATGTTTGTGTCATTGAATTAGGTGGAACTATAGGTACATGAAAATTTTATTTTGTTTGTTTAGGATGCAATATTTTCCTGTTACTTAATAGCTCAAAATAAAATCCTATCAAATGTTTTAAAATAAACTCTTGTTTCCCATATTGCAGGGGATATTGAATCAATGCTTTATGTTGAGGCCCTTGGCCAGTTTTCATATCGTATAGGTAAGGTCACGAGCTCAATGAACATAGCACCTTATTTTACATATTCGTTTAAACTAAATTTTCTGTCTTTGATTAAACTGGTTTTCCTTAATAATTTGCTTCTTGTGATAGGCCCCGGAAATTTCTGCTTGATTCATGTCAGCCTTGTGCCAGTTATCAATGTTGTTGGTGAACAGGTGCTCCAAATAGTGTTTATTAATGCTATATTTTATATGCACTGTGCAGGCTAATGGTTCCATTAATATGGAGCCTGCCAAAGCATAGTCTATGCACATTTTGGACTAATTTTCAGTCACATACCTGCTCTAATTAACTTTTGATTTAAATATTCAATTTGTAGAAAACAAAGCCTACACAGCATAGTGTCAGGGAACTCAGAGGACATGGTTTGACACCTAATATTCTAGCTTGTAGGAGTTCAAAGGTCTTGTCTTCTGCCTTCCTCTCCAAATCTAATTTTTAGTTGTATGTGGGTGCAGAAGTCTCAAGTTTCTTCTTTCTATTTGTCTTTGACAGCCACTTGAGGAGAATGTCAAGGCAAAACTTGCTCAATTTTGCCACGTGCCGGTACTATAACAATATAATATGAATGCTGATGTTCCTCATTTGACCTTAACTATTATTTACTAATCAGCAAACTACCTTTTACAGGCTGAAAACATTGTCACTCTTTATGATGTTCCAAACATTTGGCATGTCCCTTTGCTTTTAAGAGTAAGTATATTGTGTCTGAAAATTAAATTTGTTTATACTTATTTACAGCAAGAATCCATTTTTTAAACTTTTGTTCCTCTGTTGTCACAAATAGGATCAGAAAGCGCATGAAGCAATCTTGAAAGGATTCAACCTAAAAGGGTTTGTCTTACAAACTCACTCTTTGTTTGCTGTATAATCTCTTTCTTTCCTTTGCTGCATGGATGCTCTCCTTTCTATGGTCTACCAGCAACGTTCTGTGCTGCTGCAAGCTGGCCTTTAACCTTTTTCTTATTTAACAGTGTTGCTAGAGAGCCAAATTTGAAGGAATGGACTGCCAGGACAGAAATTTCTGCGACTTTACACGATCCGGTGGGCTTTCGAGATCAAGACTCGGTTATTTCTTTTATCTGTGTAATGCCAGTATCTCGCTCTTAACTGTCTTGTGCATTACAGGTGAGAATTGCAATGGTTGGAAAATACACAGGTCTTTCAGATGCTTACCTCTCTGTTTTAAAGGTAAATTGTTTTGTGAACATATTTTTGACACCTTATAACATGGGTTGCAAGGTCTAAAATTTGTGAGATCGGATTATGATGTCTAGCTTCATGTGCCAGGCTCTTCTGCATGCTTCTGTTGCATGCCACCGGAAACTTGTTGTAGATTGGGTTGCAGCGGGTGACCTTGAAGATGTTACTGCTAAAGAGGTTTACACTAATGTTAACTTACCATATTGCCAAAATTCATTTAGTTTATTTGTTATTTAATTTACTAATTTATGCTTGCAGGCCCCTGAGGTTTATAAGGCTGCATGGGATCTTTTGAAGGTGATCCTGCTTTTATAATTGATTGCATTAAATGTTCCTTTTTGTTAATATTTTGTTGGTTGTATATTCAGAGTGTTTTTCCTTCATTGATCTTCTAAACATCCTTCATTTCAGGGTGCTGATGGTGTTCTAGTTCCAGGAGGATTTGGCGATAGAGGAGTGCAAGGGAAAATTCTTGCAGCAAAGTATGCTCGAGAAAACAAAGTTCCATTCCTTGGCATATGCCTGGGAATGCAAATTGCTGTCATTGAGTTTGCACGATCTGTTCTTGGTATGGTTGATGCTAACAGCACAGAGTTTGATCCTGAAACTACAAGCCCTTGTGTCATATTTATGCCAGAGGTGTGTGATCCCACAGTAGTTGATAAAGTGATGTAAACTTTAATACTCGATTTGTTTAAATTTTCTTTCTAAAGCTAGTTTCTTTTCAACATTAAGGGCTCAAAAACTCATATGGGAGGAACTATGCGTCTGGGATCAAGGAGGACTTACTTCAATGTTGCTGACAGCAAATCAGCAAAACTGTGAGGACTTCAAACCTGTTTAACCTTATATCTTTTATATATATATATATATATGCGCATATGTACATGTCTTCATAAACTTCATGACTCCTCCAATAAGTACCGGAATGATTAGCAGCAATTCTTATGCTATTAGAAACTAGATTACTAATATTGTTTTTTGTTGAATCCTCATTATACATTCTTCAGTTATGCTAATATACCAATATGGTTTATGTTTATGCTTAGGTATGGGAATGTGGCGTTTGTTGATGAACGACATAGACATAGATATGAGGTAAGTTTGTTCAAGCTCTACTACATGTAATCAACATGCCTTCTACATAACAGACAGGCTATATGATATAGAAGAGGAACTGTCTTGAATTGTCTTCTCTTTAGTTAAGAAGGCTTTGTTTGTGCTATGTAGGTCAATCCTGATATGATATCACAACTTGAAGATGCTGGTTTATCATTTGTTGGCAGAGATGAAACTGGTCGGCGCATGGAGGTAAGCATATGTTGACATGCTGTATATGAACCCGAGTGCCTGAATTACGAGAGTCCTCTATAATTCAGCTTGATAGTTTATTCTTTTTTTAGCAACTGTGAACTTTAATTTGTTATTACCTGCAGATTGTTGAGCTGCCTTCCCATCCATACTTCGTTGGGGTTCAGTTTCATCCTGAATTTAAGTCAAGGCCAGGGAAGCCTTCTGCTCTGTTCTTGGGTATTTTTCTTTTTCCTTTTTCCCCTGCTTTGGAATCTCTCTTTGAATGTTACATACTGAAACAATTAAGCTATGGGGAAGACTTGCAACGATGAGAAAACTCTTGCATCAACTGTTGGTTACTCTGTTATTTAAATAACTCAAAATGGCTTTTACTTTATGAAGTTGTGTCTAGTTTGGCTAACGTGAATAATTTCTTCTGTTACAGGACTAATAGCAGCATGCAGGCATTCAAATACAATTCTTCAAAACAATGGGCATGTAGTAAAGCCAGTTACAAATGGGATGAGTAATGGACATGTAATGGTGAAAACCCACCAAAATGGACATGCTTTTATGACGTCCAATGGCTTGCTAAATGGTGTGTATAGCAATGGTAATGGCGTCCACTTGTAAGAGAAAGTTGGTGATGGCCTCGTGGTATTGTTTCTCCGGAAGTGCTTTTGGTAGTTTACGGTTTTCTGTACAGATGCTGAGCATGGATAGATGGTGTAGCTCTAGAGGACTTGTCTTCAGGATTAAGCTGGATTTTGAATTTTGAATGACACAGCTGGAAATTCCTAGAAGATTTGGCTTGAAGTGTGATGTTGCTCCATTGAACTCTTTGTTTTGTTTTGTTTTCTTTTAGTATGCGGACTTTTTGACTGTTGGCCTTGGAAAAGAGGAACATATAGGCAACATTTCAATATATGTTTTAAGGAACTAACATGTTTGAATGTTTCCTTCTCTAAATAAGTATTAAAGACAGAGACCTGTGTCCCTTAGTGGTTGTGACTTTTATTTCGTTTTATTTTAGATCAATTAGGCATTTTGAAGTGGGGGGATTTTTGTTTGGGAAATCATCTCTAGGGGAGAGATCACTAATTGGTACTACTAGTGTATGACAATTTATCTTTTCTGTTTACATAAATGCAATAATCAATATAATCATGCTCTTAATCCACCATGTATGTTCTTGTGTTGCTTCTGTCTCACAAGTTACTATGAAGGATTGTGATGTCTATGTCTCCTTACAGATTATTCGGATCTACCTGCCAGTTCTGAAAAAAAAAATGAAAAAAACAGAGATTTTGTCACTCTTCCAATTTCTAAAGCAATGAAAATTTATGCATTGCTTGTCGCATCTACCATGAAGCTAAGAGCACATCTCAAAGGCACCCATAAGATAGCGAATTCTATGTCAACCAGACAATGTGCCCATCCAATCCAAACTTCTTCGAAGATTTATGATTTACAGAGTTTCGGCCATTTTGGTTCCTATTACTCTTTGAATACAGTAATTAGAACAAAACCTTTGTGCGGTTTCTGGACGAGCAGGATCTAAGAACTGCAGCTAATGCCATGGGAAGAAGGTTGGGGACTCAGATCTCAGCCCAGTTTCAGACAAAGCAATTTCTCCAATATGCGTTCTTGTCCTGAAGAAACAATTTTGATCTTCGTTGCATGAATATGTAACGACTCATAACGTTTTTTCTTTATTTTTATTTTTCAAGGATATGTGAGGAGCAAGAAAGAACATAATCATTAAAGCTAAGATTTATCTTTAAAAAATGTTTTACTTAGTTTTTTTTAGTTAAGTTAAGTTACGGTTTACTTTTTTTTTAGTTATGGTTTACTTTTTGTTTTTTTGGACGAAAGTTACGGTTTTCAATGTTTGGGCTTGTTTATAAATTTGGGCTGGGATTGTTTTGGGGTTTTTTTGAGTTTTTTTTGCTGTTGGGCTTTATAGTGGCAGACCTGTAATTTATAGAAACTTTAACACTAATTTGTTACATAATAAATGGATTTTTGGTGTGTTTCTAAAATGTATTCTATGTGGGTTTTTTTAATAATTTCAAGTCCTATTTTGAGTATATTAGTAAAGCTCCCAATAAAATAAGATTGTTACCAAATGCACCCCAAGTACATGAAAGCCTCGGGCGTAGACAATATAAGCGGGATACTACATGACTTGTTGACATATAAAAAAGAAGGTAAATATCTTCTGCATTTTCTGAAAGAAAAGACTTGACAAGTGACGTAATGTAAGACCGGCAGAAAATCATGCCATGTAAAGGCAGCTACAATTATAGATTTGATAACTGGTATAAGGTGTCCTTATTGATGGATTTAATCTGCCAATTGCGATCGGCACTGCTTGGATCGACTGTGGATATATGCAAGTTCTTCTTGTGGAAGTCATATAGAGTACGCCGGTGGCCAACGCTAATGTATGTTATGCCTGCTTTCTCAATCTGCTGATATAAATGAGCCTGCCAAAAGAAGCACACCCAGGAGAACCTCACTACAACTTTGAATTATATGAATATGATATTGAATGAGTTGAATAAAACAATGCTTTGTAAAGACTAGATTATTCATTTCTGGTGTTTTGTATGCATGGCGCAAAAAGGGACAAAATGTAGCATGTAGATAATAAGGTTTACTATGAAGGTGTCCAGTGTGTTGGGGACAATTCCTAAAGATACTCTTGAAAGTCTTAGGAAAGAGAATGGTAACGTAAAATATGTGAACTCCTTTAGCTGAAGCTTACCCAAGATTAGTAATAAAACTTGCATCATCAATTCAAAGATAGGATAATTTCTAGTAAATGAATACCTCATTTGCTTCATCTAAAGCACTGGTTGATTCATCCAGTAGAACCAATTTTGGTCTTGAAAGCAGTAGACGTGCAAAAGCAAGGCGTTGCTGCTCTCCAAGGGAGAGAACACTAGACCATTCATATGAAGTATCCAAACTACTGAATCGGGCTAATATATAACCAAGTCGGACATCCTCCAAAGCCTGTATCAGGTCCTCTGTTGTGGGCTTACTAGGCTTTTCACTTGTATTTTCTAATTTTGGTGCCTGCATCAAGAAAGGAAGTGAACCTGCAAGAATTACAAAATCAATTGTCACAGCTGATTATAACTTCTCAGTACACATACCATGATATATTGAGATCAAAATGTAAATCTACAAATAGAGAATGATATACAAGAATGCAGACACGATACAACCTCCGAGATTACTTGAGCATTATCAATTATGTGGTACTTACTATCCCAACCAGATAAAACGGGATTTCTTGAATGAAATATTACGTCTTACGCCATGAAGATTATAGCTAAATCTGCAACTTGCAAACAATTAGAGTATAGGAGTGCAGAAGTACACCCCTTGATAGAGTAGACTAGTGTTGAAGCTAGTCCGTTCACAAGAGACAACATGCTGAAGTACTATAAAATTAATCTGATTGAGGACACATATCCTTGATCTTCAGCAAAAACCTTGTTTCCACAGAGTGGATACTCTTTTTGAATCTGTTTGTTATTTTCTTAAGCAACTCAGTCAATTTCACATGCACAGGAAAATTACGTAAGTTTGGCTTTCCAGTTGTTACGCATAGGTATACAAGGGTAAGCGACTTTTCCTGTAAATGAGAATTGTTTCCTCCTATTTTCTTTATTTTTCCTTTTTTAGGGGAGTTTAAAAAGGATTTCCAAAATCCTAATAACAAAAACATGCTCTATAAATAAAATTAGGAAAAAAATGCTCCAAAAAATCTAAGTCAGAAATGCTTTTAAAAATGTGCCAAAAAGATTTGAAGTACATACCTGTTGGTTTAGTACTCTCCGATGTTGAAATCGCATCATCAGCCCATGTAGGATAGAGCAATTGTTGGCGAAGTGTTCCCAATACCATATATGGTCTTTGAGGAAGGAAAAATATGCCTTTATAATTCCTATTTGAGGGCCTTCCAAGTTCCCCATATTTATCATTAGCAGTATCTACCTTAAGGGGGGCTACACCTGAGGAAATGGATGGTTGATGATCTTCTTCGCCATCTTTCACATAGAATTTGATCTCTCCTTTTCCAGTACTCCAAAGACCAGACATAGCTCTTAATAAAGATGTCTTACCACTCCCACTTGGTCCTGTTACCTATTAAAGTGATCATATACAAGAAAAGTTCTTCAGCATTTACTGGGTCAAAAGATTTATCTAGTAAACTCATGATAAATTCAATATCACAATGGAATTACCAACCAATAAGTGCTCATTGTTGTTGATTAGCAATGATAAGTCCCTAACCAATGTAGCACTACTTGGTGTCTGCACAGTCAAATTCTCTATATCCACTAACTTTTGTTGCTCGTTGTCTATGGGAATGGATCCATTTGAATCCAGTTCAGCTAAACTTTCAACGTTACAATATATAAGACGTATCCCTTCTGAGGGATCAGAACGGCGTTCAAAGTTGCTGGTATCCAACACATCATCAAATTCACCTGCATGTGTTGGATATCACTAGGTAAACAAGTGTGCAAAGTGGAATACATGCTATAAAAGATCTTGTGTGGAACCCATAAAGAAAACATTACAATATTTCAGATCATGAGTAAATTTTGGAATGGAGCTAATAGAATTAGGCAGAATAACAAAATACAAAGTATAATGAATCTGTAAATGATGGAATAAATCTAATTAACTTGAAGAGTATAGCAGGCTTCTACTGTTAAATGCAACATAAAAGATATGGTGAAAGGTAGAAATATTATTGAAGATGTTTTACATATCACCTGAAAATATAGAAACAATGTCTGTAATCATCTGAATGAATCTAGGAAGGAAAATGAATATGGATAGAAAAAGAAAAAGGGTTATCTTATGTCAATTTCTTTCTTGAAGACTACCCATATTCATTCAATTTTTCAAGACCCCATATAGCATCAACCAAATTAGCCAGCTTTCTTATTAAGTTATCTGGTCAGAGAAGACATACGCAACAGATCCTAGTTATAGTAAATAGAGTTATAAGGATGGAAAGACAATACCAAGTCGATCAATTACAGCTGAAAATGCGCTGATAGCCTGAAATTGGTACACAATAAGGGAGAAGTCCCCAAGAATATGATTGAAAGCAGATACTGACTGATTAATGACACCAAACTCAATTTTTCCTGAGAAAAACATAGGAGCAACAACAGCAACGGGAAGAATCTGAATAAGATAGCGGTACCCATTGGTGAAAAACTCGAGATTTCTTGAAGATATCAACAATTTCTGCAAGTTAGGAATAGGAATTAAAACATAATCATATGGAACCACATGACAAAAAAATCTACATGTCCAGTAATTGTAAATCAGTAAAACTATCAACTGCAAACAAAACTCGTGGGCATCTGTGTACTTTAAATTCAATCATGCAAGGAAAGAGAGAAAAAAAAATGCTCATCTTCTCTTAGTAGATCTATAGAAGGGGGAAGTCCTAAGTATGATTCTTCGGCATATTTATAGTAAATGCACACAGAAACAATATTGTATTAACTAAATTCAATGAGTGAGAGAAAAGGGAGTCCTCAATGTAAAGGCTAATTACTACATGGAGAGAAAACTCAAGTAAATGAAAACAGAAGAAAACTAAAGTCATTCATACACTCAGATTTTCAAAAGCACTTTTGAAGCGTTGCAGCAAAAGTTGCATTTCATTTTCTTCACCACTATAGAAGGCAATGGATTCAGCATTTTCTCGAACACGCACAAGTCCATAACGAAAATCAGCCTCCTTTTTCTCTTGTAAGAAGTTTAAAGAAACCAAACCCTGAAAACACAAATACAGAGTTTCCATTAAATCGAGTTGGTATCCTCTATTATTGCCAAATATATCAACTGTATATAACATGGGAAATGGTTCTTTGTTAAACAGAGTTACAAATATTACCCTTCCAAGATAGACACTAATAGCTGTTCCACCAATCGAATACACAAGAAGGACAACAAACAGTGGAGGATAGATACCAAATAAGATGTTACTGAATGATATGAGATCTATCACAGAATTGAAAAGTGTTAAGGAGAAGGATAGGGCAGTTCCCGTGAAAGAACTTAGATCATCAACAATGCGCTGATCAGGATTATCAATGATTGATTGGGATTGAATTCTGTAAAAGGTTTGGTTGCTTAGGTAGCGGTCCATGTAATATTTTGTCATCCAAGATCTCCACCTCAAAGAAAGAGTTTCTCTTGCATAATCTCGCAACACAAAAATCTGCACAACAGTTTTCAACATATGAAACAAATATGTCAGTAAACCAGGTCATTGTTTCAATGGAACTGCATAAGCAAACAAATCAACAATAATAGTACGAATACGAACCCAGTGGTTGTGGTTAAAATGCAAAGTGGAAAGTTATGGACAGAATACCCAAAACAAAAACAAAAAACTACAATGCATATAGCAGCTTGTATATATGTTTTTTTTTCCACTGGGTTGCTGTGTAATTTACTGACAGAAGCTTATGATAACTACCTTTTTTATTTTCCTCTGTGGGTTGTGCTAATTTCAGGTTTGTTTGTTTGTGTTGATTAAAGAAGGATGAAGAGTAAGGAAACAAAAAAGCAGAGGGATGGATACCTAAGTGAAAGTGCAGCAATTGGTGCTCACCGGAATTCCACCAGCAAAGGCACCTAAGTAGTAAAGTAGCTGCTTTGTGAATTGCTCTTGGTCCTTGTCTTTATATCATCATCACCATCCAATTTTCAAGCAAAAAAGAACAAAATTTAGTAAATAAACTTATTACCAGTACCAATAAGATTAACAAAATGAGCACAAAAGGGAAAGATGGTAGAGAGAGAGAGAGAGAGAGAGAGAGACTGGCAAGGGCATTATAGAAGTCGCGGCCCAGGAAATTGAAGCCAACGCTGATGCCAGTGGTGGCTAGAGTGAGAGCGAAGACTGCGGCCAGCTGCATCCTCGCTTGTTCCTTGTCGTCCGATGACCAGTAGGGAGCTGCCACTTTCCAGAATCTTCGGATCAGCGTCTGTAATTCAGGCACCTCTCTCTGGTGTAAAGTCGACCACTTGGAAGTGAGGAAGAAGAAGAATCAAAGCAAAGAGAGCAAGCAGAGACAGATAAACAAAGAAGCAACGGACCTTATCTGCAGATGGGGGAGCTGGTGGTGGTGGTGGTGAGGCCGAGGCAGCTGCACAACGCCATGAAGATCTCGAAGAAGAAGAAGAAGAAGGTGATACGACGTCGTCGCTCCTCTTTCTCCTCCTCCAATGGCTGCTGCTGCTTCTAGTGGACATGGTGGCCACTGATGGAAATCTGGACAAGAAGGGTAGACTAGCATGTGCTTTAGCTCCAACTCTAAAATGCTGGTAATGGTGGTGGTTGGAGTTAAAGGCTGAGGAGCAGAGTGAGATACACTCTGCTTGCGCCTGTATTATCATTTCTCCTTTTTGCCTTCTCTCCTCTAACTAACTATCTTTCTTCTTTTCCTTTATTTTCTAGTTGTCATTTTTTCCTGCCTATTTTCCTTCCATCCAAACAGGTTCTTTTCTCTTGTAAATAATAAGCAAGCCTATTATTATTAGCAGTGAATTATCATCTCGGGAAGTTTATATCCTACGAATGACCCCAATTATGCCACGCCACCCTCTCCCCTCCCAATTTCTTATTTTTCTTTTCTTTTTATCCATTAAAAATCCACAATTCATTTTATAAATACTAAATTGGCTAAAAGTCTTCATCTTTCTCCTTCCCTCTTTAAAATGAAGGAACTTTTAATTATACTACATAGCTGCAGACGAATTAGTCAGGCAATCCACCCGTCACATCGCACCTGAGTTTGAATTTCATATCTTCTAATTTAGGGTAATTTAGAATCTTGAATTTCTAAAAAAAACAAAATGAGTGTATTCTTTTTATTATTGCATTAATTTTTTTTGTTTAATTTAGATAACCAAACACCTAATTTTTCTTAATAAAAACACCTTTGTTTTGATATTCATAGAAACCCTCTTCTTTTTTTTCTGTTCTCTACAACAAAAGGACACCAACAAACAACCCTTGAAAAACAAAAAGGACATTGACAACCATCGCACATTGGATGAGTTGAAAAGAAAACATCACAGATTTGAAGGTCCCTGTTCAGAGCTTTCATAAGAGCCAGCGTTTTTGTGGTCTGAAGTTGAGCCTAATGCTTTTCTTGCAAGGATCAATTCAACATGGAAGCCAAGGCAGATCATTGGAGGGAAGATCGATCGGCAGTTGAGACAAGGGTGAAGATGCAGTCGTCTGCAGAGGGAGGAGAATGAGGAGGTTTTGCAAGCCTTGTTTAAAATTCATTCATTGATTATTACGTTACTGGAGGAGAGATCCTTAATTAATTCATGCTCCCACAATTTCTTCATGGCAGAACCGAGACTAGAGTGGTGGCTCAAAGGGGAATTGCAACTAATGAACATATTTGCAAATTTGCTGTAAACGCTTTCGATTGCATAAATATTTACTAATTTTATTACTGAAGTCATATTTGCAAGTGGAAAGCTCGGGAACTTCCTGAACAAACTTCACCAGAGAGTAGAAACTTATCATTTAGAAACAAAGACAGTATTGCAGAGACAGGCTAAAATTACTGAAGACCAAAAAACGCTTCGGTTATTCAATCGGTAAAGACTTGCACCGTACAAGCAAAACAGAACACAAAGAATAGCTAATTAGACAACTCAAGTACTGTGCCAACAATGGCTCGAGAAGCATAGTGTGAAACAGGGCATGGCAACAGAGATCAACAAAATAACTCCCAAAGTTCTTCATGCTAGGGACCTCACTGCTGCTGTTCCTGTGTGAACTCGTCTACTTTTGCTTCCCCTCCGGATGCTCCTTCTGATGCTGCCATGCCCATAACCTCGCCAGGAGGTGGGTGGTCAAATTTGCAGGTTGCACCATACTTGCATGTGCCAGTTTTCAGGTAATACACACAGATAGCAACACCCTGTAAAAAGTTCCAACCTTATTAATACTCTTACATGCCAGTTTTAAGGTAACAAATAACGCCTAGATAGACTAAAGTTTTCAATGGAAAAGATAGGATATGGGTTAAATGCTTCAGAAAATTCAATCAATTGTCAATGGAAAAAAGGATAGTTGTATCTTTTACCATTACTATTTTTTCAATCCCTATTGCGCCAACAGTATAATCTCAACAAAGAATAACTCCATCATTCTATAGAGAAGGATTCATACCTCTCTCCTAGGTAGTCCAGCAAGAGTTAGCTTAACATTTTGTTGTTGAACTGGTTTTGTTGTTGACAGGGCCACTGCTGACCTATCAATTGGGTGATGGTATTTGCATTGTTCGCCATACCTACATTCCCCTGTCTTCATATAGTACTACAACACGAAAAAATCACCACACATAAACATGAGAGCTGTCGTCAAGGTTCCAATGATTCAGAAAAATGAGAAAGTATTCAAATAACCATTAATGGCCAACTCAATATTTTTAATATGATGAGAATCAAGGTTCCAATCATTCAGAAAAATGAGAAGGTATAATATTCCAGTAACAGTTCCTGGAAGAATTAATAATATGAGAATTAGAAGGTGCTACATACTTTTTAAGATATTAACACTCAAATTCAATATTTTTCTCTTAGGATCTATCCATAGGCGTCTCAAAAACCATATGCATTTAAAATCACATTCATTTAAATAATGAAGAGGATGAAGAAGAATGCTCACATCGCATTCAATCTGTCCAAAGCGTTGAGGATACACAGTTTGGCCCCCTCCCACCTGCAACATGCAAAAAAAATTACATGAGTCAAGTTTTAAGCAAACAATACCAAGATGAAGTTTTACAACCACGTATCCCACCCAGTGCGTCGGCATGTGTTTTTGTGCGTGTGGGTGTGCATGTTTGAGGGAGAGAGAGAGAGAGAGAGAGTTGAATTAGCTAACAGTTCAACATGGTAGAAAAGAAAAAGAGTGAGACAAAAGATAGGATACTATTTACCGTTGGCTGAGCCAAAGTTTGATAAATGGAGGCAGCTGGATTAATAACTCCTATGTTCAGACCTGCTGCCGGAGGGGCTACAATGGGATGGCTGATTGCACCAATTGGTGGATTGATTGCTGCACAAAAATCTAAGCAATGAAATTTGAAACACTATTTGATAAACGACACTGAACACTGGAATCTTGAACATCAGAATCTTAAATATACCATATCTATCAGGATGATTGTAGCGGCAAGTGGCCCCATATTTGCAACTGATTTAGAAAACAAAAGCCATTTTAGAATTCTTAGTCATCTTTTACTTTTATCACAGTATAAATCAACAAAACTATACATATGCAGACCTTCCAGTTTTCAGGTAGAATGGACAATCGGGTTCACCCTGTTAGAAGCAAAAGATACATGATCAACAGAAATTTATGACATCAAAAAGCTGTTAAATCAAAAGAAGAAAGAATTAACTAAAAATCTGGACGTAATGCAAATAGAATAATAAAATGCTTATGTGTTGCTTCATCCTTACCGGTCTTACAGGAAGCTCCTTGGAGTTATATAATAGTGCAGGGCTGAATGAAACAGGAAGCTTCACAGCAAATCCAGATCCCTCCGGCTGAATAGTTGTCCCAGTTTCTCCAATTTTATTCTCTTGCTCGGCTGATGGTATCTGGATATCTTTTGGGTGATGAAATTTGCAGGTTACACCAAACTTACATTGCCCCGTTTTCATGTAGAACTGTTTAAAAATTATGAAATGGAATATAAGCAAATCTACATCATAGATAGATGGATAATGCACACCAAAAAAGTAATGGAAATATATCTTACTGCACATGGGGGCTCAGAAGGCCTCTCAGGTAAGGCAAAACCATCAGCATTTTCTGAAGCAACCTGAAACCAGAGTAGAACATCATATCATAATAAAATAGGGAATAGGTCATGATGACAGATAACTCTTGGAAAATCTGCATATCATTTGCACTTACAGCAGCAGCCAGTTTTTCCTTCGGATGATTGAACTTGCACCTCATACCGAATTTGCATCTTTGAGTCTTTATAAAGTACTGCAACATTAAAAAGGAAAAAGAATCCATGTCCAGTTAAAGTGTTTAAAAGTATCATTTCCGCAAAAAGAAAAAAAAAATATTGAATTGCTACTTACTGGACAATCTGGCTCTCCAGGTCTCTCAGGAAGGGATTCACTTGGAGCGACAAGTGGAACCTAATGAACCAATCATAAATTTCTGTTATGTTATAGCAATATACCTTTTGTCTCTTTATCAATTAATAAGCAAATAGACAATAGCACACAAACAGCTGCAATCTATGATGAAAAAATTCAATTTCTAAAATTAATAGATTCCTGATGAAGATAATACAAAAGGCAGAAAAGAGCAAATACTCTGCAGAGCACCAGAATAACTTGCCACAATAATGGAATCATGCAATCATAAATTTATAGCATTTTTCATACACACAACTCATGTTATTGAGCAAGTAGGTAATTATCAGATGGGACCGCTATTACGTGGAATTTAAGGCAAGAAACAGGTGTAAGCCAGGTTCAAATCATAAGCTAGATTAATATTTTCATCTTCTTTCAGTAACAGGCAATGCATAGTAATCAGATGAAAGCCCTTTTTACATGATTCTAAGCAAAGTATAGGTATGTGTCTACAATATGTCAGACATAGTAACTGACTTGACTTCGAAAACGTTATGTCACCATCATTATGGTCAACAACTAGAAAACTGCCCACACACCTTCCAAACAATTCTTAATACATTCCTACAAGCCTTCACAGTCACCAATAACCAACTATCTTTCAAACATATCAAGATACAAGTACTCTCCTTTGTTTGTTTACGGCTACAAGCAACCTAATCTCTTGATCTTTATCTTCCAGTCAGGTCCACAACAACATCAACATAGGAGCAAGGTCTCCTCCAAAAGGAATCTCAAAACTCAGTAAGCCAATGAGTTTTGCATAAAAGCATGCACTTGGGTATTGAAGAAACTCTTTCAATAATGATGGAGGTACTCCATGAGAAACCCTAGCATTGAAATAGCACTTGCAAAAACATCTCAGACCATGGAAAAATATAGCCTGTAGTTCAAAAAGAAAAACACCCAACAACCAAGTCAAAAGCTCAAAACTACACTTAGCTATAGTTTATTTTCCAACGGAAATTAGCCTTAGCTACATTCTACTAGGTTTTCAAGATTCAAGAACTAGAACACTTCACTGAGAAATGATTCAGTGAACATTAATCAAATAATTCTACCAAAAACTCTGCTAAAAAACATGCTTGCAACAAATTTCACCTTTTCAAACTGTGAAAGTTTTGCCTGACAAACCTTCCTTCACGATATACACAATCTAACGAAATGTATTCAACATAGCTTCAAGATGGCATAGTTATCACAATGCACGAACATGACAGACCAAGACTAAAGATACAACTCACAGGTGTAACCCCTCTTCCTATTCAGCAGTTCATGAGAGAACTAATTAACAGTCGTTAGTCTGTCCAAACATACATAACTCGGGTTAATAAGATTAAAAAGTAAGAAGTAAGAAAGAGAAAGTCAGAAATAATATGTTCCCCAACAACTGACTTCAGAACAAATCAGCCTCGCTGCTTTATCTTTCCCACATAACCAGATTCTCTACAGAAGATTCAGCAGATAGGCAGACTAAAGAATATATGAAACAGTAAAATTTAAAAGAAAAAGTTGTATTATAATGCAGACTACCGAGCTTTAAAAACCATAAGAAATAAGCAAAAAAGTCTTACTATAATATTGTATCTGCACATCCAAGGAACAATCATACAACATAGCAATGACAAATAGCTTATAGGATATGATCAATTCACTGATAAATTTAAATGACTTTATTTTATATCAGAATTTAAGAAGTTATTATACTAAATAATAATTTCGTATGTAAAATTACGATAAAATACCATTATAGGCATGTAATATAACATTAAACAGTCACCTCTTTCCAATCTGGAATTCCACCCTCAGGAACCCAAATAGGATGGTCAAACTTGCAGAGCTCTCCAAATTTACAGGTTCTTGTGAGCATATAGTGGGCACAATCCTTCTCTCCTGGCCTCTGTGGATAAATAGGCAAATTGCTTGCACTCTCATATCTAGGGCGCTTGGCTAATGCAGAATACCAAGCTTCTTGCCCAATCGTATTATACGCACCCATAAAACTCTGATGGTAGAGTGCTAATGTACGTAGTAGAAACGTATATACAAGAAAACCAGAGGAAACATATAGGTTACCATATAAGTATAGCTTAAATAGTAATTTTGAGTAAGAACGTACATATATAAGAAACACAAATATAAATTTTCTTGTGCTTCTATTTTTGTAAATATACGGACCTAAACGCCAATACAAAAATACTAAACTACTGGACATTAAGCAGTTTATTAGACATATAAAAAATACAGTACCCAGCTGAACCATATAGTAGATAAAGTTAATTAACTAAATCTGTCATGATATTATTAAAAAAAGTTTCAACTTTCCTTCTCTAAGGTGAAATCTGGGGTAAACTGACTTGATGAGAGTAAGCTTGAAATACTAATCAGTTTCTAACATTACTAATTAAAGCAAAAAAGCATATTCATACTTGCTGATAAGCAAATTAAAAGGCACACATAGAATCAGAAATACACTTGCATACAAGATTAACATAGAAATAAGCTTAAATTAGCAATGTATGCATGCATCAAAGGCAGCAAGTGCATTCCCACTCTTTGATCTCTATGATACTGCGATTAGAAACTTCCAGTAAACGTCTGTATTAAAGCAATGAACTTTAATCATAATCATATTCAAGATTCTCACTTTCTTATCAAACAAACAACAAACAATTACATCAGAACAAAAATTCGAGTTAAAATGTGAAAAAAATTGGGGCCCAGAAATTTTCCCAGTAACCAAACAGAAAGCGGAAGTAGAGTGACAGAGAGCGGAAAGTGAGGAACCTTCAGATGGGCGTTTGACGCCGGGAACACCGGGCTCGACATCGGGAGCTGGCCATGAAGACTGGGACATCAAATGCGATGTCGCCAGATACATAGAGCTACTTCGGCTATGGTGGTCGGTGGCGGAGGCGAAAGGGTCCGACCCGGAAAGGTACCGGAGGGTCGGGTCGGTTAGGGCACGTGAGGTGTAGACGCTGGAGAGGCCGGCAGTGGCGGCGGCAGCAGCAGCAGCTGATTGTGCGGCGCCGTAGCCGTAGAGATGGCTCGACATCAATTGTTATGAGATGTAAATCCCAAATTTATTTGCAGATGCAACAGCTGCCCTAGAAACTGTGAAATTCAGATTCTCCACATGTCCCATTTCGATTTTTTTTTCACTGTTGGATTTTTGGGGGTGAGTGGACTGTTGTGGGTAATTTTATTTCAACCAGAACAATTTTACTTCTTGTATTTTTATTTGAACAATTTTTCACTTTGGAATTTTCTTTTAAATGGTGGAGAATTGAAATAGGTCTAAGTTGGTAATCGTTGATGAGAAACCAAGGAAAAAATTGAGCCATTGTGGTCGTTTGGAGGTGTCACTGCCACTTTTTGTGTGATGTTGTGGAGTGGGAGATGGTTGTAATGTGCCATGCGTGATTGAAGTATATTGAAGTAATGTACCATTTGCCATGTGTGATTGATTGTAACGAGCGGTGGAGCCATAAGTTTTTCTAAAAATGAGTGATATTTAAAGGGCTAAAATTTCAACAACAAAAAAAATCTCAAATACACATATAATTTATGGAAAAAAAAATTACAAACAAATAAAACAATAAAGCCTTTTTGAGGCATTTAGTAGAACACGTGATGGAGGGGCATATTCCGATCTCTCAAAGAGATTTTTTGATGAGAAAAAGTGCAGATGCACGTCCTTGCGTTTTTATGGCTATGTCACTATTAACGAGCCACGTTTCCTTTTTAAAGTGGTAATATGCATGGATACACTCTTTTTAAAATTTCACATATGAAGCATATGCAATGCTTCGAAATGGAAAAATAAATTTAGTTTTATATGTGACGAATTATCGCAATATTTAATTGAGATGACACATTGCTTTAATTTTCTTTTTAGAATGACATTAAATTTCCCCTAAATTTATTGAATAAGAGCGATAAGAGAACCAAGATTTGATGTCTATTTAATCATCGTAATGGAATCAAGTGTAAACAATTTTGGTGAAGTGTACTCAACAGTCGGATGCTCGGATTTAGGGGGGGAAACATATAGGAGTTCGACAAAGAAAAGCAAGAAAACGTAAGCCCCAACCTATACAAGGGCTTACGTTTTTCAACTGTATCGTACCATACTTGCATGGGATAAATGGGTGCTATAGGAGTAGGTTTTAAGTTAAACCCTAGAGCTTGGACTATAAACAGAAGATCTTGAAGCTCAAAGGTTCTTAAGAGTTTCAAGCTTAGGATTTCAAGTATGGCGTGGCGAAACCATCTCCTATGTGTTATCAAAACGAAAATTTAATTACATAATATGGAGACGCATAATTAACCAAAACACCAGCACCATACATGCTGATCATAATACACTTGACTAACCCTAGGCTATATAATTAACACACACACAAGCTGCCTAATTATCCACTGCCGGTTACACCAAGGTCTTGCTTATTTGGGTCTTTCCCGGCGCCAAAGACAGGGCCACCTTTGCCAGCAGCATCCTCGACCTTGTCTTGGAGCTTGTCAATCTGAAGGCCACCTTGGTCCTGTCGGGATTTCAGCTCTGTCTTGCTTTTGTTCTCTCCTCCCGGAATTGACTTGTACGTTGTTGCCGTCTGTGACCCCGGCGGCTGAGCTCCTTGTGCGCCTGACATTTTCAACTTTGATGATCAAATTTTACTTTTAACTTTGCAGCTCTGATGATTTGCAAGCAGGGATATAATCAGATTTCATTATACATATATATAGCCTTTGTTTGAGATTCTTGTAGTCGGTCAAGTCTACTGTTTGTTTCAGCTGACGAAGCCTCAATTGATTGTTTCAATGACACCTGTACTCACCGGTGAGGCTACGTGGCATCCACACATAGCCGACAGTTAGCCTACGGCTCCATACGTGTCTCATACAAACGCTTTGCAGCCACGCCTTTAACAAGATAAGATGAAGAGTCATAATCTAAACATCAAACGTGTTACGGATATACTGTCACATAGCAGAACAAGATGAAGAGAGTGCGATGGAGTGTTATATTAGCGTTTATTTATATTATAACACGTGAATTAATAACACTATGTGACAGTGTCTCTCAGAGTAAAAAGTTTCTGAGTAACATATAAGCTCAATATATTTTCACTACTCCCCTGTTCAATAAGTATACTCTGAGATGAGACTGCAATTTATAAAGAAGAAAAAAGAATGCTTGTATCAACACAACTGAATTGATACTTCCTTTTCCTTTCTCTTATGTGTGCTTGTTTTGTGCTTTGGTACATCTCCACTTCCAATTTCTATCCATGAGTCAAGTTCTATAAGGAGATCTCATCTCTTAAGCTATAACAATTTCAAGCCTAAGAGCCTAGTAGCCTACATCAACAACAATGATTATAGGATACAAAATTTGGGCCACAAGTATGAGAGCATTTGATATCACATTATGGTGTACATAGCCAAGCCTACTAAGAAACCCAACAAAGCACCGGCCGTGACTTCAACTTCAGTGTGGCCAATCGATTCTTTCAACAGAGTTGAACGATTGCCAGCTCTTTCTAAACCTTGCTCAGCATCAGTTCCTAAGCCAGAAGACATCTGTTTCTCAGTAGTTTGCCTAATTTTATTATCTGAGAGAGACACTAAAGGGCCGTTTGTTGGTTCTGATGAGAAAGAATTTGCTTCCTCAGACAACAGAGACCCAAAGCTATCCGACTTCAACGACGAAGACGATGATGTTTTAGGTTTAGGGTTAATTCTACCTCTGTCCTTGGTGGGAACTGAGCTCATCCTTGCACCTTCAGGCAGTGTCTTGTTCAGTACTTTTGCATGGTTGCCAACTTCTCTTCTCACCCCCTGAAAAAGTAAATATTTGCCTTCAGATCTTGGCCACATAAGCAAATACAAATTTGAACACATTGTCATCAGTCATTTACAATGTGGGAAAAGAGTAATACCTTTAATATGTTTTGATAGGAAACATGCAGATATATATTGAAAGGTATAAAAAGTAAGTACAAAGAATGTGGACCAGCAGCCCTAAAAAACTTGGAAACTAAACAAAACCTCAAAGAAAATCCCCAAACTCGAAGCAAGAGAAAACAAGCCACCAGAAACAAGGGAAACACGTATTATTAACTGTTATTGATTAGTAATCTCTAAAGCTCTCCTTCCTGTAATGACTAAGATGGAATTTAGAGATTTCATGAAGACTTTAAAGTTGAATGTATAAAATCTATCACTAGTATGATCTCACATTGATCTTTCCAAAACAATGATTTGTATTACATAGCAAGCATTACAATCCGAGACATAGTAAATCTCCACCAGAATGCTTTTCAATGCAGCAGTGTGGTAGATTTTTGCAATATATCAAACATAAGTCCTCTCAAGAACACCAAAGAGCTATGAAGACAATTAACTCGAAGAACCAGAATTGTAGCACTGTCAGCCTAAATTTATATCTCCACATCCTTTTGGCAGTATAAATTTAGTCAGCAGAGGAAAAGTTTAAAATGATCAAATATCAACCAAAACAAAAATCCTGTATCACGTTCTGTAACCTTTATACAACTCCTGTAGAAGCCACCAAGGTCAAGGAGTACAGAGTTGCACCTTATTATTCTTTAATAAGACCTTATGAAACAAAAGGTTGGAGTTCAACTATTGGTACTCTTGAACCAAAAATCATGACAAGAAAGCAATCCCAATGTAAGTTTTCATTATTCAAAATATAAAAACTGACGAAATTCATAGGATCAAGGGACAGATGTGAAAAGACATAATTAGAGGTTTGAAACTGTAAAGAACATTTATACCTGGGCGTCATACATCACAAGACCTGCATAAACAACAGTAAGGCCAAATATTGAATCCGAAAGGCCCCTGGAACGAAACAATACAGTTATAAGTAAGAGACCAGTCAAAGTTAGTCAATTTCAAATTTAACTTAATTTCCAGATATTCAGCTTTACATGAACAGAGGTGTTTGTATGAATGCAAGAGGAAGAAAACGAGTGGTGCATACCTTTCAAGGCCAAGGGTTGTTGCAGTAGCCACCACTGCCTATCCATGGAGAAAATGGTAATAAAAGCAATTTCAGGGTCAGCTAATTAGTATTCAACATCATTGAGTATGATGAATTAACGTAAATCATATATTCTGACTGATAATCTTACAGAGGAATGGGTAGAAGGGAAGCCCCCGGCCTGAACGATTGCCTTGAAATCAAAGTCTTTCCCATACAAAATTACAGAAGTGACAGGCTTGGTGAGCTGCCCAATTGCCGCAGAAACGCCAGCAGCAATCAGCACCTTTCCAAGATAAACAAAACAGAACAAACAGATGACCAAAATTTCATCTCAGCAACCAACTATAGCATCAAAACGATAAAGCAATTCAGAAAATTTGAAGCAGGAAATGAAAACGCAAGAAGCTTTAGAGATAACGGAATTGGTTTTGACCTTGTTATGGGCAAGTTGTGTGATTTCCTCTAGCAACTGAGCTCTGAGGCAAGTGGGTGAGGAGGCCTTTGGCTTTCTGAGGCAGATAGGTCCTTTAAAAACAAGGTTGTGGTGCTTTCCGGAGTAAGAGAAAGCCCAAGAATTGTGAAGCGCAGTGCAACAGGAAATGCTCCAAAACTGGAGCAACATGGTCTTTCACTCTCAACACACACCAGTCTCTGACTTTTCTCTGTCTGTTTTTCTCCTGTCCATGTGGATAGCTTCATTCCTCATTGGTAGTGAGGCCCATGCCCAGGGAGCCAAAAAGAGACATCAATACGCCGCCGTTTAATAGTTTTACAGAGGTTCCAAGCCTTTTTAACTTTTGGAACAGGGACATGGTAAAACTTAAAACCCTACACATCCCAATACCCCAAGCGGAGAGGATCTATCTAGAGCACGCCATCTCCCTCAACTTAACCAAAAAAGGGAGCAAAATTTCATACCCAAAACCCAACTGGTAGAACCTGGACCTGGTTAATGGAACCGCCGCCACAAACCAGCATCACAAATGACCCTTCCTTGGAATTCATATCTTTAGAGGCCATAGCCAATTCAATCCCAGCAATGATGGATTTTCATTTGTAGTACGTGTTTGTGTTTGATGAGGTTTCACTTGATTTCGGAGCGAGCATTTTCCCAACATTGCAAAGCGTACCCATAACCAATAGCGTGAAAAATGCATCCATTGAAACAATGACAGAATGAATCTCCTACCTCCTATGCTTCGACCCATCTCCTACTTCACTCCCAAACCCCCATGGCGTCGCTGTTTCAACACCTGTTCAGAGGCGACTGTTACTGCTAATGAGGTCCTCACCATCCTTGAAACAGTCAACCATATGGAGAGTGCCTTGGAACCCGTAGTCCCCAAACTCTCCAGTGAGATAGTGAGCTATGTGATCCGAGAACAGACAAACCCACGATTGGTTTTCCGGTTCTTCATCTGGGCAACCAAAAGGATGAGGCTTTGCAGCCGAATGTCTCAGAGTTCGGTCATTGACATGCTTGTCAGGGACGATGCCTTTGAACTCTATTGGAGAACACTTGAACAACTGAGAGACTGCGGGCTTCCAATTGGTTCTGCTGCCTTTGCTGTGCTGATCAATGGTTATGCCAAATTGGACATGGCTGAGAAGGCTGTGGAGACATTTGGCCGGATGAAAGATTTCGATTGTAAACCAAATGCCTTTGCTTACAATGCGATACTTTATGTTATGGTGCGAAAAGAACTGTTTTTGCTAGTTTTAGCTGTATATAACCAGATGTTGAAGTCAAATCATACTCCTAGTAGAAATACTTATGGCATTTTGATTAATGGGTTCTGCAAAACGAGGAAAACTCAGGACGCGCTTCAAATGTTTGATGAAATGACCCAGAGAGGTATTGCTCCCAATACCATAACTTATACTATTGTTGTTTCTGGCTTGTGCCAGGCAAAGAGGACCCATGAAGCGTATACATTGGTTGAAATGATGAAGGCAAGTGGGTGTCCTCCTGATTTGATTACTTACAATGCTTTACTTGATGGGTATTGTAAATCAGGCAGCATTGGTGAAGCTTATGCGCTCTTGAGATCATTTGAGAGGGATGGTTATGTTCTCGGACTCAATGGATATACTTGCTTGATTCATGGTTTATTTATAGCTGGGAGATTTGATGAAGCGCATGGGTGGTATAGCAAATTGATAAAGAAGGGCATCAAACCTGACATTGTCTTGTGTACCATAATAATTCGGGGGTTATCAGATGCTGGCAGGGTTAAGGATGCTTTGAATTTCTTGAACGAGATGAATGAGAGAGGTTTGGTTCCGGATGCCTACTGTTATAATGCTGTCATTAAAGGGTTCTGTGATTTGGGTCTTTTGGATGAAGCTCGGTCTCTTCATCTTGATATTTCAAAGCTAGATTGCTTCCCTAATGCCTGCACTTACACCATTCTCATATGTGGTATGTGCAAGAACGGGCTGGTAGGGGAGGCGCAACAAATATTCAATGAGATGGAGAAGCTTGGATGTGTCCCTTCTGTTGTGACCTTCAATGCTCTTATTGATGGACTTTGTAAGGCTTCCAAGCTTGAGGAAGCGCACTTATTATTTTACAAGATGGAGATAGGAAGAAATCCTTCATTATTTCTTCGTCTTTCTCAAGGTAGTAATCGGATTACTGACAGTGCCAGTCTTCAAATGAAGGTAGAGCAATTGTGTGAGTCAGGATTGATTCTTAAGGCCTACAAACTTCTGACGCAGCTAGCTGATAGTGGGGTCACGCCTGACATCATCACTTACAACATTCTAATCAATGGGTTTTGCAAGGCTGGTAACATAAATGGTGCTTTTAAGCTCTTCAAGGATATGCAATTGAAAGGGCTCTCACCAGATTCTATTACATATGGGACGCTTATAGATGGACTGCAAAGGGTTGATAGAGAAGAGGATGCCTTTGTGGTCTTTGATCAAATGGTGAAGCATGGATGCATGCCTAGCTCTGCAGTTTATAAATCACTGATGACTTGGTCTTGCAGGAGAAAGAAGATTTCTCTAGCTTTTAGTCTTTGGTTGAAGTATCTAAGCAACCTTCCTCTGAGAGAAGAGGAAAAAATCAAAGCAATAGAAGAAGACTTTAAGGAAGGGAAAACTGAGAAGGCAATCAGAGGTTTACTGGAAATGGATGTAAACTTCAAAGACTTTGATTTAGTACCGTGCACCATTTTGCTAATTGGTTTGTGTCAGGTGAGAAGAGTACATGAAGCTTTGAGAATATTTTCTGTTCTTGACGAGTACAAAGTCATTGTCACTCCACCAAGTTGTGTACACTTGATCAATGGTCTCTGCAAAGAAGGGAACTTGGACCAGGCTATAGGTGTCTTCCTATATACTCTGGAGAAGGGTTTCATGTTAATGCCTGAAATATGCAACCAGCTGCTCAAGTGTCTTCTTCGTTCCCAAGACAAAAAGGATCACGCCCTTGATCTCATTAGTAGGATGAGATCTTTTGGATATGATCTTGATTTTTATCTGCACCAAACTACAAAATTTCTTCTAGAATGCCACATGAACTAAAGGGAAATGGAAAACGTGTCCTGAACCTGCAATTACTACTACTTGGGGTTTGATTCTTGCTAGCAAGGTAACTTCTCTCTTCTTGTTTCTCACTTCATTTGATATGATGGTTAATTTATTTTATGATTTTAATTTGTGTATTCTTTTGTCTGTTTTTTGTTCTACATGTTGTGTTTTGTTTCTTTGTTATGATTAGCGTTGTTTTGGAGGCTTGAAATTTGGTATTTGTTCTGTATATGCAAGAAAAACATTAGAACTGAAAAAAAAAGCTTGGGGTGTTGTTTCATTGTAGCTCGTATTTGTGGAGAAAAGGGTAAACTACAAATCTACAAACAAATAAATTACAAGCATTTATCATGTTTATATATATATATATATATTCTTCCTTATGTGGCACATTGATCATCGCTTGCGAGCCTGGCACATTCGATTGATGTGTATACTCATTAGTAGTTAAGCTTCCACCAAGCATGTTATTCATGAAAAAAAAGGCTTATTCAGTTTTTATTTTTTTCCTTCCTGCTATCTCATAGTCTAATGTGTGTGATTATGTATTTGCAGATATGTCTGTGTTTGGGGAGGACCGCATGTTTCACCTGTTTAACCCAAATTGTGACAAGCCTGTGGACTTGGTGAGAAAGGTATCTTCTTTCATAAATCAGGCCAAGAAGGCATGTGTTGAGAGAGTTTGGAATTTTAAATGAAATCTTAATAAGATGCAGTTATTTGGTTATATGATAGATGGGTCTGTAATATCTGTGATTTCTCCATCCTTGTCTACCTTTGGTTTTTCTACCCTTTGCACAACAATGATATATTTTTATTTTTTTTTGTTAAATATCGTTTTTTTTTCCTTCTTGTTAACAAGGAATTCAACTGAAGTGTGATAGGTTTTGCTTTGCTTTAATTATGTTGTTTTCTTATAAGTTTCTCCCCTGATATAAATTATAATAAGCTTCAGACACTTGGCTTTTGGATGATTAAATATGATTGATAGTTTTCTTTTCACGCAGCCCAAAAAAGCCAAGTCAATTTTTCACTTGTATTGGACCATTCTAAGGTTTCTCAGGAACTTGTATTATTTTTTTGTTGGGATAAAAAAAACTGAGCAAGTATATGTGTTGCCATCAATAAGATTACTGCCAGGTATTCAGTTTTTCAGATCTAGACTTGAAGATAAGCCTGATAAATTGACTTCTTCTCAATGGTTCTCTAAGATTGACATCTCCCTTGACTCGGTATATCTGGTTATAACCTAGGGAGTTTGTTTAATGCACGTCTGTATTGTCTGAAACCCATACTCTGCCAGCAAGTAAATCCCTCTTATTCCAGTTTATGCAATCATGGATTTTGCAAACCATTGCTTTCTTTATTTCATTAAGTTTAAATTATGGATATGCATTATTTGCGGTTAAGTGGACAGATTGAAGTTTTTAATTAAATATTTTATGTTAATTTCTTTCCATGGACATATTCTTGTACTAATTTTCTTTAATTGTCTTGCGTATCTCAGGTTGGCTCCTTGCTGACATGCTTCTCTTTCAAGTCACTCTTGTCACAGCCAAGTTCTTATTTGGGGTTCTTGCCCAGGTAGGAAAGGTAATTTATAAGCTCCAACTTCCACGTGGTTCAAAATTACATCCGGTTTTCCAATCTGTAATGCCTTACAAGGCATCTTTTCTCCTTACAATGTTTTGCCTACTACCAATACTGACGGGATCATACAAGAGCAGCCTGATGATTATTGGATATATGAAAGGTGAAGAAGAGCAATGGAGGAATTACTGAGGTCGGTCTTCAATGGAAGTTAATGCTGCTAAGGAAGATGCCACATGGGAGGAGTTTCTGGACTTTCCAGTCAGATTTCAAGCTTTTAATTCTATAGGAGCAGTAGGAATTTTGCAGGGGGATGGATTAGCAAACAAGAGCTATTCCAGCAATCCTAGCTAGTTATCATGGATACCCAAGTCAGCAGGAAGTTTGGCAGGAAATCTGTTAACAGTTAGCTTTTGTAGTTAGGAGGGTGTCCGTTTTAGCTTAAGGAAGCCTAGCATGCAAACCAAGCTATAAGAGCTGGTAATTTTGCACTTTCTGGCATGCTTTGTGTGGTCAATGGTCAAGACTCAATATTGCTTTCTCTTAGTAATATTCTTTATGCCAGTCTCTGTTGTGGAGTCTTGGTAATAGGTTATAGCATATCATCTGACATATTACACAAATTTCTCTTTTATGTGATTAAAAGGTTGAGCAGTGGGTTACTCATTTTATAGAGGCTGTCACGACCGGCAAAAAATCGTGGATCTTGGATCTTCTGTTTCTATTGTGGGTTCCATTTTTCTCAAAGGCTCCTGAGATATGGTGTAATAATTAGTGTAGCTGAAGCATATGCTTATTATAATTACTTGAGCAATATCTATGTACATGATAAATGTAACAAGGACAAACTATCTCAGAGTGTTCTGAGTAAACAATGTTCAATGGATACTTACTGCTTACTGAGGAAATCAATTTAATTGCTGGCATTGATTTGGGAGATCCATCATCATCTGAGCTTATGTTTTTTTCTCGATTCAAGTATGGTTGAAAGGCTCCTGCTGAAAATCAAATTCTTTGCTATAAGCAAAATAAGAAAAAAGAAAAAGGAAGTCAAATTCTTTGCATGTTCAGTTCTTGATTAACTTTAATTTGAATCATTTGAAAATTTATACAAGTTCTCAAAACAGAGGAAAATAAAAATGCCACACCATTATCTAAAAGTAGGAACTTGTAAATTCTACTGGTTGTGATAAGAGCATTTACCATTCGAAATATCCGCTCATCTAATATCGCTTGATAAAAAGAAAAAAATTTAAAATATTTATTCATCCCTTTTAATAAAAATTTATTACATCCCAATAGAACCCAAAAAAGCTTGAGTTCAAGTGGCAAAGGAAGTAGGTTTTAGGATCAAGTCTAGATGTACTTAAAAAAAAAAACATTTTAGCCAATGTGTGTGTGAGAAACCCTTCCCCCTCTCATGTAATTTAGAGATTATTGCGTGTATTAAATTTATATTTTTTTTTCTGGACCGTATTATAAAGTTTTTTATTTTATGCGACCGTATTATAAAGTTACTTCTGCCTGTTCCCTAAATTTGTTTAGCTATGTGATATAAGGGTGGTGCTAGAGGCACCAACTTTGGGCACCAAGTTGGGCACCAACTCTCTAATAGAGGTGAAGCCCGCGAATACATCGGGTCCCACGCTCTATTAGAGAGTTGGTGCCCAACTTAATGCCCAAAGTTGGTGCCTCTAGCATTTTCCGTGATATAATAACTGGGTCGGTCCCATTGCAATAATAAAATAAATTTTGTTGAGAACCAAAAGAAAAAAAGGAAAAGAAGAGAAGGTTAACGAGAGGCCTTTTGAACCGACCCGGTTTGTGTGGGCGGGGTTTACTGGTGGGGAAGTTGATTCTTTAGTAGGGTTTTAGGCTTTAGCAGAAAGAAGCTTAAGCTGTTCAGAGTAAATCATTCAAAACCTCCGAGTCGGTGACTCAGTCTGTATGAGCAAAAAAAAGCCACGAAGCCACAGCTTTAAGCTTCAATGATGAATGCCAAGTAAGATTTCTCTTTCCAATTGCTCGATTCTCTTTAATTTGAACTACATGAAGGCGTTGTTGCAATGAGTCTGAATCTTCCATGTGTATGTGGCTTTCGTCCATTAGACTGGGTTTTCCCAGAAAACGCATTCAACCCACACAAAACAATCGCAATCATTTGATGTTCATCTATGGTGGTGCTAGTGTTGGTGGTTTCAAGTGGGCGTCTTCCCAAACGGCTCTTTCCCACTGGAACTCCTGGTCATCACCTTCTGATGAATCTGATGACAATTATGTTACTGTTTGCACCACAAACACCAACTCCAATAACTCCGATGCAACCCATTTCTTCTCTCAATTAGATACCTTTGGGGTTGTTAGCAACCTCAACAGTCTAAGAAACGAACCCAATTTGGCATTTTCCTTCTTCCACCAGTTGAAGGGAGATGGCTTCCAACACGATGTCTTCACCTATTCCGCGCTTATTAGAATTTTATGCTCGTGGGGTTTGTATAGGAAGCTGGATATTCTCTTCTTGGACCTTATTAAGAGCTCTAAAGACCTTGGATTTCAGTTTTCGGATTTGTTGGAAACCATTGCGGAGGGAATTGAGGCTTCCCCGTCGATGGTTCGAGCTTATGATGCATTGCTTAAGTCTTTTGTCAGTTTGAACATGTTTGATGAGGCTATCGATGTTTTGTTTCAAACAAAAAGGCGTGGGTTTGTGCCGCATGTCTTTACTAGTAATTTTTTAATGAACCGCTTGATTGAGCATGGTAAAGTGGATATGGCTGTGGCTATATACAAGCAGTTGAAACGGATTGGTTTGAGCCCTAATGATTACACCTACGCAATTGTCATCAAGGGACTTTGCAAGAAAGGTAGCCTGGAAGAGGCTGTGGACGTGTTTCAGGAGATGGAGAAAGCTGGGGTAACCCCTAGCGCCTTTGCCTACACAGCATATATTGAAGGACTTTGCACCAATTGTAAGTCGGATTTAGGATATCAAGTGCTCCAAGCATGCAATGGGGCAAATGTCCATATTGATGTCTATGCTTACAACACTGTCATTCGTGGGTTCTGTGATGAGATGAAATTTGATGAAGCTGAAAGCATCTTTCTTGATATGGAAAAGCGAGGGGTGGTCCCTGATTCTTATACATATGGTGCAATAATCTGTGGATACTGCAAGAATCGTTTTTTGTTAAAAGCTTTGACACTCCATAATGACATGGTGTCGAAGGGTATAAAAACAAATTGTGTGATTGTTAGCTTTATTCTTCAGTGCATGTGTAAGATGGGCATGCCTTCTGAAGCTGTGGATTATTTCTTAGAATATAAGAGCTTGGGGATCTATCTTGATGAGGTTTCCTACAATATCGCTGTGGATGCTTTGTGCAAGCTGGGGAAAGTGGACCAAGCCTTAGAATTGCTTGAAGAGATGAAGTGTAAGCATATGATCTTAGATATTATGCACTACACCACATTGATTAAAGGCTACTGTCTTCAGGGGAATGTTGTTAATGCTGTAAATCTTTTGGAGGAAATGAAGGAAAAAGGTCTAAAGCCAGACATTACTACTTACAATGTACTTGCTGCTGGGTTTTGTAGAAATGGCTTGGGAGCTGAAGCACTTGACCTTTTGGATTATATGGAGTCACAGGGTTTTAAACCAGACTCTGTTACACACAACATGATAATTGAAAATTTATGTATAGGAGGAAAAGTCAAACAAGCTGAAGCATTTATAAAGAGTTTGGAATATAAGAGTGTTGATACCTATTCTGCCATGATCAGTGGGTACTGTGAAGCCAAGGATACAAGAAAAGCCTATGAACTTCTTATTAGGTTGGCAAAGGGAGGAACTTTAGTTAAAAAAGGTGTTTGCTTTAAAGTACTCAGTAACCTTTGTGTTGAAGGTGATAATGACAGAGCTATTTTATTGCTCGAGTCAATGTTGGCCTTAAATGTGGAACCTAGAAAAACTATGTACAACAAAGTCATAGCTTCTCTGTGCAAAGCTGGAGAGGTGAAAAAGGCCCATTGGTTTTTTGATACTTTAGTTGAGAGAGGATTCACTCCTGATGTCATTAACTACACAATGTTGATAAATAGCTACTGCAGGGTGAATTGTTTGCGGGAAGCCCATGATCTCTTCTATGATATGAAAAGGAAAGGGATTCAACCTGATATCATCACTTACACAGTCTTGCTTGATAGTTATTCAAAAAGAAACCTAAGAAGGGTTCACTCCCCTCTAGGCGCAAGTGGAGATAAGAAGGAAAGGATGAATGCTTTCACTCTTTGGACTGAGATGAAGGAAATGGAAATAAGACCTGATGTAATTTGTTATACTGTTTTGATAGACAGACAGTGTAAAACAGACAACCTTCAGGATGCTATTGCACTCTTTGATGAAATGACTAACAGAGGATTAGAACCTGATACAGTGACATACACAGCTCTTCTGTCTGGCTGTTGTAATAGGGGAGATGTGGATAAGGCTGTAACCCTTGTTAATGAGATGTCTTCTAAGGGAATACAGCCAGATACCCATACACTCTTGGTTCTACAACATGGAATCCTAAAAGCCAAGAAAGTGCAGTTTCGGAAGTAAGAACGCTGTTTGATTATCAGTGCCTGGATAGATGCATGAGCTGTGAATCTATGAAGCCCCTAATGGTATAGCATGGTAACTTTCCTATTCAATAATGTAGATAATTTGCTTGGGGTTGCATGATGAACAGCTTTTGTTGTTCCCTTTTGATAGATAACAATTATTCCACAGCTGGAGACAGGGATATGCATACATCGAGCCCTCGCCAAACCCCACACTGTCAGCTGCCTTGAGCACTGGGCCACTCGCCCCACCCCAAACTGGATAGGTAGAGAGTTTTGTTTGCAGGTCACCTGGAAGTCAATCATGCCTAGGTAATCATACAGCTTTGCATTTGATTAATCTACACCGCATAGGAGTTGCGAAGTTATCATACGCATAGTTTTAGTTTTATACATGACTTTCCTGTTTGTTTCTATAATATATGTGATCTGCCATTTAGCTAATCGTACAAGAGACTATGTTATCGTATTGTCTGTCCTCTTTTTTTTTTTCTTTTTCTAGCTTGTCTTCTGCCTTCTTGTCATCCATTTAACTTTTGCTTTTGCAGATCGAGCAGCTTTTCTTGTTTCATTTTGATGGATAACATTTGATTCCACCACTGAAGGGGTTATGCCTTGCTGAAAGTGACTTAGTGGTCAGGGAAACAGGGATATATAACATCTATCCCTCCCAGCCCCATTGGCAGGAGCCTTGTACACTGGGCCACCTTGCCTGCCCCTAGCTGGAGGAGAAGAAAGCTTTGTTGGCAGGTCACCTGGAAGTGAATCATGCGTAGGTATAACACACCTTTGCAAATGATTAATCTATATTGGATAAGAGTTGCAAAGTATTCATATACACAGTTCTAGTTTCATACATGGCTTGCTTATTTGTTTTGGTAATATATATATATATATATATATATGGTATTCGCTAATAGTGCACGAGAAATTTTTTTTTATTGGTCCTTGTCATGATTTTTTCTAGCTTGTTTTCCATGTAAAGCACTTGATTGCATGACTATTATTATGCTTTACTGTTTGTTTAGTCATTTAGCAAGAGTTAAGGTTGTGTTTGGATGAGGGACTTTGAAATGATGGAATTTTGAAGTGAGGGGATTTCAAAATGATGGGATTTTAAGGTGAGGGACTTCAAAATGATGGGATTAGTGTTTTTTTTTTCCTTTTCTGATCCAGGGGAAGGGGAAAGTGAGAATTGAACTCTGGCCATGCGTGTGGGAGTAAGTGCTTTACAGGCATAATTTTTTTTTGGTACAGTACTATCAGCATGTGCTCATTCTTTAGTGAATGGCAGATGATATTCTTTGTTCATTGCAGTGATTTATTCGCCTGATACTGTTCATTGTTGTCCCCAACTCATTGTTTGTGGTCTGTATTTTCTTTAACACGTCAAGATAGAAAAAAAGAAGGAAAAAACCTGAGCTTTGAGGTGTACTTTTGCAGGTCAACTTCTGCGTAAGCTATGTGCAGCAAGTCCTAGGATACATGGAATGCGCAAACCGTGGAGAAAGTTGCTACTTTTGTACTGCTTTTTGTCTGGCCTCATGCTTTGCCCATTGGGTTGGCAACTTGCTTTGGATATGAATAAAAATATCATGATATGAAAGAAGATGAGGAATTGTGATCACTGTCCCATGGCCGGGCTTCATTTTGTGACTGGTCACTAGACGATGGCGATGCCAAGCTGCCTTATGCTTGAAAGTTTGTAGAAGAGTATTTAAGGTATACCACCATTCATGGTTTACAAGTAGAATCAAGATTGATGTATTTTTAATCTGCAATTAAACTGAAATTTGGAGATATCTCCTTTAAAAACAGGTTATACTATAAATATCACTGTTGAAATAAAAAAAAATTCATTGACAGCAAATTAAATGCTAGCCCAAGTTTAAAGAAGTTGGGCTCATAGCTAAATGGTTTTGTGGACTTGTTGGTAAATTGGTTTAGGCCCAAATGAATTAATATTGATATTTTTACAAGGAAATATTAATATATATTGAAAGCAGAAACAGTTTCATGTACGTGAAGTGTGGAGTTGAGGGGGTGACTGTAATGGGAAGTTACTCCCACCCACACAGTACGTGAGGCCTCAACTGATCCCACTCTGTCAGTTCCTCTGGGTCTATAAAAAGGGACCAAAGGAGACAAGGAAGGAGAAAAAGGAAAAGACACCGAACTGCTGCAGAAATCAAAAGAATAGAAGCAGGCCAAAGAGATACGAAGCTCTGTCACAATACCATTGAGAAGAAGTGTATCATATCAACAGAGACCTCAGCAGTGGAAAAATGTGAACAAATCCTCCCAAATTGGCAATAATTGTGCTACTTACACAAAGAGAGCTCTCACAAGGACCTCTCTGTTGTGAATTACAGATGGGCTTCTGCAAGAACCCCACTGTACAAGTGCTGTGAACACCTTGTGAGTGTCCATAGGCACGTTGTGGTACTCAGAGAAGACCTTGCGAGTGTTCTTGAGTATCAAAAACAGAAAACATCAACAGACCAGACGCTTTGTTACATGCCCAACCCACCTTCAGCAGAGTCAAATTCCAAATCTGCAAATTGGAGAAAGAACAGGTGGCAAAACGTGCTGCAAATGGAGAAAATCAATAACTCTGTTTTAGTCTCACCCATTGGCATAAACAGAAGAAAATATATTAAAGGAGATGCAGAAATCATAGAGTGCCAGAAAGCTTACGAAAGCTGATGATTCACACCCACGTTCTGTGCTTCAAAGTTTGCCAACAAAGAAAAATCCCAAGCCAGACACGAAAATTACTAAGCCAGCACTCCTCTGCAGCGAATTGCAAACAAAACCATAAAGGGTTCTCACTCTGTTACTGGCGGTATGATAGCCCTTCCCAAAAGATTTCAGTCTGCAATCAAGCGAAGAAAAAATGCACCGAAGCATCAGACCCTTGTTGCCAAGAGACAAGAGAGAATCAGAGAATTCAAAATTGTCTTTGGACCCAAAAAAAAAATGCAGTCAAGTCTTCAAGGAAATTATGAAAACAAAATCACAAGCAAGATTCTAAAAAAGAGCTGATTTTTCTTCTCTCAACACCAAAGGCCAGATCCCAAATTAGTGTTTCGGGCAAAAAGTAAATGGCTCACCAAGAAGCCTCCTGTGCTGCTGTTGCTGAAGAATTCAAAAGTAACATAAGCCAAAAAGTTGAAGAAATCCCAGAAGCTGAAAAAGAAAAGTGACGAAAAGCAAATGACAAAGAAGAATGAAGACTCCTGTCGAAAGAGAAAAGGGGAGAAGAGTTAAAAAAAAAAGGGAAAGTGGCGTCAGCCACTTTGTTGAGAAAGCTTTGGCGGTATTGTTGGCAACAATAAACAAAACTTAAAACTCGTTGGCCTCTGGGTGTGTGAACAAGCAAGGAAGATGAAAAGAAACGAAAAGACAAGGAAGAAGAAAAGCACAAAAAACAAAGGAAAGGAAAAAGTAGCAAAACAAAGTTCTGTACAACAGACGTGGCTTCTCAAAATTCCAAGACTTTCAATTAGTAGTTTAATAGGCTACAATGGTCTACTTTGACAGACATGAGTAGAGGAAAGGATTTACCTTGGTTTTGGCGTTTCAAACCCAAAGCTCCGTAGTGATTGTGACAGACGAGTAGCTGAAGAGAGATATATATAATTTGGTCCAGTTTGAATTGATTTGAACTATTCCAGATAAAGATGGGAGTAACTTAGTTTGGATTAATCTCTACTACTCCGAATAGATATCGGTTTCAAATTTCAACCGATTCTCAAAGCTTTTCTGATATGGATTATTTGTTTATGGGCCAACTAATAGAAATGTTAAGGCCCGAAAACAAATTGATGGGTTGATAAAATAAATTACCCATTAACTCTCAAAAGCCCAAAATATTTTATGGGTGGTCCAAATAAATTATGTGGTTAATGGATTAATCCTTAAAACCATATGTGAGTAAATTAATTGGCTCATCAAAATGCCTTTTAATTTTCTTTGGACTTTAACAATAAAAATGGTACAAAACCATTCCACATTTTCTCATGGGTCATCTACCCTGCAAATTTTCAATGATATCAAAATTCAAATTTCTCAAACATAAAATTTTTTCAAAGGGTCATTTACCCTTTGAAGGTTCAATCCATTTGGAACTACGCTGGTTTGATCCCATCAAGGGTACGTAGGCAGTCTAGCATCCCAATAGACACAACCGCAACCAAATTCTCACTAATCAAATCTCTACACAAATCCTTTTGGAACTACGCCGGTTTGATCCCATCAAGGGTACGTAGGCAGTCTAGCATCCCAATAGACGCAACCGCAACCAAATCCCTACAAATTAAATATTTACCTTTACACAAATCAATTCCGAACTACGTTGGTTTGATCCATTTGAAAGGGTACATAGGCAATCTAGAGATTCAATCTAGATGCAACCATCCCAAACACAACTCCATATCGAATCCCTGGCTTATTCAGCTAAATTCACTCAAACACCCCTCAATCGAATTCATTCAAATTCCCTTTTTTTTTGCAATGAGTCATCTATTCATTGCGAATCTTTGAACTATGAGTGGCTTGATTCCTGCAAAGGATACGTAGGCACCCTGAGGTTAAACTTGGGAGCAGCCGCAAAACCAAACACATGCATTCTGTTTCTTTATGATGGAATCAAAAGGTTTTCCCTTGTGGCGAGGGATTGTAATAAAGAGACTTGCGTCTCGAATGGGTCGAACCTAAAATAATAAAACCCCATTAATTGATTAGTGGTGGTGAAATTATGTTCGGAGGTTTACAGTTTTTATCTAACAATCACATACCTTGTTATTGTGTTTTATAAGCATGGTGATATTTCCAAGTAATAAAACGGAGTGGTTCATGAGTGAAGTGGGCATTGTAAGATGCCTCAAACTATGTCACCATTGGTACAATTGAAGAAGTTAAAATAGATGGGAGAAAGGGTCAGCCAATGTGATCAATGACATTGTGGATTTTATTACTCAGTTTAGGATGACAGAAAAAGACCACCCGAGGATTTTGAAGGCACATCAATACGAGTTTATTCATTTATTTATTTTGGAAAAATACCAATGACTTAAACATGTCAAAAAAGAAGAAAGCTGCATAGCAACCAAGAGTTTACAACTTTGCTCTGCTAAACAATCTCACTCTCAGTTCCTCAGCCACAGCATCAATAAACTCTTCGGTATTCAGATACTTAGACCTAGTGACCCTACACAAAAATTGAAGCATTTTATCATAGACAAATACAAAGAAAAGACTACTGAAACTTTTAAATGAAACTTTTGACAGCACTTACTTAGGCCCATGGATAAGGAGTGCAAGATCCTTGGTCATCTTCCCAGATTCGACAGTCGAAACACAGGCTGCTTCAAGCTTCTCCGTATAATCCAAGAGTCTGTCATTGCCATCCAACTTTGCCCTGATAATACAGAATTACTCAAAACTCTTCTCTGATGTTTTCAACTTCTGAACACATCAAAATTTTAAATTTTAAATTTTAAACCCCCGCACCTTTCCCCACACAATGAGAGGTAGGAGCACTCATCTAACAGACTTAAGCCATATTGATATTATACCTGTGTGCAAGACCTCGGGACCAAGCAAAGATAGAAGCTATGCTGTTTGTGCTGGTTTCACCCCCTTTTTGGTGAACTCGGTAATGGCGTGTTACTGTACCATGGGCTGCCTCAGCTTCAATGGTCTTTCCATCTGGGCACACCTGGAACCAAAACAGGTTTTCATGCATCCAACTCCACAGGCAAAGTGTAAGATAAGACAGAAACAAATCACCACAGAAATACCAGTATAGATGTCATCAGCCCCAGAGATCCAAACCCTGTTTCAAAGTTTATTAAAAGGTCAAAAAATTAGCAAACACAGTGGCTATATCCGAGAACAAGCACCTTTCGATTTGCTTTCAACAAAAGCAGCATTCACAGGGTTTCAACACAATAAAATATACAGACCTTGGGCTAAGAAGTCACTTTGCACATCCCCATCATAATTTTTGCATGCCCAAACATAACCTCCTTCACTTTTGAGAGCATAAGCAACCATATCGTCAATAAGACGGTGTTCATACCTTCAAAAGAATATTAATCAATTGAAAATCAATGAAACTATGCGAACTAATCAGCTTGCTTGGCAAGGTATCTCACCAAATCCCTGCAGCCTCAAATCTGGATCTCCAATGAGCTTCATAAACTTCCTGGAAGATGTCCTTGAATCTTCATTAAAAATTCAAGTGTAAGAAAATGACAAGAAAAAGAAGTCCTGTAGTGAAACATTGTGGGTCAGTATATGTAACACAGGTATTTTATGAGCATCTCATAGCTCCCTTCTGTCTCTTTCTCTTTTGTGTGTGCATGCACACAGATGCGCTCCAAGGTATTTGAGGGGGATTAGTTGTTTCCTTTTCCATTGATGGAAACTTAGAAAGAAAAAAAAAGAGAGAGATTACACAATGAAGGAAGAAAGGCAGCATGGCAACAGCATACCTTCCATCATATTTCTTCAGAATAGTATTTTTAGTGCTAAGATATAGTGGCCACTTTTTCTGATAGGCAGTGTTCATGGAAGCCTCAGCAAAAGCACGGATTGACTGCTCTCACAATTTAAACATAAAAAGCAATATCTGTTAAAACCTTTAGTAACTGACTTACACCAGAAACTAAGTTACCAGAATTTTTGTAAGGGCAAGTTTGAACCTCATCTGTGTTATACATGGACAAAGCTATGCCTCCAGCACCAGTAAAGTTGTAAACCTCCCACTCTGTCTTCTCATTGGGCCCATCAGGTACTGCAAATAACTTGATAATATAAATAATCTACTGAAGTATTGAAAAGAAGAATATTCAAAATGTATGATGGGTGAGTCAAAATTAGCTATTTCAACTTCTCTGATATTAGCAAGTAGCTGTCGAAAGTAAAACGCACAAAATTTGAGGCTCTCTACTGAAAATAATCATATACCAAAAACCATTTTAAGTTTTCCAGGTCCTTCTATGATTGCATCAGTTGCTCGGTACTGGTCACCAAAAGCATGCCTCCCAATGCATATTGGCTTTGTCCAACCTGGAAAGAACACTAACTCATTGGTATTTTTCTTTGTTATAAAGGCAAATTTAGATGAAAATTATAGCAAACCTGGAACAAGTCGGGGAACATTTCTGCAGATAATTGGTTCTCTAAAAACAGTACCTGCAGATATATTGGCTACTTACAACCAATAAAAAACAGAACATGTAGTGGTAAATGCTAAAATTAGGGGAAAATTATATTGACCATTTAAAATGTTCCGTATTGTCCCATTTGGACTCCTCCACATCTGTTTCAAGTTGAACTCCTTAACACGAGTCTCATCTATTAAAATCCAAATGAAAAGATTCAGATCATCACAATAGCATGTTAGCCAAATCGTGTCCATTGAAAAGGCCAAGTAATCCATGTATTCAAGGGAAAATGCACACTGTCCTTCCATTAAGAATTTGGGTATATACCTGGAGTTATAGTTGCACACTTTATTGCAACATTGTACCTACAATAACAAGGGGAAAAAAAAGGAGTAAATTATATAAAGAAAATAAAGTGGCATCAACGGGTGATACATTCTTTTCATGAAAAGAAATTGGTTTAGCGCTTTAACAAATATGCTATTGGTCTCAAAAGAACATGACAAAGCATAGAGTGTGTCATGTTTTGCTGAGCCCATTTAAACACGTCATACTTGTGCCAGTGAAAATAAGCAGACTAAATCAAAAGAGAAAGCAACCATAACTAAAATAAAGATAAAACAATAGCATTCTTTGAGAGTACTCCAGTCTAACAAAGGAACCATGAAGGGAGAATGATGGGGCATACTTAAGAGTAGCTTCAGCACTTTCAATTGTGACTTTATCATTGGTGGCATCACGATTAGGGAGGCCAAGGTCAAAGTACTTGATATCCAACTCCAGGAAGGGAAAGATAAGCTGCAGAACATTAAAACAAGTTGCAGATTCATTATGAAAATGAAATCATAGGAGATGCCATGATAACACAATTACCTTATCTTTTATCGATTTCCAGAAAATTCGAGTCATTTCATCTCCTGCATAATGGAAATATGCATCATAGAAAACCAGAGATAACAAGATGTTGAACAAATCTGTATCAGTTCTTAACTAGAAATACATGGACAAATATTGTGATGGACAGTTCAATGACACAGATATAGATTGCACAGCTAAGGCAAATATATGCATCGCAAATTAGATGTTGCATCTAAGTACTGAAGTAGTGGGCACGCAATTTGGTTAAATGAACAAAATTGAATTTTAATCATTTAAACATACTTGAAAAAAGCTCAACTGAGAAGAATCATAGTAGTGGTGGGTAAGACTGGAAGGCCCTCAAATTGGCCTAAATATGTAATGCTAAGAAGATCATCTAGTTTTATGGAACATAAGTGTTGGGTTGTCTCTAAAACTTAGCTTGAAGGGCATGGTCTGATCCATGGTATCCATCCAAATACAGTGATTTGATAATTTGTATTATGTTTATCAATTCAAGATTACAGACATCATTCAAAGAAGCAGAGCAATTCTTAATTTTCAATGGGAAGAAGCAACAGAACACAAGAAACAATTGCCGAAAATAGGCATTAGAGAGTGCATGCGACTGTAGAGAAGGCGTACCATCCATTTCGACAACTGGGTTGGTCACCTTTATCTTGTTGAATGACTCCATTTCTCCGCCGATAGCAAAAGAGGTGAAAGGTTTGCCTTTGCTTCGAAAACTTGGGCTTTATCGAGAGAGAATCAGTGAAAGTTCGTTGCTTTCTTTGTTGGTATGAATGTAAAGGACGTCATATGAATTGAATCGTTTCTACTCTCCTGAGAATTGAGAATTGAGAAAATGAGATACGGGATGATGAGTGATGACAAAAACGTTGCCTTTATTTCATCAGATCAAAGTCTTGTACTGCCGTATTTGTTATTTATTATAATGTGATGATAGGAAAGAAATTGCTATTTACGCTTCAAAATAATTATTCTGTATTTTTTTTTTTCATATAGAGATTTGTGCGATTATTATTTTAGACTGTAAATAACAGTTCTTTAATCGGATATCCCCTTTAATAAAATAACGTGACGGTAAGTTTACATGATTGGTACACATAGCTTCATACAAAAACGAGTTACTGACATAATTTTACCTGGTCTTTTCTCATTTGCCAAACATAATTTCACCAGGTTAATTTTTGTGTTAATGTGTTTTAGGATTTACTAATCGCGCTTTTCTTCTGTTTCCTGTAAATACCAATCACACCTTGCATAGGACCAAACAGCTGCCAATTTTCATCCCCTTTTTGTATTTCAGTTTTTCAATTCTCAATCATCCTTATATTTTCCAACCAAAAAAAGAAAAGCATTCCTTGTGCTCTGAATATTCACTTGTGGTCTGAAGAATAAACCCATTTTGCATTATAAGGAGAACTGCCTCAAGGCCAGCTGAAGTGCTTCTTTACCAACAAAACACAATCATAACCTTTTTTTTATTAACTTTTCATATGTTGAGGATTTCAATTAAACATTGAATAGTTATAGCATCAAAATTTGGAACCAAGTGAACAAATGTTAGTCCTAATTAGAATCATTTAACTGTATGTCACACCAGACCAGAATTCAGATCCAATATAGTATTGACAAGTCCACATATATACATGCAAAAAGAATGGCAAGCCAAAAATTTGGATGCAATTTCCATCCCTGTATGTATTTTTATTTGTCCTTTACCTAGAAAGAAATCAATAGTGTTCTGTCAACGAAAGTTTTCTCTGTGAAGACCTCTCAACATATAATGATACAAGTATATATCTGATTGAGTTGCAAATTTTTGCGCTTTGTACAAGGTAAATTTCCTCCAGAGGATGTAAATCATCATGCAAAAGGAGTGCTAGAAGTACTCAAAATCTACATAAGATGAATCATTATGACTATTGTTCTTTTTATCACCTCTAACATCTGTGATCTTTTTGTCTGCAGTGTTTGCTTCCTTGCTAGCATATTGTGAAAAGTCTACTGGCTCAGGAACGTGCGGAGGCATGGCACATCTCACCAGAGCCCAGTTCACTCCCTCAAAAAATGGGTGTTGCTTTATTTCTGTGGCACCCCTTTTATAGGCAATCCGTTTTTGTGGTTCTTTCACCAACAGTCCTCGTATGAGATTTCGTGCAACAACACTCACTTGTGGTGTTTCTGGGAATTTCAGAGGCTGCCCTACGACATTGAAAAGTGTGGCACGATTTCCGTGACCCTTGAAGGGGGTTGTCCCATGTAAGAGCTCATATAAGAAGATACCAAATGTCCACCAGTCCACTGCACTACCATGGCCCTCTCCTCGTATAATCTCTGGGGCTAGATATTCATGTGTTCCAACAAATGACATGGAACGCACATTTGTAGGCTCTGCCATCAGTTCAGGGAGGTTGCCATTAGCAGAAAGGCCAAAATCTGATTTAGATTTCCGATTTTTCTTGCCTGGTAAAATGCGTGGAAAGAAATGGGATGGCTGCATACAACCATGCACAGCAAGGTCATCGTCTAAAATGCCCCCACCACCACCTCCACCACCACCACCACTACCACCATTGCTTACGTGGACAGATGATGACTTGACTAGTGTAGGATTGACAGAACAACGGAGTGAGAGATCAAAGTCCGAGAGCATGATATGACCCTCATCTCTTACTAAAACATTTTCTGGTTTTAAATCCCTGTACACAATTCCTAGCATGTGCAGATACTCAAGTGCTAACAAAACCTGTGATGCATAAAATCTGCCAAAAAATAAAACGTAAGAAACCTCTTGCCCAGTTTAAACATCTAAGAATGGCACAATGAACTTAGACATAGCATGCAACAGAATTAGAATGAGAAGAAAGACAGAACATCCACAGCAAATGATTTCATTATGTTCACTTAAGAAAGGTAGGGGCTTTTAGCAGATTAGCAATTAAGTTGCATCATGCTTGATAATAAGAAGTCTATCTCTCAGCCTATAACATATGCAGTTCTGCACCCAGAAAGAACCATTCTTTTCCGTGCCACTGTCCGGAAAAAAGAAATGATAGAAACCAAAGACATTACCATCAACAAGCTATTATAAGCTACATTATGTATACAACCTTCAATGAAGTGACTCTTGCAATTCATAAGAAAAAAAAGGGGGTTCCTATATGAAATCTACATCCCTTACAATGCAACTAAAGGCTGGAAACGTACTGACTGTGCTGCTTCAAACTGTGAGTTGAAGCCATCAAACCAGTAACTCCAACCAAATCTCATTGACTATGCTTGTAAGGAAATTCAAAAATACTGAGCAAAGATCACAGACATATTAAGAAATAAGAAAAATTAAATTATCAATATTTAGCTAAAAAGAAATCAGAAGAACTGGAAAGGGTACAAACCTTGCAGCTTCCTCTGTAAAATGCTTGTTAGGTTGCTTCTGCCGAAGAGAATGCAAATTACCTCCACTACAGTACTCCATGACCAAGCAATAGAACTTATCAGTCTCGAAGTAAGAATAGAGAGTGGGCAAGAATGGGTGGTCAAGAAGTCCAAGTATCTCTCTTTCTGTCTGTGCTCGCAATAGCTTGTTTCTACTAGCAAGAGAAGCCTTGTCCATGACTTTCATGGCAAAAAATGTATTTGTTCCTCTGAGCTCAACAAGATAGACACTGCCAATGTCTCCATAACCTATGCGCTTAAGAAGCCGAAAATGGCTAAGATTAAGTGGGGAACCTTTAGACACCATGGTAATGGCATCCCACCGTACATCACCACCAGTATGAGGCCTGAGGGGTGCACTAGAGGAACTCTCTAAGCTGTCGGATCGAGAGCTACTACCATTCATTTGGCCAAGATTGGTGATAGAACTGGTACTCTTTGATGCTCCTATTGCCATTCCTGTTGAAGTGGTTAGAAGTTCAGAATTTGCAGGTGCCATTGGGCTTGGATATGGATGATGGTTGGTGGTTGGCTCAGCTATAGTCTTAGTACCAAATTCCGTTCCTTTAGAAATTGGATCCACATGTTGAGGTCCACCTGATGAATTTTGAGTTGATTTGACACTAGATTTTGCTACTCTATCCACCCTATTGGGGTCGTAAACCTTATCATTGGATGAATTTATACCAGTCTTGGCATGAGATTGCATCTTGGGTCCACATGGTGTTTCATCTGATGAACTGTAGCTCATCTGCGTTTGAGGAAGAAACAATTCTATGAAATCAGTATTCACAGATAACACCCTTACAGAACAAAAATCATGACCAAGAATAGACATGGAGCAATTACCTCAGATGAGTCAGAAAAATTAGCTGGATTTGAAGACATGAATGGGGTAACACTGACAACACCCCTCAAAAGAAATTCCTGATCATATCATTACGAAAATCCATTATTTCCAACACAAGATAATATTGAATGAACCTATACAGAGCCAACAGGATAAATCTGTGGTTTTGAGGACATAAAAAGTATATTATACTCTTAAAAAAATCCTATACTAGACTCTACTATTATACTAAACAAAAGCTAACCTTCTAACCATCCAATTGCTAAATCATTTTAACTGATATCGTATATCTTATATGTATACATTTGTAGCTCTGAAAATAAAGAATATTCATCATTCGAAGAATAAAAACCTCAGCTAGAAGCAACAATAATCTACTTATTTATGGTCATATAACATCCATTGTCCGTATGCCTATGTGAAGGGAAAGCACAATCAAGAATTCAAAACCAGTATGTGGTAGGCACGTAATGGCGTGGGAGACAGGGACATACACAACAAAGTCAAAGTTCAAATACAGAATGATAGGCACCCGAATATAGATATTGGTAGTATCTAAAGAAACGAAATAAATGAATAAATAAATAAACGTAGAATTAGTCATATTGACGGAGGTAAGCTAAGCAAGAAACAATGCAAACGCAAAAATAAAAGAAATCCATCTCAAATAAAAGATTGCAGGAGTGCAGAAACCAACCAGAAATTCAATGTGGCAATTAACAGCAACAAAGCCGTGATCTTTTTCCTTGTCAAGCAGTGTTTGGGAGAGAGCTTAGATGAACATGAATTGTTTGGTTCCCAAGCAATTGTCAAAAGAAGACAAAATCTTTCTTGAAATATGGAGAGAAAAAGAAAGAAAGAAACATGGGTTACAAGAGAAATGGCATTTGGGTATGAGAGAAAGAATTGGAATGAGCTGGTTCTTGACTGGACCACCACACAACCCATAATCAGGAGGTGTGAGAAATTGGAGAAAATTGTGGAGCAAAACAAAACTAGAATTAGGAAAACCCATATTTTGATTTTCCATTTTATAAATGAAATAAAATAAAGATTTAGAAGAGTGTGTGAATGTGTATGTGTGTTGTGTTTTGTGTTTTCTAACTTCAGGAAGGAGAGAGAGAGAGAGGAGGGAAACGGTCATAGCTATGAGGATGGATGGTTGGGCGTTTAATCCTCTGTCAAGCAGTGGTCGGACTGACTTCTCTTCCTCTGTGCCCACCACTATTCTCCAACCTTGCAATCGGATGAGCTGGGCTCTCATCAACCAATGCCAAGAGGACACCTCACATATAAGTTTTTGTTGTTGGTAATGTACCCTACAAATTTTTTTTAACGATCCAAACAGTCTACTTTTCAAGTCTTCATTAATGGATCATCCTTGCAAAAAATCATACAAATTGAAAAACAATAAGGCATATAATTGCAAGCAACAAATTCAGTGGTCAAATGGTTTCGAATTCAAGTATTTTTATTTATTTATTTTGCATAGATATTTTTGAGGGAATATCTAAAAGTTAGACGGTTCGAATCATTGAAAAACAATGTGTGATAGGCTCTGCAAAGAATTTATTTATTCATTTTTTGTACGAAAGGACTCTACAAAAGTATCCCTCAAATAAACTCATTTGAGGAATTCCTCAATTGAAACTCAGTGTGCAAATTGTAGTCATGCATGCTCTAATAAATAACAATGATGGTGGTTCTTGCTATTATTAAGACTAAGCCCTTTGAAGTAGCTATGGAAGGCAAATATCATTTTGCTCTTTGTAGGGACTAAAACTAACTTTTGGCATAACAATTATATATATATATATATATATATATCTTTACATGAGTTATATTAGTAAAGAAAAGAAGTAGACATACAACCTCAAGTACAAAGGTAAATGCTTTTGACTAGTAGTCAAGTTGCATTCTTTGAAGTATGATTAAAAATTATCTAATCTACATGTAGCTCAATCAGTTAATGTTATCAACGTTTCTACTATTTATATTAAGTTTTGAGAAATATATTTATGTAATCCTCCACTCCAAAACTAAAATATTCACACCTTTGGCCCTAAGAAAATGTTTTATGCTTCCACATGTTTTTAATCACTTAAATTAAAAGCCACTTTAGACACTGATAAGTGATCCTTTGGTAACTATTTTGTTTTAGTTTTCTTTCTTTAGTTAAATCGAAAAATATTTTAATAAAAGGAAGAAAAATGAAAATTAGATGATGACGATTAAACTTGGTAATTGTAGTAGGCAGAGCAAAGACAAAAGAAGACGAGAATAGCAACGCCTGTATTGTGAGCTTGGTGGAGAAGAAGAACATGGAGGATGCTACAGAATCACCGGCTATACACCCAGCAATAGCACCACTCTCATACCTGCTGGGTACATGGAGAGGCCGAGGGGAAGGTGGGTTTCCCACCATCAACTCCTTCTCGTACGTTGAACAACTCCATTTCTCTCACTCTGGCAAGGTACTCCATTTCTCTTTTTAGCTACTGGGTCAGTGAGTTGACTCAGTGGGTCACTAAAGTCGCTGCCTTGTTTGTTTCTTTGCTCGTCTTGTCTGACTATTTGGTTGCCAATCGATTATATTCATGAAATGAGAGAAGCCCTTCATAGCTTACACTCAGAAGACCTGGAAATTGAACTCTGGGGAGCCTATGCACGCTGAGAGTGGCTTTTGGAGACCCAAACCAGATGGTACTATTGAAGTTGTCATTTCCCAAAGCACTGGCCTTGTTGAAGTTCAGGTGCTTGCTCTATTGAATTGTGGCCTCAAGTTTGCTTATTTATGCTATATTGACCAATGTGGCACTACCCTTTTGTTTTTCTTCTCATATTTATGGTTATTGTTGAAAGGAATTTGAGATGGATGTGCATTTAGCATTTAGAAACAACTCCAATCAAATAAAGAATGAATCTTTTGATGACCCAAATCCACTAATGTTGTGGCCATGGTATTTCATCATGTAATTCTTGTACTCACCCAGGTACAAATACAATGAATTTCCTTGTCTTCTCCTATTGGGAAATTTTCATGCTCATTTCCATCGCATCCTATATGTGTCCCAAAATTCATTTTCCAAGTTACTGCTTCTTCACTGCTCTGCTCAGCTGTTTGATCACCCATTGAAATATATTCCTTAACTCTTTAAAGATTCTAACTTTTTTCCTTTTGATCGGTAGCATCTCAGAAGTTCTATATGGATTTTGATTCTGTTCTTTTTTCCTCATTTGGACAATACATTTCTGAATATGGAATGTGCAGTTCCTATTTTGGGTATGCATACTTTTATGACAAATGAATCCAAGTTTAGCTGATAATATACCTTGTATCTGTATAGCTCTGATAATTAATGTTTCTTACTTATTTACTTTGTTTGATCTGCTGATATTATTGTATATATATTATTTGTTTAGAAAGGGACATACAGTGCAGAAGAGAAAGTAATAAAGCTTCAAAGTGAGCTTGTCGGCAATGCTTCTAAGGTAATTTAAGCTGATCCGTGCATACAATAATGCAATTTCCTCACAATGATTCATTCATCAATTTATGGCAGTTAATAGAGCTAGCTCGAAAAAGAACATGCTATTTAGTTTCCTACTATAAGTAATCTTCACCATAAGCAATAAATTGATATATGTATATTGAGAACTATAATTGCCAGTAAGGTTGTGAAGGCAAGACATGGGTACTTTAGAGTTTATCGGTATAACATATAAGCTCTATGGGCACGGTTGAGAGCTTCTTGGAGAAGGAAAGTGGCTGTGCTGCTAAAATCATGGCTAATGAGGATGCCTCAAGGATCTTGAGATATTGGGATATAATACAAAGATAGATGATTTTTTAATTATTTATTTATAACTCTTTTATTTATTTATAAATCTTTGTAACCTTTCAAAAATGTCTTGGCTGATGATTTTTGGAATGTCGGGAGAATTTGCAAAAAGGGTAGGGGGATACAAACAAAAAGTATAAGAAGGAGAAATGGAGCTGGTGTGGGAAGAGTGAGCTTCTTGAGTTCAAGGTCTGCATATACGGAAGACAAAACCTATGTATTTCTGCAGAATTGGTTACAGGATATCAAATCCTGATTCAAGATTGGAGACCTTTCCCTTGATGTCTTATTATACTAAAGTCATTCCGCCCTTGGATTAGAGATTTATGAAATCTAGTATCTTATCCTTGGAGACGACTAAATGTTGATAAGAAATATGAATTATTTTGATATCTGACTGACTTCAGGTATTTTGTTGTTCCATGAATTGTAAAGCAGACTTGATGGTTTTCAGTAACAAAAATTAGTTGTCTCTGTCCTAAAATTGACTTTTGAACAATTTATGATGCTTTTCTGTTTCTTGCATAGGTGAGAGAGATAACCAGAGTTTTTAAGTTGGTAGATGAAGAACTGTTTTATGAGGTTCAGATGGCTACAAATCTCACAAGTCTTCAACCACATCTGAAAGCTTCTCTCCAAAGAATCTGAAGCAACTATGTTGAAGAAAAAGTGAAGTTTACAAATTAGCCTCGGATTTCTATTCCTAGGTCATTGCTCTTATGAATTTGTTGCAGCTATCCTCCAGATTCCACTATGGCCCAAAGCGGATATTAGAGGTACAAAGAAAAACCAAGATACATATTTGCTTTTTTGTAAATTTATGGTTTCATCCCTCAACTCGGTAATTTCTAGTGATACACGAATAACCCTTGCGCAAGCTTTGGATTCATCTATCGCAATGTGACAGACATGGTTGAAGGCTGTAATGTTATTGAAAAGTTGCTAACTTGTTTCCTCCACAATGACATGTTTACTTTTCTGTTTTGACATCAGAATGAATTTGATTATTCTTTCAATCCAAACGTGGTAAATGAAGTCATTCCGGCTTAACTTCGTAATGTAGAAATGAGATTCCCTCCCTTAGATTGTTGATCAGTCGATGAAGCTCCAGTCCCCCACTTGCCTATCAACGTTACACTGGTGCAGAAGAACTTCTGCAGCAGCTTAAACCGAACCCTTCTGATAAAGCTGCAATCTTAGAAGAGATGATCCCTACTTTCCATTTAGGTTGATGACAGATAAACACAACTCAATTTTTTCTGTGAAACTTGCTCTAGCAAGCTGATCTATGATAGTTAGTCATTCCTTAATTGCCAACCAAGTAATGAAAGCATGCTTGGAGATGGCGCTACTATACGAAACAAGGTGCCACCACCAGTCGACAATATTAAAGTTTAGTTTTTTCAGGTTTCTTTGCCAGAATAAACTCCTGATTTAGAAGTTTTACACAAGTCACGATGCTATCCATCAAAGGTCTATTTAATTGGAGATTTGCACATCCTGCTCAAGTCTAAAGTTCAAGCCTTTATTCATATCGGGCCAAAACACATACTTGCCTATTCTTCATGTGAGGCCTTGTAGCACATACATCATGCGAGACGACTCCATTGGTCTTTAGTGTTGTAGAATTCTATAGTGATAAGACCCTCATATAAGGACCTATTTTTTAATCAAATGATCAAATTGGTTAGTCATCAGATTAAATTGGTTAGTTTGATCCAACGGTTAAAAAATAGAGTCTCATCTAAGGATCTTAGATAATACCCTCACTATAGAATGAGTCCATTAGCTTTTTTCCTCTTCTTTTAGGTCTATCATATTCAGTACAATCCAATATTGGCCTAATTTAGTAGTGCCACAAATCTGAGGCACTTGAGCAATATTATTAGCAAATGCTCCTAAAAAGTCTAGTTCTTCCAAGTGGTGGGTTTTTGGCTTATAATAATATGAGAACGAAACCATTGCCGGTGAGGCCAAGTAATGGGGATGGAACTTGGAAGGAAGAGGTCAAAATCTCCATGTAACATGGCAGATTTGCTGCTACAAACTCTCAACATCAAGATGATGCCTATAGTGAGTCTATAGTCTAATATTAGCTGTTTCCAAATCTTGCCTTCGAAATATCAGCCTCTTTGCTCTTGCAAGTTGCATGCCACTTCTACCAAACGGTGATTATACAATTATTACTCACCATTATCCTTACTTATTCCATTCACAACTCTTTGAAATTGATTGCTTTTACAACTAAAAACCAAAAAAACAAAACCCAAATCTTTGTTTTTATTTGGTACATAGAATGTCAAATCTTGATGATGAACAGCTCATGATCTTCTCCATTGGTGGGATTCGCATACGTGTATATATGTACTACATACACATGCTTGGTATAGGCTTTGACTTCCCAACGATATAGTTTTTGTTTCTTACTCATTCTTTAGATTTTCATTTATTTATTAAAATAATCTTTTAATTACTAGCAAGATTGACCTTTTCTTTTGAGCATCCAATTGTGCACCTGGATAATAATGCTAGACATACCACATCTCTAATAGAGGTGAAGTCTACTAATATAATAGGGTACCTCTATTAGAGATGTGGTACACAATGTGGTTTTTTTTTTAAGGACCTTTCTTATTGAGAGGGGTACACGATGTAGTTATTGATCCAGGATTCGAAAGTCGGCTGGACGAAACTTACATTAAAAACTCTATGGTACGAGTGAATTTCATTAATAAACAGAGAAAAATACACCTAGTCAATAAACGTAATGAGAATTACCCTAAAATGCATTTTTTTTTTTTTTTTTTTTTTTGGGTCAAAGAACTCAAATTTCATTCAACTTGAAAAAAGAGAAAGCAAAGCTTACAAGAGAAACAAACAAAAGAAGGGAGGAGTGGAAAACTAAACCAGAACTCAATTTAGTACAAAAGGAACCCCTCCCAAAACACAAACAGCCTAAGGTGGACCAGGTAGTCCATCTGAATTGAGAACGTGCATGAGAGAAAGTGGAGCTCTATTGAGCTAGCATTGTGCTTCCACTAGACCTCTACCAAGCTTTGCAGCTTCAAGTGCAGCCATGTTTTGGCTTCTAGGAACCCAGAACCACTCACAAGAGCCAAAGGAAGCCGCCAACTTCCGAATGTCCTTGATAATGGGCAAGATAGTCCAGGCTCTGTTACCCATTTTGCCTTTTAAACCATCAACTAGAATTTTGGAATCTGATTCCAAGATGACTCGCTAATGCCCAAACTGAGCAGCCAGCTTCAAACCAGATAGAGCCGCTTCAGCTTTAGACATAAGAGCCGATTCACACAAGTTGGGAGCTGCTGTTCCACCGCAGAATGCACCGGATGAGTCACGTAGGATCACCCCAAAACATGCAGAACTAGCAGCGTCTTTCCACGCTCCATCGACATTAACTTTAATAAAACCCGATCTTGGAGGGCACCAAGGAGCAAGACCGTTATTGCGGACACTACTTTGCCCAACAATTTTAACCGTTGCAGCCTGATATTCATAAGCAGCTTTATTTGCATTGTTAATCACCTTGAGAGGATCAATCTTCTGGCCTTCAAAAATGACTTTGCACCAAGTTTTCCATATCTCCCATAGGAAAAAGCTCACAATGGTAAGGATTCTCTCCTTCTCACCCCGGGGAAGATCTCTTGACATATTTTGGAACCACTCATCTGAAGTTGTAAACCCTTGAGAGTCTACCCTGTAACTGAGAGGGGAACCAAACCACACGGTATGAGTCCAGGGGCATAGGAATAAGGTGTGTTCAATAGACTCCTCAGCTTGTTCACAGATGGGGCACAAGGGGGATGAGGCACAATGCTTTTTGTACAATTCTAATCTCGTTGCTACGGTTTTGTTGAGAACCCTCCAGCAAAAGAGCTTGATCTTAGGGAGAGTTTTCAAATTCCATATAAGTTTCCATACCAAGTCGGGGATCATGTGGGAAGATTGGCCCATACTAGAATCGTTGTGCTCTCTGGAACGTAAAAAGTGGTATCCTGACTTGATAGAATAAAGCCTATCAGAACTCCAAGGCCAAACCACTCTATCGGACTCCTCCACTGCTCCCATCGGGATTCTTCTTATGGCCTCCAAGCTGCCATTATCCAGCCAGGCCTGGACCTAAACCCTAAAATGCATCTTCATACATAAATAAATGCTTATAAAAAACCAAAAATAAAAACAACAAGTAAATGCAATGCAACACAAAAATAATAGAACAAGCTCATCCAAAATATTAATATATTATCAACAAATAACCAAAACCCATACTATACAACTCATTTTCAAATCCTAAAAATTAATAATAAGAAGAATAAAAACCCAATTCAAAGAGAGAGAGAGAAAGAGATAATAGGAAACTAAAGCCCACAAGAGAGAGAAATAAGAAGAATAAAAACCCAATTCAAAGAGATAGAGAGAGAAAGAGATAATAGGAAACTAAAGCCCACAGAGAGAGAGAGAGAGAGAGAGAGAGAGAGAGAGAGAGGCTAGGACTCAAATCCAGGACCTTACATGGAGAAGCAATTACTCCAAACCATTACATTAATGGGTCCTTTGCACAATGTGGTATGACTAGCATTTTTGTTATATATATAGCCTTAATTTGGAATATATATTTCTTTAAGGAAAATGCCTTCAAGGGGGCAATAAAGTCCCCAAATTCAAAACATTGGAATTAACTTTAAAATCATAGTAAGTTAATCAGACGCGTTGTTGTTGAGTGTGGCATGCAATAACCAAATCAGGTGGACACTGAAAATTGGACAAATTGTATCACGGGATTATGTTTTTCGACCTAAAACTTATTTTGGGTCAACTAGTGGTGTTTTTCTTTAGTATATTAGAAGATGTATCAAGTTTTAGCACTTCGAAATTAAAAAAAATACTTATTTCTAGGCTCACTCAACTTGATCGCGAAGAAATAGTAACTGAAGTGATTTAGATTATTTATATCGGCACCTGAGATTCTAGGTTCAATTCACCATTCTTTTAAGAACTGACCATTTTGCCACGTTTGATGTGGGCCAAAGGCTGCTCCAAGGCCGAAGCCGATTTGGTCCACTTTTTCCAATCGTTGTCTTCCTAAAAACTTTTGTGTGTGATTTTCGCAAAGCCATTTTAGGTTGTTACCAGTATAAATGTACCATTGTATTTTGCTATTTGGGCAACCTTGTAGAAGTAACAAGCTTGTAACCGTTTTAAAGAAATACTCCAAAAATAGAAAGAAAGGAAAAAAAAAGAATAAGAGAAAATCATTCTATATAAAAGAAGCATATGTAGAACGGAAATGATGGGTTATCAACAATTCAAAGAGACCATGAATCGTGATCAGTAATCAAGTTGAAATATATTAACGGCACAACGTGTCATGGTAATTAATCCTAAACACAAAAACAAACATTCATTTTCGGCCACGCTGATCAAGTCAAAATGTTACCTCTCTCTCTCTCTCTCTATCTCTCTCTCTCCTTGTTGTGGAGGGGAAGCTTGTTAGTTAATGAGGCAGTACTTACTAACGAACCTTCCATGCATTTGTTTTTAATATTGTCACGTTATTTCAAACCGTGTCCCTCCGACAAGCACCTGAAAACTGTTGTTTTAATACCATATATGAAATTTTTGCTTGTTGTAAAATTAATGACTAAACTGTTACATCATTAAGTTAACAAAGTGATCTTATGATAAATCCCACATGAGTCATGAGAGAGAGAGAGAGAGAGAGAGAGAGAGAGAGAGAGAGATGATTGCATATCAACCATATTCCTAGGCTATATATACTCATTAGGAAATTATGAGGCAGACAAAAAAAACAGAGAAAAATAAAGGCGCCTCCCTTTACGGTTTTCAGCCTCACACTATCTTTGATGTTAGACCACTCCAACCTCCTTCTACTTTTGGGTTTATTGGTTAGTTTTTCTACTTTGTTTACCAGGTGTTAATTAGGCACCCAAAGCTCACAACAAGGGCCTTAACTGCAAACCCATAACCCCAGGACCTAAATTTAGCTATGTTCTGTTTCTCCTCCCTTGTTTTTAATCGTCCCATTTCTTACATTTTGCCAAAGTGCCTCTGTTTTCTTCCCCCTTGTTTATTGTTTCATATCAAATTTTTGGAGATGAAGTTGAGGTCAGGTTCAACCCTCTTCTTCATCTTCTTGCTCTCTGCCATCCATGGCCTTGCTTTTGCTCATGCAGATCATGATGAGGAAGATGGTGACAATGGTGATGAGATGAGGCTGGAGATGATACACAGGTACTCTCCACATGCCAAAGACCATGGTGTGCATGTAGAGATGCCTCCAACCCAGCAAGAGCTCATCCAGGAGCTATACCGCCACGACGTCTTTAGACTTCAGATGATGGCCCAAAAGAGGCAACAAAACGGCCATGATCAAGGCCTCAACAGCAGCAGCAACAGCACAAGGCGAATGGATATGCAAATAAAACACTCCATGGTAATGCCGATCAATGCCGGTTGGGATTATGGTTTCGGGCAGTACCTGGTCAAGCTCAAAGTAGGAACACCTTCCCAGAAATTCTTGGTGATTGTAGGTACAGGCAGTGACTTGACATGGGTGAAATGCCGAAGCCACTGCGGTAAGAGTTGTGGCATACGCAAAGGCAGGATAGAACGCAGTAGGTTGTTCAATAGAGATCGCTCTTCTACATTCAAACCCGTTCCATGTTCTTCTAAGATGTGCGAGTTCGATCTTGCCAACATGTTTTCTCTCAATAAATGCCCTAGCCCTTTAAGCTCTTGCAGATATGATTACAGGTACATTTCTTAATTTCCCATGTTCTTCCATAATCAATCTCTCTCTCTCTCTCTCTCTCTCTCTCTCTCTCTCTCTCTCTCTCTGTGCCTATTGTTTCTCTGTTTTGGTAATGAAAATGCCAATTTGAACAAAGACCCTGTCTCCAGTTTCGGATGAGGTCCAGAAATCTGGTACCCGATTGGGATGAGATAATAATTTTCGTGAATTATGATCCGATGGATTGGTGAGAAGAAACTTTTGCGGCAATTTTGGATTGGAAATGGAGGAGAAAATCCAATCCAAACTAGAAGTAGTTGGAACATGTGCCATTTCTGAAATGCATACGTCCACTTAGTTTTTAAAGCCAACCTAAAAATTGATAGAGCTTGTATTTATTTGAAGGGGGTTGGTTTTGGTTGTGTTAAAGAATACTAAATACCAAAGTGAAGTCGGCATACAAACGTAAATATGTGGTCATGTGTTAGTCTAGGAGTTATAAGGGTCTTTCGTTAGCATCATCATTTTCATATATCCATTATTGTTCATGGACCATTTTGCTGCGAAAGTTGGAAATAACCCCAGAATTAGTTGTAACATTAACAAGTCTAATGAACAATCAGATACAATTGATTGTGGAGTACCCCAAATTCATCAGCTGCAGAAGATGTAAGCGCTGCCTTTACCTACATCCAGCAGAAGATTTAAATGGGAGTTATTGTAAGTAGGGGTGAGGGTCACATGACTCACATTTCTCTACCAAACACATAAACTTGTGTCCTTGTTAGGATGTGTTTGCGGCTGCAATGGTAGCAATGCCATTTCTAGTAACGACATAATCTTTCGAGGGTTAGAGTTTTGATTGCAGAAGATCTTAAATCTTAATCTCTCCTTATTTCGTTGTTGTGTTGCAAGGTGCAGGGTGAGGTTGCGCCTATATATGTTCTGCTCTATTTACATTTTTTTGTCTCGTCACGTGTAGAATGAGACTGCACATGAGGGAGGGTGTTAACATGATATACAATGTCGGCCTACTGCCTAACAACTTAAGTTTTCTTGCATAATCTAACAATGCCAAATTAATGTTACTCATTTTCTTGGATGACCAACAATTTAATATGTTTTATTTATTTATGTTATTTTCATCAGCTACGCGGAAGGATCTTCTGCATCGGGAACCTTTGGCACCGATATTATAAGAGCATCCCTGTCAAATGGTAAGAGAACCAGAATGAAAGATGTGCTAATTGGTTGCTCGGAATCCGTCATAGGCAAAGGAAGCGTCAAAGGAAGTGATGGCATGTTAGGGTTTGGACTTGGCAGGTACTCATTCGCAACAAAAGCAGCTCTAAAATTTGGTGGCAAGTTGTCTTATTGCCTGCTTGATCACATGAGCCACAAGAATGTCACAAGTTATCTCACATTTGGAGCCAACAAGAAAGCTGTATTGCAGGGCAAAATGAGCTACACACAGCTGATTTTTAGTGACCGTAGTGTAGGTGCGATTTACGGCGTACACCTACAGGGGATCTCCGTTGGAGGCCAAATGTTAAATATACCACTCCACATATGGAACCCAAAACTTGGTGGTGGTACCCTTCTTGATTCAGGCTCAAGCCTAACATTTCTGACCAAGCCAGCATACAAGCCTGTCATGACTGCCTTGACAAAGCCTTTGACGAAGTTGAGAAGATTGTCATCAGGAGGCGATGGTTTTGACTTCTGCTTCGACCCCAGAGGATATAGAGACCGTTTGGTCCCAAAGTTGGTGTTTCATTTTGCAGGTGGAGCAAAGTTTGCGCCACCAGTGAAGAACTATGTTATTGATATATCGCCTGGGAAGAAGTGTATTGCACTTGTCTCAGCTACTGAAGGCCCCTGTGTTATTGGCAACATATTGCAGCAAAACCATTTGTGGGAATTCAATTTGGTGCGGAAAACCTTGGGTTTTGCTCCTTCAACCTGCACCTAGTTCTTTTTTTTTTTTCTTTTTTTGTTGTTGTTGTTGCTTTTTTGCTTTTTCGAAATGGGAATTGGAATTCATGTTCTTGTAATTCTTTCCTCCCTCTTTCTTCTCATATATAGTTGTGAAATTCATTGCAATTCTTCTTGTTACATCTTGTGATTGATCATAAATTATAATTTTCGTTTTTTTTTTTATACTCTTTGTATCAATTATGAATAACAAAAATAATAAAAGAAGAAGAATAAAACTTACAATATCAGTTTCAATTCAACAGACAAAATATCAGTTTCAAATTCGAATCCTCTCTCTTTGATCCATTAATAAATTTAAATAAAGAAATCCAAGTTAGAGAATATATATTAGTGTAAAACTAATGTTGGAACTGATAGATGTGAAAGATAATTTGGAAAGTGTGAATTGATCATTGTCTCAAATGTAGGATAATTTGGCAAGTGTTAGTTATGTCCAACGAGTATGGTGGTTTTTCAACAGACTTCCTGAGTTTGATTGTCTCAAAATCTATGCTGAGAAGCAAGTGTGAATTGATGGTCTCAAATGTAGGAAGTGGACATACAATTATTGGATTTGCATGCATAAATTAATTCATTATCTGCACGCTTAAGTTGCTAGATTTAGTTAAGAAGACCGTTTACATTTAGCTCTTTTATCACGTGATAAATTTAACGAACCAAAATAAGAATGAATGAGCTCTGTTCTCGAAACGAGTATCAATGATTGAATCTAGATCTGCATTGAATAGTGAAGATAGAATTATGTAAGTGTGAATGATTGGCATGTCGACATGGGAAAGTGAACACAGAATTATTAAGAATAGATTGTTTGTTTTTGAGTCCACTTGAACACCACCTGTTTTTGGATCCCCATAGATATTCTACTGAATATCATATGATATCTTCCAAAACAAAATGTGCAAAAGCGTCCAACAAGACAGAAATTTCATGTAATTGGCATTTCATGATTAATCAGTAGCAGTGAGCTTCTTCCTTCCTATACAAACATGAGAGAGACCAACTCCTGACGTGCACGCTTATCATTGATTGCTTGCTTGGTTGGTTAAGACTCACTTATCAAATTGTTCTTTGTTTGTCGTTAATAAGCATGAAAGTATCCTTGTAGGTCCCAATTGATCTAATAAGACGGCATTAATTTATGATCCTGAACAGTTTCAGACAAATCTATTGCGTTAAGCAAGTCATCCATATTGCACGAAGGACGTCTCTTTTGCATTTTTTTAAATCAACTAATTGCTAGTTGACAGTGCCTTTCACTTTAAAGTTTATACGTACCATAATTGCTCAAAGAAGAATTGTCAAAGTCATTGTCAATGCGACTTAAATTGTATATGGGGCTTTTAGCTCAAGTGGTTGGTGGCACTAATGACAAGAATTTGACTCTCGTTCTTCTCCTCTCCTGAATTCAATAGAGATAAAGTTATGTTCAAGATTATCTTAGACAACATAAATCGTTGTATCTGATCCAGTAGATGAAGTTGAATACGTAGAGAATAGAATTTAGAACATGCATGATCAGAGGAAGGGTATCATGTAAATTACATAAATTAAGGCGCTTTACCCGTTGCCACGAACTCTCATCTCTCATCACCACTTTTATCATTTTGTGATAATTTAGCCATCACTTTAAACACAACCAATCTCAAGATGTAAACGCCTATCTACTCCATGTGCATCGGGGTCAAGCTCAATTGTTTGCTTTCTGTTTTTTACATTAATAATAAAATTATCAGGTGATGTCTTCTCTGTCTTTGCATGGACTTGACCTTTTTTTGTTTAAATTAAGAAAGAAAAAACCCATATAGTTGTGGCCTAGACTTGGCTATGGTCGTATGGATGAGTGAGAACAGGGTTTGGTTTTGAGCAAAGTCGTGGTTTGGACATGGGAGCAGGTAAGATGCTCGTACAACCAACTTCAACCCTTCCAAATAGATGAATCAAGAGACTAAGTACAAATAACTCAACGCGAGAGCGACTCGTTACACAATCAAGTCAATATTTACAAAGGATAAGAGAGATTTTTATTTTATTATTTGGCCTGAAAAGAAGGAGAAAATAAGCTACCAGATTTGCATACATACACACCCATAAGCACAATTGGGAAAATTTTGGATTTTTTTTTCCTATGTTTGGTGTGTTATTGATCACATTGTTGGGTGTATTTAGAAGCTCCTCAATTGAAATGGGTTTGGGTCCTCTTGTGGTGGAAAACAAAAGTTGGCCTCTTGAAAACAATTGGGTATTTCTGGTCATGGCCTCATGAGTCCGTTTTAAAGAAAAGCAGTCGTGCTTTTGTACAAATCATTATTCCAAGTCTTTTGGTTCTTCAAACCATGTAAAAACAGTGGATGAGCGAAATTTGCTCGCAACTCTCAGACCAAGTTTGTGAATGGCTTGATTGCCATACAATACAAAGCCAGAAATAGGGGGCATGATTTGAGACAAATTTTTGAGGAAAATTGTTCGTATTGATATTCAGCATAAATTTGGATGGTGAAGATTCACATCAATTCAGCCAATGGTTTGACTGATTCTGCAAGGAGGCATACAAACGACTTGTAGTTTTATATATACAACTGGTTGGTGAGTTTACAATCTAATGTTGTTTCTAAATTTCATGGTTTGCACTTGCACTTTTCAAGCATTGTTGCTCAGTCTGTTGAAAATATCAATTCGTTAAAGCATTAACTAGTTAGTAAGTTAATATGATACTAACCACTCGTTGTGAGATACTCCATATTGTAATTTCATTATTAGAAATGTTCATTTTTTAGGTTCTCACTAAAGATAATCATCATAAAAATTTACTCATCTTAGAAGAAATTGTTTAGCTATTTGCTCATTATCTTGAATATCTTTCATCGTTGATCGAAAGTATTGTGTTTGTCTATTTGTGTGAATCACAGTTAGATAATTAAATGCTTTTCAACTTGAGTGAATTTTATCGGAAATGATTTGATGTGGACGTAAACAAGAACAAATAATGTGTATGTGTTATACTGCAGAATGAGTCCAAGTGAGTGATTAGTGTCATGAACTTACTAACTAATTGATGCTTGAGCACTAGAGCCTTACTTCGCACAATAAAAGTATCCAAATGGGTTGAGCTTTGGGAGTATAGTTTGGCCCAAAAGTTGAGTCTGGCTGCAATACTTTGGGGCTCAACAACAGTTCTCCAGGCTTGGCCGATATATGCTAAATGGAAAGCGATCCAAGGAAAGGAGTAGTGACAACTCTATCTTTCCCATTTTTGTTCAACACCTAACAATTTGATTAGGACTTTCCCATTTCGGCTTAGTATACTCATAAAAATTCACTAAATTATAAATAAATTATATATAAAAAAAACCAATCCTGGTTGAGTTGACTGGAGGGCTATTAGGTGTTGGTGTGTATTGATCAAATTGTTTGGTGCATTTACACTGCATGCCTCATGGCAATGGCATACATAAGATAAGACAAGGGTGTGGTCAAAGTTCAAATAATTTTTGGGGTTCTTGGTGTCATCGGGGCTTTGCTTAGTTTTGTGTACGATTGACAATGTCGACAACACAAAACAAAACTCTATATATATAAACCAAACCATGTAACCCATCAGTTCATATAAATCATCATTTCTCATTTTGGATGGGTTGAAAAGAAATAAAAATATATATAAGACAGCTATTAAACCTTACCTTAATTGGATGAGTTTGTGTTGGCTAAAGGAGGTAAAGGGATGTGTTTGTCTTCATGCGGAATTAAACATTGTATATTATTATTACAAATCGAAATCACACCATCTTCAACATACCTTTACATAATCCATACGCAAACATAATTGAGAAGAAGATAAACACATGTTTGAGGATTTGAAGCATCTCCCCATAAATGCATCTATGAAGGTTCTTAATTTAATTTATTTATTATAATATTATTATTATTCAACTTGCTAATTAGGGTTTTCTGTTTGCCAAAGTTAGGAAGTGAGAGGGGGGTTTTCACACACAAACTGCCAAGGTGCCACAAAGGTTCGAACTTGAAACCACTGATCTGCAACTTAAGATTTTTTTCCACTAGGCTACACCCTGTTGGCAAATTTACTAATTAGGGTTGAGTCCATTTAACCAACACATGTTTAATCCAAAATGATCAGTTTCAGGGTTTGCTTGTTTTCCATCTTATTTCCCTTTTGCAATGGTACCGGTTTTGTCCAATTTAGTACAAAAACCTAAATGGTTTGAAATGTATATATTATCCAGTTCAATATTTCAGTGTACACGCACCATCTGTTATAAGCCAAACGTGGCACCCCAGCCTCTCTTAAAAATTGGGTTCATAATAAATTGGGGCTGGCCAACGTCCATAGTTTTAAATGGTTGAAATTTGGATGGATGGATGGATGGCTGGGAAGGAACCCTTACCCACTAAGAAAACTTTGACAAAATTTGCCTCTCTCTCTCTCTCTCTCTCTCTCTCTCTCTCTCCTTTTTTTTTGGGGACCTTCTTCTAGTTCTAGATCTCTGGCTTTTCAGAAATGTCCAAACACAAAGTAAATTATTAAACTTCTTATTATTTTTTGGCTGAAACTAAATTATTGAACTTAAATTCAGGTATGTTTTAATACAATATTTTCAAATATTCAATGCCAAGCTGAAGCCTTAAGCATGGTGGTAGCTTTATATTTTATATCAAAGTCCAAGTTGCACCACCTCCATTCCATACCTTCTTTTAATATATTAATCCAAACCCTATGATTTGATGTTGCACTTGCACCTGCTTGTTGCATTTTTAAACTCTTGATCGATGACTTTCCACAATTATTTGATCAGCAAGTTAGAAGAACTCAACCAAACTTTCCAAAAAAAGAGGGTTGTGATATCTTTTTCTCGGTGTTAATTTCTAGGTAAGATCGATTTGCTATATTCTAATGAAATTTCTCTGCAGTTTCCAGCATGACTAGAAATTTATAGCTGCATAGGAGCTCTCTCTCTCTCTCTCTCTCTCTCTCTCTCTCTCTCTCTCTCTCTCTCTCTCTCAATAAAGTAGGAGCTTTTGCTGAAGCATCTTTTGTGGCATCAAATGAGTCTGGTTTAGCAGATAAAAAGGAGCATATATAAAGTCCAATGATAATGCGCCTGTTTAGGAAGGCATCTCAACTGGGACATGTGGATCAATGCGTTTCAAGTATTCGAATAAACTAAGGAAGGTAGGTTGACGAATATTGGAACACATGGTTACTACTAATCATGGTCAATGAAACCTCACAGGCTCCGGCTTCTCTTCTGATTCCAACTTTGTCGACAATGATGATTTGGTCTAGTGGCATTTAATTCCGCTTCGTTGTATAACTCCAATTCGGTTCAAATTTGAAGAAAGTATTTTTTCTATTAAAACTAATGTCTATACAATTCGATTTTGATCCAACTATTAATAATGTGTCAACTTTCATCTCATGCTCACAGATGACCATAAGATCATCATTCACTTTGAGAAATTGGGTCCATATTTCTTTATTTTTCTCAGTGACCCAACTATATGTTATGTGATGGAAATTTCATGTTATTTGGTTATATAGAATTCATGGGTAAGCTTCGTAAAAATATATATTTGTAGAAGATGAATTATTATCAAGACATATCTAAAATCCCCAGAAAAATAAACACAAAACTGGATAAAGAGTGAGCAGAAGAAAATAAGAAAAATGGATGATGAGGAATGAAGAGAGCATAGTAGACAAGGTGTGGGTGGTAGAAGAGACGTGAGCAACCATTGTTTTTATACAGACCATAATGAATTGAATGGTATTCATTTCACCACGAAAAAGAAAAAGAAACAAGAAGAAGAAAATAGAGATACTGATATTTTATGATATGAATGGGTGCATGGACTGGTGAATGGTGATGACGCGCATGATGATAGATAGGTACAGAAAATATATCTGAAATTAATTATAATAGAATAAATAAAAGCAGTACTGTCATATTTGATGAATAATGAGATGAAAAAAGAAATAATAATAATAATAATAGGATGAATGAGAACGAGATTATGAATAGTAACTAAGCCCATAAAAAGGATGGTGAAAAAAAAAATAGAAAGATTCCAGAAATAGGCAAGAACAGTAGTAAACAGAAGAAAGTACAACCAGAATAATATATACATTGCATAGAAAAGGCATTAAATATTAATTTTATTCCCATTAATATTTGGCTACAAAAAAGAAAAGAGGACGTGGATGCCTCAACACCGTCCGTTTTCCATAAATTTGTTGTCGTTGTTGACTTTACTCTGTCTCTGTCTTTGTTAGCTGTTTGGTCTTCTTGTTCTTGTTGTTTTGAAGTTTGAGCAAACCATTTTCTCTTTCTTCTTTTTCAATCTCTCTCTCTCTCTCTGTTTATGATTCTGTGATTGTTGTTGTTGGTTTTTGAGAGCATATAAATATATTTTTTTGGTAACCCAAAAGAAAGAAAGAAAGAAAAGTGGAAAAAGGAGTCAAAGCAGCACACCTGCAGTGGAATTGTTGGAGTTTGGGCAACAGAGATTATATAGCGCCATTTTTATAGCCGGTTTCGTTGTGTTGTTGCATAGTTAGATAGATTGATAGATTGATAGACAGACAGATAATATCCTTCGAGAAATTATAGGATACCCTTTTTCAGTTTTTAATCCACACCAAAAATATCTTTTTCAAGTTTTTATTTTTAGTTTGATTCATTTGATTGATTCAAAGGATTTTCTTTGTCTTTGGAGGCCATGGCTGCTCCTCAATTTCAACACCCTCATCACAACTGTAATCTTCTTTTCTTTTATTGTTTTTTTCTCTGAATTTTGTTAAGGAAGAAGTTTGTGTTTTTCTGGTGATTGAGCCTTAACTCTGTATTTCAATTTTCTATGATCAGCAATTAAACAAGAAGAAGACAAAGAAACAAACCTGCATGTTCAATCCACTGAATTCTTCCATTCCAATTTGGTACTGTTCCATTCCTTCATTTCAATTCACACAATCGTTTGTCAGTTTCATCTTATACCTCCAATTATTACAGCTATTTTACAGAAATTTTCATCTCCTTAATTCATTAAGTACTTGGTTTTTAGGCCTAAAGCTCAAATTTTCAGGCCGAGATTCAATTACTAGTGTTACATATCTAATATCTATTCAAGATTAGCATGGTTGTTATGTTTCTTTTGCAATTCATAATATCTAATTTGTGAATTCGTGTATGTTTTTGTTCATCTTAAGGCCCTCTCCAAGGATGGAAGCCCATCTGATACAGCATCATGCATATCAACTGTGGGAGATACAACTGCCAGTGTCAAGAAAGGTGATGCAGATGCAGATGCAGATTATGAATCCGTGACTTCTTATCCAACCACTGCGTATTACGGATACACCTATCCAGGTTTGCTGCAGCTTCTTCATTTACAGTCCATGACTTTTATCCTTTTAGTACTTTCACATCTAACGGTAGCAAGTTTACAGGTTATGATATGGAAAACCAAGGATACTATGTTGGCGGATCCGGGATGGAGATGCAATACCCTGTGAGTTCCTTTAGCTTCTTCACAATTGCCTATGAACAACATTGAAGTATATATCTGGATTCCTGTAGCTTGAATATTGGAGTTCAAGTTGTAGATTTCAGCATGCTTGTAGCTTATTGTAACAAATTGATCTTATAATCACTATTGCTTCATTTAGGTCATGCAAGCAGATAATGGATCTTTTGTCTACTTGATGCCAGGATTTCAGCCTGGCTACGATCCTTACGCGCCATACATGCCCATAACTACAATCGGTAGTGATGGACAATATGTTAGTCAACAGATGTATCCCCCACTCAGCCCCATGTACCAAGCTCCTATTTCCCCTGGATATAACCCCTCTCTTCTTCCTTATGGGGAGTTAGTCCCATCACCTTACTTGTGGGATCCATCTCTTGTTGGAGATGGAACAGTTGGAAATGCTTACAATGGAGTTTTAGAAACACCACCCTCTAAAACTAGTTTCTCTTCCCCTAGTCACAATCGTGCTCCACTGTTTAAATCTCCTAAACCGTTGGATGTTCAATCAGGTTATGGTGCACGAAATCAGCCAAAACCAGTGAACAAGGTAGAGTATATTTTCTTTCTTCTGCTGGCCTTATGCCCTCACCTTGTGCAATTTTGTTAATTGTTTTCTGATGATTTTTAGGCCTCAGTACGTGCCCCAAGTATCCAATCAGAAGCACTAGCCAAAGGATACTTTTCTGTGGCCAAGGTTCCGGTCTATAACCAAGGGACTGGTGGACTGCTCTATCCAAACAATTCACCAACTTTAAAAGCAAATGCAAAGGGTTGGGGTGGCTCTGAGAAGCTGAAACCAAGAAGTAAGGCTAATGGTGTTAGAGATATTAGTTTGTTTAATGAAAAGAACCATGGCCCTAGATCAACCAACCCTAAAGGTGCATTGTTGTCTGGAGCTGAAAAGGAGAATGGAAAGTGCGACAGCATAGCCTCTGCCATCAGGAAGGATCAATATAACCTTCCTGACTTTCCAACCAAATATGAGCAAGCACTTTTCTTTGTCATCAAGTCTTACAGTGAGGATGATATTCATAAGAGCATCAAGTACAACGTGTGGGCTAGTACTCCTAACGGGAATAAGAGGCTGGACAGTGCTTATCAAGATGCAGAGGAGAAGGTTGCACAGAATGGCTGCAAGTGTCCCGTGTTCCTTTTCTTTTCGGTATGCTCTAGAATTTGACCCTAATTTGGATGCAGGAGTGTCCGACTGCACATTTTTAGGCTATTGGCCTCTGAAATGAGTGACTAATGCCCTCTATCTTTCTCTGTGCTGCGTTTCAGGTGAATGCAAGTGGTCAGTTTTGTGGAGTAGCTGAGATGATTGGCCGTGTGGACTTTAATAAGAGCATGGATTTCTGGCAACAGGATAAATGGAATGGTTATTTCCCAGTCAAGTGGCATATCATAAAAGACGTCCCAAACCCGCAGTTACGGCATATAATTCTTGAGAATAATGAGAACAAGCCTGTGACCAATAGCAGAGACACGCAAGAGGTGAGCATCTCCAACTAGTTGTTTGATTTTATATTACTGTTATGTCTTATTTCAGATGCCGATCAGTCAGAGCAACCATAACTCTGAGGTTATCTTGTATTTCCAGGTGAAATTCCTTCAGGGTATTGAAATGCTGAACATATTTAAAAATCATCTGTCAAAGACATCAATACTGGACGACTTTGATTTCTACGAAAGCCGCCAGAAGGTGATGCAGGAGAAGAGGATCAGGCAGTCTACACCTTACTATGATCTGCAGGTATACGACTTCGCATCCATTCTCTTGATTTTTTTCAGCTAATCAAAATTCTTTCCTAGTTTTCTATTGTTATTGGAACTGCTTTGGAGAGGAACTGAGAATCATGAGTTGTCAAGATCACCAACTGAGATGGTGGATGGGTTAATATTAAGATTGAAAAGATGATTCTCTTTTATTACAATAAAATTAAGAATAAAGCAGGGTTCCTTATGCAAGTAACAAAGTGGAGAGTGTAGTGCCATTGAAATTTTGAAATGGGGAGTTTGACTTTATTCTATTCTTTCAAAAGATAGGATAATAATCACTGTAATTTTCTTTTTTGATTGCTTTAAATTTTTCCAAGACACTCATGCATACTTGTTTGTTCCTCTTGGAATTATTACTAAAAAGTTCTTTTATGTTGCAGCTAAAAATAGGTGAGTTAAGTATCAGCGCTGAGTAAGGGCCTCAGGTTAGAGGCAAAGGAAGGATGCAGGGATATGGGAAAATGAATGAATATTTGGAGCTGAAAGCCAAAAGGAAGGATCATAAAAGTGTATAATGTGTAGCTGTTTCCCAACAAATGAATGAGATATAAAATGCTGGTTTTGGCTACCAAGGAGGTTTCTTTATAGCCCACACAACAGCTTGAATGCATCCACTTTGATTGCTTGTGGAATCCAACCTCTCTCTCCCCTGCCTACCCACACTAGTGTTTCTTTCAGCATAAAGTGTATTTGGTTTTTGGATTTTTTTGTCTCCCCACCCTTTCTCCTCTTCTCTTGATAATCACAATTCACAAATGTAATTGTAGAAAGAAAAAAAAAGAAAAAGAAAAAAAAGAAAAGAAAAGGCCGACAGGTTGTATTAGTTTACAGTATAAACTCAATGTAATTAAAGAAAATTAAAGTGCATTTCGCTGTCGAGCTTTTTGAGTTTGCTACGTTTTTAACTGCAGAAAAGTCGCAGGATTTGCCTTGCCAGAGCTTTTTTTTAACTTCATCTAAAAAAATGAATTGCAGAAAACTAAAAAATGCGCCAAGAAGCCCATGAAGCTAATCAAAACTAAAAGCACAACCATGATGCATCACCAAACAAATTTTTTAATTAATTCAATAATAAGAACGAAAACGAGATTGCGAAAGTGAAGGATCTCTGTTTCTTTTTGTCGGCTGCTAAAAAGTACATCAGTTGAAGGATAATTAACGATGTGCCCAATCATGAAAGAAGAAAACAAGGAATTTACATAGAACTCAGTCGTGAAATGACACATTCTCAAACTTCCATATTTCCAAAATCCATATTCTATGGACAACAACCATTAAAATGCGTGGTAATCATGTCCCTCAAAATGCCTAGAACGTTTTGGGGCATAATAAACTGCGACACCACGTTTAACTAGGGAGCAAAACCCTTATTATCATTCAAATGGCAGAAACGGGGGATAAAGTGCCCATCTTTTATAATTTTCAGTCTTAACCTTGATCACCAGGTGCTGCCCCACGTGCACGTCCACGTCCACGCACACCTCGTCCACGTCCTGCTGGTCTTCCACGACCTCTGATTGGTGGAGAAGGGGCTCCAGCTCCAGCCTGTCTGATCACGGATCTCTGCCTCGCTCGTTCTGATATAAAAATGGTAGTTGATGTATTAGTCATAGGAGATACCTGTTTCACCTCTTCTGTTTCTGCAGTAACACTTGCACTAACTTGCGTTGGAACATTAACTTCTGTAGGAGTACTTGATGACGTATTCTCAATAATTACTGAGGCAGCTTCGGCTCCCTGATCAGTCTCCATCCCAGTTTGGTCATTACCATCATTTGATTTATCAGAACCATCGGCAGCTTCTTCAGTTACAACTTCATCATTTTTCTCGTCATTTAGAACCTCTGGAGAATTTACCTCACCAATATCCACAACAGAACTAGCAGCAACCCCTTCATCATCGCCCCTGGCTGGGGAAGCCCCAGGAGTTGCAACGGGCACAGGTTGACCTTCCCCTATTTCAGGACTGCCAATTGTATCACCCCCTTCAAGCTCAGAAACGTCAGGGACCAACTCTCCCTCTTCTCTGTCTCCTCCAAATTCATTGGACTGTTGGTTGTCCAGCTCAACCTGATCCTTGGCTCCATCATCACACATCATCTCAGTTCCACCTGATCCATCAACATTTTCTTCTAAACCAATATGCTTGTCAGGTTGTGATTCTACTTGATTTGAACCATCAAACTGTCGTTCATTTGGCTCTTCAACCTTCTCTCCTGTAGTCTCAATTTCTTCCTTCTCAGTATCACCAACAGCTTCCTCATTTGAACCTTGAGGCAACTCAGTGACATCAATAGCTTCATCTTTGACTGGAACACTGCAAAGATTTTCAGAAATAGCAGATGGTTGCCCTTCACTCCCTTGTGGAGAATCTGAACCTTTGGACTTCTTCAGCACAGGTGCTGCCACATCAGGACCAGTTTCCGCTTGGTTACTTGATTCCTCACGAGACTCAAAAGCAGATGAAGAAGCATGACGTTTTCGAAGAAGCGGTTGTGTTGAAGTAACATTGCCTTGAACTTCCATTTCATTTGATGGGGCATGCTTGGCCACATTGCGGCTCCCTTCCATCTCTGACATCTCTACATCACCTTGTGGTTCTTCAGGTCTTACAAGACGGGGCCGAACCAACTTCCTCCCTGTTTTACGCGTTTCAACATTGCTTTTGGGCAAAGTCATAGTCAATCTCTTTTCACTTTCTTCAGTTGATTTGGATGCCAAACCTGTTGCAGGACTCATTGAGGACACAACAGTTGGTGCTTGACCAGTACCTGCATAACCCACAAAGGTTGACGCATTAGTCATGAATAAATGAATAGTAGCAACTAAATCCAATATGAAATCAATTTTTTTTTAAAGGAAAAAAAATAAAGAAAGTAAAACAATCATCAGTATAGAAAGGATTGCTTAAATAAGGAAAAGCACCCGAAGTAGCTGCTAATGAAGCATCTGAAACTGGAGGAGTGTCGGCAGGAACACCATGAGTTCCAAAGTCACCGTGAACTGAATGTGCTGCCTTTTCAAAATTTTCAACAGCCAAGCTGTAGCCAGTGGCAAGGCCATCCAGTATGGATCCAGAAAGAAGTTGAACAACAGAGGTACCCTGAGATATACAGATTATACTATTTACACAAATCCAGGTGCAATAGAAAGTATGGTTTCTAAAGATGATGAAAAAAGTACGTAAAATAAGTTATAATACGGGTATTTGCTTGTCGATACTTAAGCATATTTGTTTTATTCAACTTACATCAAGCTGAGTGAAAGGAATCTTTTTTCCAGTATTCCAACCTATGTAAATCACACTTGCTGCTCAACAGTTATCACATTTATCCACTACTTACATTCCCAAGACTCTGCCTTAATTCCCAGCATTTTTCTTAGCCCCCCCTTGGCCCTTTTTCTCTTCCCTATCAGTATTTATAAGTAGTAAAAGAGAGGAGATCGATTTAATATTTCTAAGTTACATAAAAGGAAACAGAGACCAATTAAGTAACAATTATACCTCAGGGAGACTGTCTTTGGCATGCTTCAGCTTTTCAAGTTCATCTGAAAGCTGCCTTACAGCCTGCTTATGCTTCTCCAGTTCATTCATGAACCTTGTTTTATCCTGATGTATGCAAAAAATATCACATCACTTCATAAGAAAGCTTATGTTAACTTTGAAATTAAACAACCCAGAATACATCCACCACAAGTTCAGAAGTAAAGCCTAGGGTAAATGGGTGGGCTGCACTAAATGATATAGAAACTCAATCAATGGACTCATAAAAAACCTGCTCAATATTAGTGTAGGAATCCTTCACTGCCTTCTCAGTCCTTATGCGCCTTGCTTTCTCTGTCCGGTTTTCTTCCTTCTCCCTTCGCATATCATCTCTATGCCTCTCCACAAGCTTTTCCAGAGTCTGGACAAGCATTGTAGCGAAGTCAAAACATGCTAAAGAGGTCAAAGGGAAATACAGAAAAAGAAAATGAACCTGAATTTTTTTGTCTTTCTCTTCCTTCATGGCCTGTTCTCCGCTAGTATCCCCAGAAGATCGTTTCCCTATAATGCCAGGTCAGAAAACAACAGTAAAAAAATGACTGGATTACAACATATATTTTAAAAGTGAATGGGAGAGACCATGGATGGTTTAACTACCTTGTTTGACTTCCTCCAACTGCCTAGAAAGAGCTTGATTCTCCTTGCTCAGTTCCTCCTTTTCCTTTAAGAGTGTCTCGCACCTCCTCTGCAGAAGGAGAAATAGTGGTAATAAACTGATCAGCAAACAAAAAAGTTTCCACCTTAAGAGCATAACTCTCTATATGTCACAAACTAGTTATGAGAATAAAAAAGAAAATGTACGACTATTATGGGTGATACTTGTTCCGGCTAAACGACATGAGATTATAAAAACCTTATACTGAAGGATCGCCTTCTTTTGCTTCTCGCCATCTGATCTTAGACTTGCCTGTGCATGAGAAACATATACATCAGAAAGATATAATAAACCCAATGGCAGGCTATTATCCAAATCTGATTTTAGAGTACAGAATTTTATGGTGCACCTCAACTTGCAAAGTTTCATTTATCCTTTTTTCTTTCTCAGTCAGATCCAATCTATAGTTAGAAAGATCTTGCTCCAGATGTGATACTGTCTCCTGCTTTTCTGAAAGAAGTTTCTCGACTTCTTCTACACGAGAAACCTTCTTCTCCAATTTTTCCTGGCAACACAAAACAATAAATAAAAAAAAATAAAAATGTAAACAATAACAATGATAAAAGAAAGTACAAGAAATCACATACAATTTTTGAAGGGAATTGAAACAAAGTACGAAACAAATAAATTAAAAATCACCATTGAATGTTGGCCCACTTATTTTTAATGTAAAAATAATCAAATAAAAAAGTAAACCCAAAAAAAAAGAAAAAGGACAGATACCTTAAAGATTTTCACATGCACTAACATAACCACAGATAAAAACTAAGGCCAGCTTTACATATTGTCCCATCATTTGCAAGTCATTTCCACATCTTTATAATGTGGGCCAGAACTCACACACATCACTAACATGTCAGTAGATCTCAACTAACGGTTTAAAATGATAAGATTAAATAACTACCAGCAGCATTGTGAGCTTAAAGCAATTAATATCTTTATAAATTCAATAAAAACCTACCTCCAACTGACGAACATCATTCTTCACACGATCATAATCTTCCACATCAATATTCTTATAACTTTCAAGTAACTTCAAGAAAGAGAGTATATTAGAATATTGAATATCTTTGTTTAATATGTGCATGCAAGTATAAACAAACAATTAACAGCAGCCACTAAAGAAGACCAACAGGGCTCTACATCTTTTCAAGTAGCATCACGGTCCACATAAGTGTCTCTCAGATGCAGAGCATAAATATATTACAAGCACTGAT